ATGAAGATCAGTCTCTGGGGACCCTTTCAAAGGTTATACTTCTGTCTTTTTTTGCATAAAACGCACATAAGACTATTTTATTTTTAGTCAGTGGTTCAGTCGAGGGCATAGCGAGTCTGCCTCGATGAGCGTTACTAGTATATATTTATATTTATATCTGACTAGTAAATCACAAGGATGAGAAAGAACTTCAACGAGAGGAACTGTAACAAGAGACATTATTACAAAAAATAGAGAGAAAAAAAAAAGAAGAAGATTTTTGTTTTATCACCGGCCGAAAATCTCCATTGATATTTTCTTGCATAATGATAGAAACTTCGACGGTTGAATATGACTGATACTAAATCGTGTTCAGCTTGATATCGATCAGTTTCGTTTTTCAAGCCCACGACCACATCGTCGTCGTCTTTCTTCATTTGTACGAATGGCATTTGGTATAATCGAAGGATTTTCCTGATCATGAATGACCTAAAACGATAGTAGAAAGGTCTTCGTACTGGGTGTCTGTATCGGTATCTTCTTTTCCTCTGGTTGTGTTGTCGGATGTGTCGGTTTCTTGCAGCAGTTGATCAAGTTTTATTTCTTGATTGTTATGGTTGCTGTTGTTCTGCGGAGACAGGAACTAGTTGAAGCATGTCAACTGTTCTCTGTGTTTCACGACAGGTGTATGCTGTATAATCGATGCCAACTAGTTCGTCATCGGAAATGTCGACGAGGTCTTCATTTGTTGGTTCCTCTAAATCATCATCGATGTTATCATTAGTGATTGCTGTTGTTAATTCGAATTCGGTATTTTCATCAGCGACTCCCGTGCCATTTCGGCTTAAACCCTCTATACTGCGATGATCTTGATGTTGAGTGTTGTCTTGGATTCGAGTGGTTAACTGATTCAAGTATATTTCATCGTCCGACGATATTGGTTCAATATCCGAGTCGGTAGTTTCGAAACTTTTTGCCAATTTTTGTACATTGATGTTCTTAACCTTCTTTGTTGCCAACGGTTGACGTAATGGTGGTGGTAATATGCTGGTTGAAATGCGACCAACGTTGCTTCGATGTTTGTTTCCTTGATCCTCGCAAATGACCAGTTCTCGATGATGGGCCTAGCCAGATAGGATACCGCCATCACATCATTCTTGGCATAATGTATCATTCGAACGCGCTGTGCATGTGACAATGATGAATGACGATATGTTAATCCATGTGACCAATGTGCCACACTGAAAAAAAAAGGTACTCCACCAAGCCATTCCGGTTTAGTGATGGCCCACCAAAATGGTTTCGTAGCGTAAATAAAGAACTTATTTTAGATTTTGAGGACCAAAAAGGTTTCGTGCTGTTATTGTCAAACCATTGAAAGGTTCAGCAGCGTGTATACTGAACTTTTTTGGTTTCGTATGTCTGGTACAAAACCTGCCATAGTTCCGTAGAGCACATAAAGGTTTCGAAACAGACTTACGAAACCATGTTGGGTTTCATATTAGAGATACCGAGCTTTACGTACATCACTAGGCTGACTGAGGTTTCGCATTTCAGATCCCGAACATTCCTGAGTTCCGTACCGGACCTCCAGAGCCATTAATTCCTAAACGAAGGTCTGAGGGGTTTCGCCCGATACCTCCCGAACCATCGAGAATGAGAAGTCGCCACGGCCGGCCAAGTCGATATAGTCNGGAGGAGAATAATTCATGGGCAAAGACCATAATATTCTCGATATATTGCAAATAAATGTCAGAGATAAAAGATAAGAAAGATTTCAAACACGATAAGCTTTCATAAATTGTTTCATCATAACGAAAATCTGTCAGTTCTACTAAATAAAAATCCTAATGCGACTGATCTTCATCATCATCATCATTATTCTTCATGTTGAACTTTGCAAATGCAAAAACAATACTGAAGAAACGATTGACTATTATAATAAACTTCTAATTGGTGATACAAGTAAATTATCTGAATTGAATATGTTCTTGACCGCAATGCCGAAAGGTGGTGACTTACATCATCATTATTCCGGTTCGATTTATGTTGAAACTTATCTAAATTGGATTTCGAAACATAATTTTTGTGTTTATTATGAAAATAATCAAAAATTGAACATCGAGAAATATCGGCTTGAAACGAAACTTGAGGGTTTATCGGAAGAAGCCAAAAAAAATCTGTCTCACTGCTGATGAAACACGCGAAAACACGAACTTTTATCGACAATTATTGAAACGTTGGTCTGATATGGATTATTCCAATCATTATCACGAACAGACTCCACCAAGTCAACAGTTTTTCGATACATTTTCTTATTTTGGTCCGATATCTTATCAAGAATACAATGAAGGATTAAATTGGATAAAAAACACAGCGATCAACGAAAATGTTCAATACATTGAGACAATGTTAACAAGTTCTCCAAATCTCGTTGTCTCCGATTATCTAAACACTCTCGTCGATAATTTAACATCGATTTCATCGGATGAACATATCGACAAGGTCTTAAACATTTACTTTGATACAATTCGAAACAACATAACAATAAATACAACAATAAATAATCATGTTGAAATGATTGAAAGGGTATCCAAAGGAATCGACGATCAGAATTTCACAATACGTTTCCAGAGTTATGTCTCACGAAATAGTAAACCTTCGCGTGTATTCTCAAGTTTAGTCTCTTCGTTTTGTGCTGCGACACGAACTGATCTCATCGTTGGTGTGAATATCGTTGGTCCAGAACATGGATTTATCGCTTTAACAGATTATTCCTTACATATGAAAATGTTTCGGTTTTTAAAGAAACATTTTCCTTACGTGAAACTTTCAATGCATGCGGGCGAATTAGTTTTAGGTTTAGTTCCACCTGAGCAATTGCAATTTCATATACGTGAAGCAATTGAAATCGCCGGAGCGAACCGAATTGGTCACGGAATCGATATATTCTACGAAAAACATTCGTATGAACTTTTACAAAAAATGAAGCAGAATCAAATTGCCGTAGAAGTTGTTGTCAGTAGTAATGCTTTCATTTTAGGGATACAAAATCAAGCACATCCAATGTTAGTCTATAAAGCACATCAAGTTCCGTTAGTTATCGCCACGGATGATCCAGGTGTTTCGAGATCAAGTATGACAAATGAATATTTGCTATTTTGTGATCGATATAAACCAAGTTATGCGGAATTAAAAACGTTTGTGTATGATAGTATTCGATATTCGTTTTTGAACGATCGAGACAAAGAAAGACAATTGACAAGCTTAGATCAGAGATTTCAAGTTTTTGAACAAACCATTGCAGATGTCAAGAAATTCTTGGGTGATCCTGGTGTTTTGCCAACAGTTTCTTCGTCGAATTCAAATTTCATCTCGTTAGTTCTTTTTTGTGGAATTCAATTTTTAATAAACGACTCCCTTCTCGGTTAGAGATAGCAAAATAATTCCTTGGTGTTCACTCGCACTATTATGACAATGAATGTAAATGAAACATATAAAATTGAAACGGAAATAGTTTAGGTTTTGTATTTGATATGAGGTTAAATTGAAACAATCGGTTATGGTTTTGTTCGAATTAATGATACGCCTTCACAAATCGTTGTCACTGGGTAAAGATCTTTTCCTTCAATCGACTAATCAAAAAGAGTCAATTTGATGCTAACTTCATATCAACAATAATGTCGTTATGCGCTAGGCATTTCTTCACAAAAGAATATTTGTAATCTGTCTCGTAAGTGATCTAATAGATGTTTAAATATGTAAAATATTGTGTAGAATATGTCCCTATTAGTCAAAATCATATTGATTATGTAGTTTTTGAATTTTGTAGAAGATTAAATCTCTCTCAATCACTGTTGAGAATGTGTATAGTACCGTAACATCAAATGTGTTTTTTTTATGCTAATATTATTGATGCTAAATGAAAAGGAATCATCGGTGAGAGTGAGGGTTAGAATGTGATTTTCATTCATACAATCTGGATTCGTAAATTTCAAAAATGATTAAGATGATGCAAAATACATAAGAATCAATATTAGGTTGAGCCTAAAAAATGAAAGGGTACTGAATATAGCGCTATTTGTTTTTGTGCAATCAGATCCTGTGTAACCGGTGTTACATAATTTGGTGATGTTTAGATCAGCAACAATGACATCCCATGCAGCGCATGTTGGTGAATGATAGCTACTGGTTGCTAATTGAATTGTTGCACTACTATTTCCTGATACTGTATTTGAAATAATGATGTATGAAGATGCATTCGTGGTGGAATACGTTGGCCAACCTCCAAGTTGGCTCAATTGATTGATTAATGGATTTGTAGTTTCATTATTTAATGGTGTATTAGGATTCCCATTCACAATAAATCTAATCCAAAGCAAACTCATAGCCCATGCTAATATTTGTTCATCTGTATNAACTGAGGTTTCGCATTTCAGATCCCGAACATTCCTGAGTTCCGTACCGGACCTCCAGAGCCATTAATTCCTAAACGAAGGTCTGAGGGGTTTCGCCCGATACCTCCCGAACCATCGAGAATGAGAAGTCGCCACGGCCGGCCAAGTCGATATAGTCTATGAGTCTGACCCCTTCCTAACCATGTAAAGGGCCGATACGAAACCTTTTTGCGACCAAACCATGTGAGGTTTAGCGATTGTGCCCGCCGACCGATCGCTTTTTTTGGTTTGGTAAAACACCTTTTTTTTTCAGTGTTCTCTTACGAGGAAACCTTACCAACTGATACCCTCCGTTTGAGCTCATATTTTGCTCATAGATAGGGTTCATAGTGTAGATGAAAACCCTCAAAAGAATCATCCCCATGCGGTCTTTTTCCAGAGAAAACAGGCAAAGCAAGTTGATGTGATTGACATAACTGTTTTTTCTGTTTAAAATTTTTTGGCGAGCTTTTTTAAACTAATATTGAGCATGATTTCTTATTGTAGAAAAGCAGAAGATTATTTGTTATTTTTTCTGTTTAACGAGAAAAAAGTTATGCACTTAGTGAATGAAAAAAAAAGCAATAGAGAAAATGATTATTCATTCTGATGGTAGTGATAGTTCAAACAAAAATCAATGAAGCAGTTCTTGTTGACGTCAAGAACACCGAATTATCGGTCCATTCAGACAACTATTTTCATCACAGTTATCTGTTTGAAATGTAAAGTAGATATCCTTTACATTCTGAAACGGACCTGGATTATGTTTCAGAAACCCGCTTTGGAACACATTTGTGAATGTTCTAATGATTACGACTTGATCAAATTATTACGTTCAGATAAATTAATATTTATTTCATCTAATCGTACGTGATCATAAATTCAGTGAGCAATTTTCTTATGTTGACGGTTGTAGTAAACATCAAGAGGTTGAATCATTTAGGTAGTTTTTTGCGGACTTACCCTATATTCAAAATGTTTCAATCCTTCATAAACTTTTGGATGGATTTTATGGGGTGAACTATCAAGAAGTAACAACGTTCTGGATCATAAATATGGAAATAAACATTGATTAACCCAAGAAGTGACCAGTGACCAGGTTAATTTACCACTTTTAGGACAAGTAAGTACAATATTTTTTGCATGCACTGAAAAAAAATGTGGCGTTTAATCAACCCTTTTTTCTTCAAAAACCCACGAAGGGTTTGTTATACGTTGCAATCTGATAAACCCAAGGGTTTGTTCTCTATTGATAAACCCTTTTTGAGGGTTGATTAAACACCGGATTTTTTTAGAGTGTGGAACAAACTCTCCTTGACATTCTCACGAATACGTCCTGATGGTTCCTTTAAACACATATATTATGTATTAAGAACAGATCCATCCATTGTTATTGTTGGCTGTATGGTATAACTATGAGTTGCAACCCCAAGTAGATTTTTCTCCACCATAGGTTAATGTTCTATTACTATGAGGCTTCAACTCAATACCTATTTGATCTGTATTCTGTACTTGATTTGCACTAGATCCTTCTCTGATTTTATTTGTTTCTAAAACTAAATTTTTTGCTGACTCATTAGTTTCTTCGTGGTTTTCAACAACTTTCTTTGTGACTAATTTCGTTATTCTTCGACCACATATACTATTAGGGGTGCACAAGTTTAAGTTTAAGAATCGACTTAAATGAACTTTAGAACTGCAAAATCGTTGATTGTGAACGGATTGAACTGTTGAGACAGTTCTTTTGAATCAATTGAACTTTTGTAATGATTCATTTTTAGCGCATCAACTACAAGTAAACTATAAAACAAGTCGATTTCGAACGAAGAGAACTAGTTCCTGAATTATAGACACCTAGACAAAATGCAAAAAGTCATTATATTTTTCGTTCATTTTAGGCCTGGTTATTGGAAGCACATAGATGTGACGTAACTTATTATTCACTATTCGAATACATATAAGAAGAAAATGTGCAGGCTAGTAGAGGCTCCGACGCTCTTTCAAAATATATCATTATTTTGTTAAAAAATTCTTTCTTTTTCGTCTATAGTTTCGATAAACATGTGATATATTAATTTTTTTTGTATTTTGTCATCTCGGAGATTTTTAGTGGACTGGAGTTTTCAATCCAACAACAAAACATAAAAGAATGAGTAGTTATACAGGGTAAAACTCCATGGACTTTCAGAATATCTCATTGGTTTCAAAAAGACCTCCTTTAAAAATAACCAAACACATAAAATACTGAATACAGCTTTTGCTCTCCAGAGGTATATATTAAACAAAAATAATTGATGACTTTAAAATATTCTCACAATTAGATATGAATCAACTATCTCATGAATGAGAGCTTTTTCTTCCATTCAAATCTTCAATGACACAACGAAGAAAGGAATGCATTGTATTGCCATAGAGTTCGATTTTACTGAGTGTCTATATAAGAAAATACAAATAGATGTATAAAGAAAGAATTACAATTACTATATTATGTTGTAAAGCATTTGCCAGATGTTCTCCTCCGATATCGGTGATGTTGTTGCTTTCAAGACTTAGTGTGGTCAATGTCTATTTGGGAAAAGTCCAAGCAATTAGTATATAAGATAGACGAAGAATGGCAGTTACTGTATTAGTTTTTATAGCATTGGCTATATGTTGCGTTCCTTGATCTCCAATTTCGTTGCCTGAAAGATCCAGTTTGGTAAGTATCTATGAAAAAAGAAATATAAATAAATAGAATATTAGATAGCTGAAAAAGAATAGATACTACTGTATTATTTCGCATAACATCAGCTAGATATTGTGCTCCAACAACACCGATTTTATTGCGCTTGAGTTTAAGTGTAGTGAGTGTCTGTAAGCACATGTCCTTATAAAATGAAGAGAGATCAACTAGTTACCATGTTAATCCGTAGGGCACTCGCTAAATATTGCGCGCCAATAGGGCCGATTCTATTGAGTCCAAGGTCTAATGTGGTCAATGTCTGTAAGAGCAAGTGTAGGTCGATAATGTAGGAGATAAACGAAGATGAAATAATAGTTACTGTATTATTCCGTACAGCTTCAGAAAGATGTTGTACTCCTTGGTCTGTGACTCCATTAACTGACAAATCTAACATAGTTAACGTCTGTACAAAGAAATGAGGATAATTGGCAAATGACATGAAGCAAGAGTCATAGCGAATACATTATTTAGTAATACATCAGCCAGATGAGGCATTACATTATCTGCAATTCTATTGGCACCGATATCGAGTTCAGTAAGTGTCTATATGTAGGAGTGCAAGTAGGTTATCTATAAAATACATAAAGAAAGAATAAGTGTTACTCTATTGTTTTGTAGTGCGAGAGCCAGATGTTGTGCTCCTTCGTTTCTAATATTATTATTGTACAGAACTAGACTGGTGAGTGTCTGTTAGACGAAGCGTGAAGGACGGCGCAGATTGTGTTTCACAAAAGCACTTACTACATTGTTTTGTAGCCCATTTGCTAGATGCTGTGCTCCAACAGCTCCAATATCATTATTTACAAATCTTAATACGATAAGCGCCTAGAATGAATATATGTAGACAGGTGACATATGAAATCTGAACATATAATGATAGTTACAGTATTGTTACGTAAGAGATAACCTAGATATCGTCCTCCTTCATCACCAATACTATTACCTGAGAGATCTAACATGGTGAGTGTCTATATGAAGAGATGTTAGCAAGTGATCTATGATATAGATGGAAGAAGAATAAGAGTTACTGTATTATTTTGTAATCCATTAGCTAGATATTGTACTCCTTCATCTCCAATTTTATTATTTTCTAGATCTAACGTGGTGAGTGACTATAAAAAGAGATTTGGGCAGGTGATCCATGAGATCAGTGACGGAAGATCAAGAGTTACTGTATTATTTTGTAATCCACTAGCTAAATATCGTGCTCCAGCGCTTCCGATTTTATTATACCGAAGTTTTAACGTGGTGAATGTCTATATGAAAGTGCAGTCGGGTGATATATGAAATAGAACAAGAGATAATGTTAATTACTTTATTATTTTGTAATGCATTCGCAAGATATCGTGCTCCGTCATCCCCAACTGTATTACTTTCGAGATCTAACGTAGTGAGTGCCTACAAAAAGATATGTAAACAAGTGACCTATGAGGCCAATGAAAGAGGAATAAGGCTTACTATATTATTTCCTAATGCATTAGCTAGATATCGTGTTCCTACATCTCCAATTTTATTATACCGAAGTTTCAGTGTCGTGATTGTCTACATGAAAGTATAGTTGGATGATATATGAAATAGAATAAGAGATAATGTTAATTACTTTATTGTTCTGTAATGGACTGGCAAGGTATCGTGCTGCTTCGTCTCCAACGTCACTACTTTCGAGATCTAACGTAGTAAGTGTCTATAAAAAGACATATGGCCAAGGGATCTCTGAGACCGTTGAAGGAGTAATAAGAGTTACTGTGTTATTTTCTAATGTATTGGCTAAATGCTGTGCTCTGATGAGTCCGATTTTATTATATCGCAGTATTAATGTCTTGAGTGTCTATGTGAAAATGTTTGACTGGGGGATATATGAAATAGACGAAGTGGCAGCGCTAATTACCTTATTGCTTTGCAATGCATTAGCAAGATATCCGAATTCGTTATCTCCAGTTTTATCACTTGAAAGATCTAACATAGTGATTGCCTATAAGAAAATAAGTGGCCAGATGATTTCTGAAATCGATGAAAGAAGAATAGGAATTACTGTGTTATTTTCTAATGTATTAGCCAATTGTTGTATTTCTTCAATTTCAAATGTCCTGTACCTAAGATCGAGTGTAGTAAGTGTCTGTATGAAAAAATACAAACGAATCATATATGAAATAGGTAATGGGAAAATATGATAATAGTTTTTCTACTAGTCTATTATGCATCAGTCAAATCCTATGAAAGAGTATATGTAGGTACTTGAATCTTGTAATTGTTTATCATCTGAAAAGTGCTTTCAACTAATCATGAAAGTGTCAATGCTAGGAAAAGTCATAAAATCTAAGTAAGTTAGGAGTAATCTCTATATGTGAATCCATATTCTGCTTAATTATGTATAAAATGACCGACGAAGTTTAACTTATCCGTCGTGAGAACGAAAGGATCTTTAAAAATTGATGATAGTTAGATGATTATGAAAAATTTACCTTATATCGATGATAACTATCCACGATTAAGTTGAGTCTTCGGCAGACATTGCGCATTGAGAATATAATAGTAAAAACACTCTGATTATCCAAAATCCAATAGACAAGTTCGACCGGTAATGTAAGCAAAGATGCGTTAGTTCTATTTGACATTGGTCAAATTTAGTGAGGTACGTGTTATTTTATCGTATATATAGGTAAAATAGTATGTAGAGCTTTCTTTTCTCCCAGTATTTAAACAAGTTGGTTATATCGTATATTCGAATTGTCGTTATCTAGGTATTCTCCTTGTGTCTTCGTTCTGTTTCTATTTGCATATATTCACATTACGAAAATGTCTTTCTTGTTCTTTTCTCTGAGTATTTTTTCGTTTAGTGTCTCGTCCAGATTGAAAAACGAAGGAGTTATAAATTTGCAATGTATGATAAGCCCTTTTTTTCATTTATCAACTGCCTCATAAACGAATAAAGGGTTTATACCTTGGTCGAATACCGTTTAAAAAGGGTTTATTATACGTTGCAAATTTATAAACTCTTTTCCGTTTATTAGGGTGTCATTAACGATTTTAACGTTTATTATCCTTCTAATATATTTTCAGTGTATTTTGATGTGAAAAGTGATGAATCTTTCCAAGGGTGGAATCTAGGGTGTTGGCGAGGGTGCCGTGTGATTGTTTACTGTTTAAATACACGCTCACCCTCACACCCTATCGAGGTATATCAGGTTCTAATTAACTAAGAATTAATGACATCTGACAGATTCCAACAGACTTTCCCAATCGTTTAAAATAAAATTTGTGAACAATCGCAACGCAATATTATCTGCGCGTGAAGCTTATTTGCAGCTGGTCACTTGAGTTCTTTTAGCGCTTACCCATGTCGACAAATCCCATATCGGATTCAATTGGATCGTATCGGAATCCGACAATCTGACGAAATCCGATAGGATTCCTGGTAACCGTATTGCGTCGGATCCGAAACACGGATTTTATGGATTTTCTAAGGGTCATCATAGAACCTAGCTAAAAATAACGCTCATAAAATTTGCAACTAATGACTGGATTTTTCCAGTCAGAATCCGATGCAATTTCGTCACCAGGAATCTTATCGGATTTCGTCGGATTTGTTGACCTGGGTAATCGTTGCATCAACTATTGTACAAATAATATGCTTTTGATATCCGAGATGTATGAGGATCGGATACGTTCTTTTCGCTTTTGGATATGTTCAAAGAATCACTTATTTAGTGCGCCGTCTAGAGGTTCTATTACAGAGATGATGTGATCGCTTCAACATGCCTTGATGTATGAAATACCTTAAAATTCTGTAAGTTCGACATTACAGAGATTATGAAACTCATATTATTCAATACCAGTAAAATCAATTCGTGATGAATTTTCAATTAGCATAACATTCAATATGATTAGTCACTGAAATAATGTCGCTTTGTATTCCATACCATGTTCAAAAAAAGAAAGAAAACTTATTCATAGTACTCCTTCACGTCTTACCTCACTCGTTATGCAGTATACTGCTTGTCGTAAGATAGAAGTTTCAAAATGTGTCGTGGCGGTACGCCATTTGGGCCTCAGAAACTCATGTTAATTGGAAAAAACATCTTTCTCTATTTCGACCAAATACCCCCATAGCACTCAGTGAAATCGATAACTATACTACAACACTATTGAAACTTGTCACGAAGTGATGAAATATCATCAGAATAATCGATATGGTTGAGCAATTAATTTAGTCAATCCAAATTACAGAGTATAACATGGAAATAATGCAATTAACAACATGGATTCACTACGAATACAAGAAAAAAGAACCATAAACAACTTTTTTTTTTTGATCAAATCGAAATGAATCGACCCGCAATATCATCAACGACGACATTCTTGATAGATAAATCGAAAGCTTTTGTTCTCTAAATGGGATTATCTCCCCAAATATTCCAAAATACGTGTTCGCTTCAACTGATGTATTCATTTTCTTTTTTTCTGACAAAATTCCAGGTGTACAGAATTTGTCATTTCGTCATTCCCATAAAAACAATAAAGAAACAAGGCAGAAGGTGTGGACGAGAACATAAGATTTTCATTTCTCCTCAGAGTGCATTTCATTTGTAATCGCCAGCATCAATTTTCTCTGTGGCATGTGATGTATTTGGCGATGGAGGAACACGCACACACATCATCATCCGAAAACAGTACGTATATATGTGTATAGAATGGAAGAAGTTGAGGAGGAGAATAATTCATGGGCAAAGACCATAATATTCTCGATATATTGCAAATAAATGTCAGAGATAAAAGATAAGAAAGATTTCAAACACGATAAGCTTTCATAAATTGTTTCATCATAACGAAAATCTGTCAGTTCTACTAAATAAAAATCGTAATGCGAGTGATCTTCATCGTCATCATCATTATTCTTCATGTTGAACTTTGCAAATGCAAAAACAATACTGAAGAAACGATTGACTATTATAATAAACTTCTCATTGGTGATACAAGTAAATTATCTGAATTGAATATGTTCTTGACCGCAATGCCGAAAGGTGGTGACTTACATCATCATTACTCCGGTTCGATTTATGTTGAAACTTATCTGAATTGGATTTCGAAACATAATTTTTGTGTTTATTATGAAAATAATCAAATATTGAACATCGAAAAATATCGGCTCGAAACGAAACTTGAGGGTTTATCGGAAGAAGCCAAAAAAGTCTGTCTCACTGCTGATGAAACACGCGAAAACACGAACTTTTATCGGCAATTATTAAAACATTGGTCTGATATGGATTATTCCAATCATTATCACGAACAAACCCCACCAAGTCAACAGTTTTTCGATACATTTTCTTATTTTGGTCCGATATCTTATCAAGAATACAACGAAGGATTAAATTGGATAAAAAACACAGCGATCAACGAAAATGTTCAATATATTGAGACAATGTTAACAAGTTCTCCAAATCTCGTTGTTTCCGATTATCTAAATACTCTCATCGATAATTTAACATCGATTTCATCGGATGAACATATCGACGAGGTTCTAAAAATTTATTTTGATACAATTCGAAACAACATAACAATAAATACAACGATAAATAATCATGTTGAAATGATTGAAATGGTATCCAAAGGAATCAACGATCAGAATTTCACAATACGTTTCCAGAGTTATGTCTCACGAAATAGTAAACCTTCTCGTGTATTCGCTAGTTTAGTTTCTTCGTTTTGTGCTGCAACACGAAGTGATTTCATCGTTGGTGTGAATATCGTTGGTCCAGAACATGGATTTATCGCTTTAAGAGATTATTCCTTACATATGAAAATGTTTCGATTTTTAAAGAAACATTTTCCTTATGTGAAACTTTCAATGCATGCGGGCGAATTAGTTTTAGGTTTAGTTCCACCTGAGCAATTGCAATTTCATATACGTGAAGCAATTGAAATCGCCGGAGCAAACCGAATTGGACACGGAATCGATATATTCTATGAAAAACATTCGTATGAACTTTTACAAAAAATGAAGCAGAATCAAATCGCCGTAGAAGTTGTTGTTAGTAGTAATGCTTTCATTTTAGGAATACAAAATCAAGCACATCCCATGTTAGTCTATAAAGCACATCAAGTTCCGTTAGTTATCGCCACGGATGATCCAGGTGTTTCGAGATCAAGTATGACAAATGAATATTTGCTATTTTGTGATCGATATAAACCGAGTTATGCGGAATTAAAAACGTTTGTGTATGATAGTATTCGATATTCGTTTTTGAACGATCAAGACAAAGAAAGACAATTGAAAAGCTTAGATCAGAGATTTGAGGTTTTTGAACAAATCATTGCAGATGTCAAGAAAGTCTTGGGTGATCCTGGTGTTTTGCCAACAGTTTCTTCATCGAATTTAAATTTCATCTCGTTATTTCTTTTTTGTGGAATTCAATTTTTAATAAATACCTTCCTTCTCAGTTAGAGATGGCGAAACAATTCCTTGATTTTCACTGACACCATTATGACAACGAATGTAAATGAAACATAATTGAAACGAAAATAATTTAGGTTCTGTATTTGATATAAGGTTAAATTGAAACAATCGGTTACAATTTTGTTCGAATTGATGATACACTTTCACAAATCGTTGGCATTGGATAAAGATCTTTTTCTTCAATCGATTAATCAAAAAGAGTCAGTTTGGTGCTAACTTCATATCGACAATGATGTCGTTATGCGCTAAGCATTTCTTCACAGAAGAATATTTGTAATCTGTCTCGTAAGTAATCTAATAGATGTTTAAATATATAAAATATTATGTAGTTTTTGAATTTTGTAGGAGATTAAATCTCTCTCAATCACTGCTGAAAATGTGTATAGTATCGTAACATCAATTGTGTTTTTTTTAATGCTAATCTTATTGATGCTAAATGAAAAGGAATCATCGGTGAGAGTGAGGGTTAGAATGTCATTTTCATTCATATAATCTGGATTTGTAAAACTCAAAAAATGATTAAGATGATGCAAAATACATAAGAATCAATATTGGGTTGAGCCTAAAAAATGAAAGGGTATTGAATATAGCGCTATTTGTTTTTGTGCAATCAGATCCTGTATAACCAATGTTACATAATTTGGTGATGTTGAGATTAGCAACAATGACATCCCATGCAGCACATGTTGGTGAATGATAGCCACTGGTTGCTAATTGAATTGTTGCACTACTATTTCCTGACACTGTATTTGAAATAATGATGTATGAAGAAGCATTCGTGGTGGAATACGTTGGCCAACCTCCAAGTTGGCTCAATTGATTGATTAATGGATTTGTAGTTTCATTATTTAATGGTGTATTAGGATTCCCATTCACAATAAATCTAATCCAAAGCAAACTCATAGCCCATGCTAATATTTGTTCATCTGTATTGAACGTATTAACTGGAAATATAATTTGTGTTAATGGTGATGAATTCGCCATATTGAATACAAATGGAAGTTCTTGACCATGAACGGATTGTGATAAATCAGCAAAGGGAGATGATAAAGGAATATAATTGAATGAATATAAATATACTGATCCATTTCCATTGTTCGTTAGATAAGCAGCTATTCGACGAACAGGGCATTGCATTATACCTGTGGATAGCGCATCCGTTAAGCCATAGTAATTGAGTAATATTGGAGGTACATATGGATTGACATAGGGATTATAAGTGGTATTCAAATAGGCAGATTGTCCTTTTGAATATATTTGAATCCATTGTGATAGAACAGTTTGACTGACATTTCTTACTTGCCATCCTGGTTCAAAACCACCAGCAATAAATAAACCAAATTCAGCGTTTGTTGTTCCAGTTAAAAGTGAAATATTTTTTGGAAATGTTTTTGTTCGAAATAATTTAGTAATTGAATCAGGAATAACCAAACCATCGACCAGTGGATGAAATGCAACGGCAGCAAAGAAATTGAGATAACCTTTCGATTGCGCATATTGAAGAAGGTTCGTTGAATCGATAGATTGTAAACATGAAACCATATTCGATAATGATGAATTACAGAAATATGACGAAATATCATCACCAATCATCTTCATATACGATAAAGGTACTTGTCCCATATCACAACCTCCACTTTGCATGATAGCACGCTGAAATAAATTTTGAGATGCAGGCGCAATCAAATGAAGACAGACAGAAATAGATCCTGCGGAATGTCCTTGTATTGTAATAGAATTAGGATTACCACCAAAAGCTAAATATAAAATATAAGTAAATATGATCAAACTTATTTTTCACTTACATTGAATGTTATCTCGAACCCATTTAATTGCCATCTGTTGATCTTCAAAACCTTGTAAACCTGATGATTGAATAGGCCCTGGTCTACTAGCTGACAGAGCTGTCGATGCCATAAAACCGAAAACATTAACACGATAACGTATAGCAACATAAATGACATTTTGATACAACGAAATGAGTGCAGTTGGACTATGTGGATCTGAAGTTTCAAAACCACCACCATAGATATAGACCACTACGGGTAATAAAGTTCCATTATTGATGTTTAATGGAAGAAAAATGTCAAGGTAGAGGCAATCTTCTTGTCCATAGATCTCACTTGAATTTTCTAAGGAGATTTGCATACAATTGAGTACAGGAAATCCACCCTGATGTGCTGCTCCTGTTGCATTGTAGACGCCGGAAGACGAAATATTAACAAGAGCAACAGGCGGTTTGAAACGAAGTGTACCAACAGGTGGTTGTGCAAAAGGAATACCAATAAATTGACGAACATTATTTATGACCGGATTTATTTCTCCTTGAATCAAGCCTAACGATGAAGTGTTAATGAGTAACTGAGCTGAAGAGCCATACCTCGCGTTTATACAAACAGCTATTAGTAGCAAAAACATGCGCTTTGTCGTTCTTAGTATCGCGTTTTTTTCTTTGATAGATGTTTTGCGTATGAAAATGTACTTTTATAGGGTTATGACAGAACGTTGCGGACGTCGATTATTCATTTGCTTATATTCAAGGTAGTAAGCAACGCCCTTTTCGTCTCTTATTCTGTCCGTCAATACCTATGCATAATTTCAAGCCATACGTACGATATCCGTTTGTCCTTGTTTAAGAGACTCGACATATAAGTTCGAAACTATTAAATACTCCGTCAGAAATTAATGATTTCGATTAGACAAAAAAATTGTCTCATATTTATTATTCAAAATAGAAGATACTTTATCTAAAATTATTACGCTTATTTTAAAACTGTTGAAATTCTTCTTTTCAAAAAACGAGAGAATAATTTTCGTTGATGCATCCAACTTCTAGAGTCATTGCTTGACTAAACGTCGATTTGAACTATAGTAGACTTCGCGTACGTATAGCTCAGTGGTGTATGTGTGACTGCGCTATACACACTTTATGATGTTTCGCGTCTAATGAATTATGATAATTATGTCCTTACTTCAGTGTATTGCATTAGAACGATGCGATTTAAGAGGAAGAAATAAATATAAGCGTAGGCCCATCAGCGCATATAGACGGCGCACCTGATAGACGAAGGGAAGCAGTTGCCTCTTCTAAAGAAATTCTAGAGAGGCAATGAAAAGTTATTACCTCTATTAATATTCTCATCTTTTAAAAGTTATTCTAAGAGTATTGACAACTTTATCGAGATGCTTTTAAATAATAAATCTATAGACAACTGAAGACATTTTTCAACGATTTCTTCGATTTTTTAGATTATTTTCGAAAAACCTTCATAGAGAGTGAGGGCGAATGTAAAATAACCGGATTTTTCTACCAGTTGCAGCTTTTCAACACGAGCGACGCTCGACACCGATATTTCTTATTTGTCACCAAATATCCTCGCCTGTAGGTACATAATTATTGGTTTTCGTAGCATATGCATCCGTTGTTTTGTTTTTGTTCTCTTTCAATTCAAAATTCACTAATCTCATGTCACTAAAAAAAGTAACTTTGGTTCAAAATCACAACGAAAGATCGGTTGTGAAGAAAAACGATATGGACATACGTTCTAAAGAAAATGTGTTGAATTTTTTCTGTGTGATCCCTCAGGGTACAACAACGCAAAAGAAAGAGAGTAAATAGAGAGAGATGTCAGTGATTGCTTTCTCTCGACACGCTGCATTACTTTTGCTCACATTAGAGATGAAAACGATCGGACTTTAATAAATGTGTGTTTTGCTGCGCAGCGCAAACGAGAACATACTAATTTTGGGATTCAAAATCAATATGCTTCTCCCTCGTATATTAAACAGATATCCTACATAATTATTTATGGAAGCTGTGTCCATGTTCCTTTTCTTTACTGTTTGAGAAATTTTGTGTGAGTGATCTATTCAAATGTAAACAAACTAGACGATTAAAGGCATTTTCTTGTTGTGTCGATGGCAAGCAAAGATATAAGTTTCTTTTCTTCCTATATGAGAGAAGGACCGATGTTTCTGTTGTTGCAAACGCCATTTTCAAGGAGACAGAGAAAACAGAGGAAAGCTGTTAACTGAATATGCAGCTTTCAAAATAAAAAACTAAAAAATTCAATGTCTGTAGCGATTTGTCTCTAACCTGTTTGTTAGATTTAACTAAATGGTTTACATTGAAAGTATCTCGCGAAGTGGAAATATTACGCTTTGTGACTTTTGTTTCGATTTCAGTAAGCTTTATGTTGAAGAGTGAAGTTATGGCAACAGGTAAAAAGAAACGTTGTTTGCCATGGGAGTTTGAAACTGAAAAGAAGAAGAGAAAAAAAAAGCAGTGTACAACTTTTATGACATTGTTTACGTCCTTCATCGTGAAACAAATGAGAAGATCCCCATTCGATATTTGGTTGGGTTAGTTTATATTCTTCAACTCTTACACTCATTCCTGAACGAACCATGACTATGGTTTTCCAATCCATACGCAATGAAAGTTGCACCAAATATTCTCTTCTGCTCACGATTATTGTTTGCATTCTGTTCTTCTACAAAACACATCTAATTGACTTTAACAACAAGTATTTCATTGGTCCGCATGACAACTTGAACAAACAGCGTAATACAATAAAATCAAACGACCTTCTATGGTGTGACAAAAATCCTTTTTTAAGAAATTACAACGCACAATTAGTAATAGACTTAGAATATAAATACAACTTGTGGACAGACGGTGCATTTGCAAACACATTTGATTTCATCAAAAAATACGTTCTTTCTCCTAATGAAACAAGGAAAGAGTTTCCTCAAGTTCTCTATCCAATCAAAGAATACTTACCCTGTCCATATAGTGGTAATCGTATGAAACGATATGGTCTTCCAGATGACACTGGAAAGTTGCTCTGTGGCTTAGAAATACTATCTGCGGCTGATTCTTGCATTGTGTACAGTCTGGGTTCTGGAAACAAGACGTGATCGGTTACACTTTTACAAAGTTTGTCTAGGTGAAAAATCACCTATGCAACGCTATATCTATCCAGAATCTGGCAAGTACTTAGACAACCCGCTTCTGGCTATAATGACTTACATGAACTTTGATCAGATTTTGAAGATAAACAATCATACTGAGGTACACGTTCTGAAAATGGATATTGAAGCCGGAGAATATTCTGTATTCAGAGATTTATTGAATAGTAGCAAGAGAAGAAACTTGCCATATCAAATAGCGTTTGAATCTCATTGGTGGCATCGAGATATTTATCATAGTATGATGCATATCTCCTTATTCTCACAACTGTGGAAAAGTGGCTACCGACTTCTGCAGTATGAGATAAATAAGTACGATCATTCTTGTGTTGAGTGGACTTTTATGCGCGTTTTTTGTTAGACAAACCCCTTCAGTTAACTTGCAAAAGCTCTCAACAAAAGTGGAAGATTTTGTCGTACAATTATTCTTCTTCTTTTCAATAAATTTTTCACACACACACGATATTCTAAAAACAATATATCAAGAACAACATCAATCTTCGGAAGCTTCAACAAATCCTAATTCAATATGTGTTCCCCTAGGTAAATTGTGTTGCAATTTCGGTGTAACACCATATACCGTCATTGTGTCATTTTCACTTGATTCAACACTTGGAAGAGGTGTTGTGCTTATAAATACTTCGACAGTTTGGGTGTTATTCTCATTGGTGAGATTTCGAATTTGTCTAGAATAAGAAAAAATAACGTGGCATTGAATAAAATATTGATTGGATTCTTACTTTACAAATGATGGTACGTGTGTCGAATTTTGGAAACCAAATAAAACCGCAAGAACGATAATCAAGATAAATAGGAGAGCGACGAGACCAAGCAGAATCGTAAGAAAGGTATCGCTGAGAAGAAATGATGTCTTTTTCGAACGTTGAACATTTGCTGATTCGTTCATTAATGTTAAACGTGTATCATCCGTGGTATGAGCAGCATTCTTCTTCTTGTTCGTTGCTTTACTCATCTTATTTTATTCGAACTGAAAGAACTCTCTGGCTAAACAAGAAAATAAAACAAACTGAAGCAATCATTTGTCACTCATTACTGTTAAAAGAAGAAAAAAAAGTGTGAAAACGAAACCATATAATGCAATCAATAACAGTCTTTTTATTTTTCATGTTGACATGTAATTATTCGACAGTTTCTTTTTTATGCGACAGAAAATAGACAATTTTATGCATGTTAAAGTTGTTTACGTATGTCTTCGAGTAATGCATTGACTTTTGTCATGTCTTTGCCAAGGAGATCGAGTAGAGATGTACGTGCTTTTTGTACGATGCCGTGCCACATCATTGAAAAGGACGTGAAACGCGTTTCAAGTATCAAAATAATGATAGCAGAAGTAAGCACTTCATTCGGAGCTATATGTTGAAATACATTCCATGGTTTACCAGTCAATTTTTGAATATCAGTTTCGTCTAGTTGCCACGAGCCATTGAACTTTTGTTTGTCAATTAAATAACGAACAATATCTTCGTCACGCATAACTGACAGATCAGTCGCTGAGGTCGGAATGAAAGTTTGGAATGGAGTATTTTGTGGCACAGGTTTACAAGAAAACAAATCTGCATCTTCTTCTTCGTCGTCGCTGTCGTCAGCATCTGGCAACGGTATATTCATGCAGCACTAAAAAGAGATATAATTAGCATCATGCTTCGACAATATATTTATAAATCCTATGATATACCATATCCATATCCGTTGAACGATAACGATTGTTGCTTAATGAACAGTTCACTAGCGATTGAGGTGCACTCATAAAATTGCAGGCTTCTTCATCACAATCATCGAAATCGAAGGCGTTAAGCATTAACGCATTCGAATGAGTATACAAATGTTGATCATCAGTTGCTATCTGAATAGGTACTTCACGTAGTACCATATCAACGTTACTTGCATTCACTCGTTTTTCAACGCCAATAAAAGCTGTATGAGGACTGAGGATATTGTATCTAAGCGATAATTCAATGATACNAAGAAATTGAGATAACCTTTTGATTGCGCATATTGAAGAAGGCTCGTTGAATCGATAGATTGTAAACATGAAACCATATTCGATAATGATGAATTACAGAAATATGATGAAATATCATCACCGATCATCTTCATATACGATAAAGGTACTTGTCCCATATAACAACCTCCACTTTGCATGATAGCACGTTGGAATAAATGTTGAGATGCAGGCGCAATCACATGGAGACAAACAGAAATAGATCCTGCGGAATGTCCTTGTATTGTAATAGAATTAGGATTACCACCAAAAGCTAAATATAAAAAATAAGTAAATATGATCCAAACCTATTTTTCACTTACATTGAATGTTATCTCGAACCCATTTAATTGCCATCTGTTGATCTTCAAAACCTTGTAAACCTGATGATTGAATAGGTCCTGGTCTACTAGCTGACAGAGCTGTTGATGCCATAAAACCGAAAACATTAACACGATAACGTATAGCAACATAAATGACATTTTGATACAATGAAATGAGTGCAGTTGGACTATGTGGATCTGAAGTTTCAAAACCACCACCATAGATATAGACCACTACGGGTAATAAAGTTCCATTGTTGATGTTCAATGGAAGAAAAATATCAAGGTAGAGACAATCTTCTTGTCCATAGATCTCACTTGAATTTGCTAAAGAGATTTGCATACAATTGAGTGCAGGAAATCCACCCTGATGTGCTACTGCTGTTGCATTATAGACGCCGGAAGACGAAATATTAACAAGAGCAACAGGCGGTTTGAAACGAAGTATACCAACAGGTGGTTGTGCGAAAGGAATACCAATAAATTGACGAACATTATCTATGACCGGATTTATTTCTCCTTGAATCAAACCTAACGATGAAGTGTTAATGAGTAACTGGGCTGAAGAGCCATACCTCGCATTTATACAAACAGCTATTAGTAGCAAAAACATGTGCTTTGTCATTCTTAGTATCGCGTGTTTTTCTTTGATAGATGTTTTGCGAATGAAAGTGTACTTTTATAGGGTTAGAACAGAACGTAGCGGACATCGATTACTCATTTGCTTATATTCAAAGTAGTGAGCAACGCCCTTTTCGTTTCTTATTCTGCACATCAATATACCTATGTATTACTTCAAGGCGCATACGTCATGCGAGTGGTATGTACGCCATACAATAATGTTTAGCTGGAATGAGAATAAGTTGACAAGATATGCATAGTTCCAAGCCATATTTACGATATCCTTTTGTCCTTTGTTTAAGAGACTCGACGTATAAGTTCGAAACTATTAAATACTCCGTCAGAAATGAATGATTTCGATTAGACAAAAAAAACTGTCTTATATTTATTATTCAGAATAGAAGATACTTTATCTAAAATTATTATGCTTATTTTAAAAATATTAAAATTCTTGTTTGAGGAAACGAGACAATCATTGTCGTTCATGCATCCAACTTCTAGAGTCATTGCTTGACTAAACATCGATTTGAACTACACTAGACTTTGAGTACGTATAGCTCAATGGTGTATGTGTGACTGCGCTATACACACTTTATGATGTTTTGCATCTAATGGATTATGATAATTATGTCCTTACTTCAGTGCATTGCATTAGAACGATGCGATTTAAGAGGGAGAAATAAATATAAGCGTAGGTCTATCAGCGCACATAGACGGCGCGCCTGATAGACGAAGGGAAGCAGTTGTCTCCGATAAAGAAAAGCTAGAGAGGCAATGAAAAGTGATTACCTCTATTAATATTCTCATCTTTTAAAAGTTATTCTAAGAGTATTGAATTTCTTTTCCCGAAACTTTTTTTTATAGACGAGAGAATGTCGAGAAATGAAAACTTTATCGAAATGTTTTTAAATGAGAAATCTGGGAAACTGGAGACATTTTTTAACCGTTTCTTCGATTTTTTAAATTATTTGCGAAAAATCTTCATAGAGAGTGAAGACGAATGTAAAATAACCTGATTTTTCTATCAGTTGCAGCTTTTCAACACGAGCGACGCTCGACACCGATATTTCTTATTTGTCACCAAATATCCTCACGTGCAGGTACATAATTATTGATTTTCGTAGCATATGCATCCGTTGTTTTGTTTTTGTTCTCTTTCAATTCAGAATTCAATACTCTCATGCCACTAAAAAAAGTAACTTTGGTTCAAAATCACAACGAAAGATTGGTTGTGAAGAAAAACGATATGGATATACGTTCTATACTTGCGTTCTACAGAAAATGTGTTGAATATTTTCTGTGTGATCCCGCAGGGTACAACAACGCAAAAGAAAGAGAGTAAATAGAGAGACATGTCAATGATTGCATTCTCTCGACACGTTACATTACTTTTGCTCACATTAGAGATGAAAACGATCGGACTTTAATAAATGTTTGTTTTGCTGCGCAGCGCAAACGAGAACATACTGATTTCAGGATTTAAAATCAATATGCTTCTCCCTCGTATATTAAACAGATATCCTACGTAATTATTTATGGAAGCCGTGCCCATGTTCATTTTCTTTACTGTTTGAGAAATTCTGTGTGAGTGATCTATTCAAATGTAAACAAACTAGACGATTAAAGGCATTTTCTTGTTGTGTCGATGACAAGCGAAGATATAAGTTTCTTTTCTTTCTATATGAGAGAAGGACCGATGTTTCTGTTGTTGCAAACGCCATTTTGAAGGAGACGAAGAAAACAGAGGAAAGCTGTTAACTGAATGTGCAGCTTTCAAAACAAAAAACTGAAAAATTCAATGTCTGTAGCGATTTGTCTCTAACATGTTTGTTAGATTTAACTAAATGGTTTACATTGAAAGTATCTCGCGAAGTGGAAATATTACGCTTTGTGACTTTTATTTCGATTCCAGTAAGCTTTATGTTAAAGAGTGAAGTTATGGCAACAGGTAAAAAGAAACGTTGTTTGCCATCGGAGTTTGAAACTGAAAAGAAGAAGAGAAAAAAAAGCAGTGTACAACTTTTATGACATTGTTTACGTCCTTCATCGTGAAACAAATGAGAAGATCCGCAGTCGATATTTGGTTGGGTTAGTTTATATTCTTCAACTCTTACACTCATTCCTGAACGAACCATGACTATGGTTTTTCAGTCCATACGCAATGAGAGCTGCACCAAATATTCTCTTCTGCTCACGATCGTTGTTTGCATTCTGTACTTCTATAAGACACATCTAATTGACTTTAATAACAAGTATTTCATTGGTCCGCGTGACAACTTGAACAAACAGCGTAATACAATAAAATCAAACGGCCTTCTATGGTGTGATAAAAATCCTTTTTTAAGAAATTATAACGCACAATTAGTATTAGACTTAGAATATAAATACAACTTGTGGACAGACGGTGCATTTGCAAACACATTTGATTTTATCAAAAAATACGTTCTTTCTCCTAATGAAACAAGGAAAGAGTTTCCTCAAGTTCTCTATCCAATCAAAGAATACTTACCCTGTCCATATAGTGGCAATCGTATGAAACGATATGGTCTTCCAGATGACACTGGAAAGTTGCTCTGTGGCTTAGAAATACTATCTGCGGCTGATTCTTGCATTGTGTACAGTCTGGGTTCTGGAAATGATTTTCGATTTGAAGAATCAGTTTTAGCAGAGACTAAGTGTACCGTGCACACTTTCGACTGTACAAGTTTTCCGCCAGAAACAAGACGTGATCGGTTACACTTTTACAAAGTTTGTCTAGGTGAAAAATCACCTATGCAACGCTATATCTATCCAGAATCTGGCAAGTACTTAGACAACCCGCTTTTGGCTATAATGACTTACATGAACTTTGATCAGATTTTGAAGATAAACAATCATACTGCGGTACACGTTCTGAAAATGGATATTGAAGCCGGAGAATATTCTGTATTCAGAGATTTATTGAGTAGTAGCAAGAGAAGAAACTTGCCATATCAAATAGCGTTTGAATCTCATTGGTGGCATCGAGATATTTATCATAGTATGATGCACATCTCCTTATTCTCACAACTATGGAAAAGTGGCTACCGACTTCTGCAGTATGAGATAAATAAGTACGATCATTCTTGTGTTGAGTGGACTTTTATGCGCGTTTTTTGTTAGAAAAACCCTTCGGTTAACTTGCGAAAACTCTCAACAAGAGTGGAAGATTTTGTCGTAAAATTATTCTTCTTCTTTTCAATAAATTTTTCACACACACACACACGATATTCTAAAAACAGTATATCAAGAACAACATCAATCTTCGGAAGCTTCAACAAATCCTAATTCAATATGTGTCCCCCTAGGTAAATTGTGTTGCAATTTCGATGTAACACCATATACCATCATTGTCTCATTTTCACTTGATTCAACACTTGGAAGAGGTGTTGTGCTTATAAATACTTCGACAGTTTGGTTGTTACTCTCATTGGTGAGATTTCGAATTTGTCTAGAATAAGAAAAAATAACGTTGCATTGAATAAAATATTGATTGAATTCTTACTTTACAAATGATGGTACATGTGTCGAATTTTGGAAACCAAATAAAACCGCAAGAATGATAATCAGGAGAAATAGGAGAGCGACGAGACCAAGCAGAATCGTAAGAAAAGTATCGCTGAGGAGAAATGGTGTCTTTTTCGAATGTTGAACATTTGCTGATTCATTCATTAATGTTAAACGTGTATCATCGGTGGTATGAGCAGCATTCTTCTTCTTGTTCGTTGCTTTACTCATCTTACTTTATTCGAACTGAAAGAACTCTCTGGCTAAACAAGAAAATAAAATAAACTGAAGCAGTCATTTGTAACTCATTGCTGTTAAAAGAAGAAAAAAAAGTGAGAAAACGAAACCATATAATGCAATCAATAACAGTCTTTTTATTTTTCATGTTGACATGTAATTATTCGACAGTTTTTTCTATGCGGCAGAAAATAGGCAATTTTATGCATGTTAAAGTTGTTTACGTATGTCTTCGAGTAATGCATTGACTTTTGTCATGTCTTTGTCAAGGAGATCGAGTAGATATGTGCGTGCTTTTTGTGCGATACCGTGCCACATCATTGAAAAGGACGTGAAACGCGTTTCAAGTATCAAAATAATGATAGCAGAAGTAAGCACTTCATTCGGAGCTATATATTGGAATACATTCCACGGTTTACCAGTCAATTTTTGAATATCAGTTTCGTCTAGTTGCCACGAGCCATTGAACTTTTGTTTGTCAATTAAATAACGAACAATATCTTCGTCACGCATAACTGACAGATCAGCCGCTGAGGTCGGAATGAAAGTTTGGAATGGAGTATTTTGTGGCATAGACTGACAAGAAAACAAATTTTCATCATCATCTTCTTCTTCGTCGTCGTCGTCGTCAGCATCTGGTAACGGTATACTCATGCAATACTAAAAAGAGATATAATTAGCATCATGCTTCGACAATATATTTATAAATCCTATGACATACCATATCTATATCCGTTGAAAGATAACGATTGCCGCTTAATGAACGGTGCGATAGCGATTGAAGTGCATTTATCGGACTGAGGGCGGCATTTTCACTATCACAATAATCATCGAAGTCGAGCGCGTTAAGCATTAACGCATTCGAATGAGTATACAAATGTTGATCATCAGTTGCTATCTGAATAGGTACTTCACGTAGTACCATATCAACGTTACTTGCATTCACTCGTTTTTCAACACCAATAAAAGCTGTATGAGGACTGAGGATATTGTATCTAAGCGATAATTCAATGATACGTTTTTTAGTTAGCTCTTTCGTTGTTTCATCATCGCTGCTATTTGATGCTACAGATTTTTGAAAACGGGCTTGTAATGAGCCTGTATTTAGCTTTTGTTTCGATGATGGTAATTTTTGATGTTGTAGCTCAAGAATAAGCGCTTTTGCAGCTAATCGAGCGATAGTCTCGTTGTTACTAACATTTGGTATTCGAGTAACTTTCGCTTCGCCTATACGATGCTGCGCAGATATCAATTCAACTCTTGCGTTATGATCAAATCGAATGGATGCATTATCGGCAAGGGCATATACGATTAAGCGATCATTAATATAAACTGGCGGCGTTTTAGTCGGAACCGTTGTAATGGCTGTTGCGGTATCCAAATGCCATTTGACTTGCACATCAGTGATGCATGGTTGTAATGCTTTTTGCAATTGCTCACCGACATGAATGTCAACACTGGTGTTCGGTGGAATGAAAACAAATCGACCGTTGGTTGCTCGAGCCAAGCCTTTGACAAGTGAACGACTAGGTGAAGAGCCCAGCCCAAATGAAAAGATTCGAGTTGACGTCGCCATTGTTCGACAGAGATCAACTACTTGATCAACATCGGATATTTCACCATCAGTGAGAAGAAAGATTTGGCGAGAACGGCCTCGAACAGGTGGATTTCTATCAAGCCATTGTAAAGGAGACAACTATATGAGAGAAAGTTTAGCAAATTTAATTCTATAGAGCACAACACCTACTAATTCGGTTCCGCCTAAATCTGCTTTCATTGTCTTCGTCAGTTGTTCAGCGTTTTGTGCGTTTACTTCATTATATACAGCAGTAGTCTCTGGGAATAAACTTTGATGGTTACTACCGAATCGAACGATATTAAAATGGCAATTAACAGGAAGACTTTTGAGAAAGAGTAACATGGCTTGTCGAGCTAATTCAATTTTGTTTTCTTCATCCATTGAGCCGCTACAGTCTACAACGAAAATAAATTCATTCGTAATGTTTTTATTGTCTGTAGTTCGTTGGCAATCTTGCTCATTGGGTGTAAATGAAGCCATAACTGCATTCGATTCAACAGCGAGAATAGTATTCGATCGACTCTCAGCAAGTTGCGTATCAACAATAATATCTCGATCTAAATGCGTATTTTGTTGCGCAAATGTAACATTGTAGAAATCTTGTTGACTGAAATCGATTTGAATTGGATGGGAGGGTGAACTAATACCGGCAATCTCAAACTTTTCCACTTGACAATGATAATCAATGGTGTATGGAGTAGACTGAACATATTTCGATGTTGTACCAGCAGGTGAACCCAATCCACCCTGAGAAGGATTATAACGAGGCGCGATTGTCGTTGGTACAACAAATCGAATTTTTTTGCCATCTTCAACCAGACTCAATTCTGTGACATAGGAAATGACGACTTCACATTCTTTCCCAGGTGGAAGTGCACCGACATTAATAATGAAATTATCTTGTGACTTTTCATCTTGTTCTAATAAATAAGCACCATGACCTGATTGAAGTGCTTGACTGTACTCTTTTTGAGCTGTTGCTTTCTCTTTTAATTGAGCGATAATTTCTCGATCATCGATACGTGCTGTGAAATTGTAGATAGCTGCTTGCTCTTCGATCGGAAAACAGTACACAGCTTCTATGTGTGTTGTTTCGTCATTGCGAAATAGTTGTGTAATAGTCACATCAGCAGCGAAAGATCGAATCGTTGCTACAACACTCACTTTTTTTAGAGGAATTAGTTGCTGTTGATTGTCTTGGCTTCGAAGCATTTTGAAGACAATATGCCTTTCTGAAAAAAAAAACACGTCAGTTAAATATGCAACGATAGGAAGTAAATACTCAGTGATAAAGCGGTCGATCACGCTTGCTTATGTGTCAGAAATGCAAAATAAATGTTGCTCAAGTCACGTATACAATTAGATAAGTGCGGAGAATGAGTTGTTATGAGTCACCTCGCACAACTATGAATCAGCGGCATCTGTTAGTATTTTTTACTTTTGTCTCTGTTTGTCAAACATGATAGTGTGACAAAGGGAATTCCATGTTTTTTATGTCTATAATCATTACCACCAGTTTGTTGATGTTAAACTCCACTTTTTAATAATCGCGAACCAATATAAAATAAAATATACTTATGTCAATAGTCGTCATATTTTTTCCAATAAANTCTTCGTGAGTTGTTCAGCGTTTTGTGCGTTTACTTCATTGTATACAGCAGTAGTCTCTGAAAATAAACTTTGATGGTTACTGCCGAATCGAACGATATTCAAATGGCAATTAACGGGAAGACTTTTGAGAAAGAGTAACATGGCTTGTCGAGCTAATTCAATTTTGTTTTCTTCATCCATTGAGCCGCTACAGTCTACAACGAAAATAAATTCATTCGTAATGTCTTTATTGTCTTTAGTTCGTTGGCAATCTTGTTCATTGGGTGTAAATGAAGCCATAACTGCATTCGATTCAACAGCGAGAATAGTATTCGATCGACTCTCAGCAAGTTGCGTATCAACAATAATATCTCGATCTAAATGCGTATTCTGTTGTGCAAATGTAACTTTGTAGAAGTCTTGTTGGCTGAAATCGATTTGAATTGGATGGGAGGGTGAACTAATACCAGCAATCTCAAACTTTTCCACTTGACAATGATAATCAATGGTGTATGGTGTAGACTGAACATATTTCGATGTTGTACCAGCAGGTGAACCCAATCCACCCTGAGAAGGATTATAACGAGGCGCGATTGTTGTTGGTACAACAAATCGAATTTTTTTGCCATCTTCAACCAGACTCAATTCTGTGACATAGGAAATGACGACTTGACATTCTTTCCCAGGTGGAAGTGCACCGACATTAATAATGAAATTATCTTGTGACTTTTCATCTTGTTCTAATAAATAAGCACCATGGCCTGATTGAAGTGCTTGACTGTACTCTTTTTGAGCTGTGGCTTTCTCTTTCAATTGAGCGATAATTTCTCGATCATCGATACGTGCTATGAAATTGTAGATAGCTGCTTGCTCTTCGATCGGAAAACAGTACACAGCTTCAATGTGTGTTGTTTCGTCATTGCGAAATAATTGTGTAATAGTCACATCAGCAGCGAAAGATCGAATCGTTGCTACAACACTCAATTTTTTCAGAGGAATTAGTTGCTGTTGATTGTTTTGGCTTCGAAGCATTTTGAAGACAATGTGCCTTTTCGCAAAAAAACACGTCGGTTAAATATGCAACGATAGGAAGTAAATACTGAGTGATAAAGCGGTCGATCACGCTTGCTTATGTGTCAGAAATGCAAAATAAATGTTGCTCAAGTCATGTATACAATTAGATAAGTGCGGAGAATGAGTTGTTATGAGTCACCTCGCACAACTATTAATCAGCGGCATCTGTTAGTATTTTTTACTTTTGTCTCTGTTTGTCAAACATGATAGTGTGACAAAGAGAACTCCATGATTTTTATGTCTATAATCATTACCACCAGTTTGTTGATGTTAAACTCCACTTTTTAATAATCGCGAACCAATATAAAATAAAATATACTTATGTCAATAGTCGTCATATTTTTTCCAATAAAACATCAAGAATTATACAATGTTAAAATGCCAGAAATCAACAATTATTTTGAGTAAAGTCCAAACTCATTGACAACACCAAAAAATTGTCCGTATTTTCCGTCAGGAGAATTTCCCACAAACGTCAAGTTTGGTAGGCCATTAGCAGTATATGAAAATGAATTTGTTGCATTGATTGACTTCCAATGTAAGATACCTTCGGGCAGGATTCGACATTTTCTCGAGCCGATTCGTTTCAGCGTAGGTTTCAATCGAACCAACACTGGTTCCAGATCAAACCTGACGAGCTCTATTGGTTCCCATCATATAAAAGTTTCACCCACACAGTCACTCACCCTCAAGAAGTCGTTCCATATGTAGTTAAAAGTATACGCCGCTTCATCGGTATTTTTAGAACTGGAATATAGCAAGTGTGATCGAGCCGTCGTCTTTTAGTTTGATTCGTGTTACAAGTGTTATTTAAAGAAAGAACCTTTGTAATATGTGAATCAACTTTTGTGTATGTCTTCTTTCGAACGGTGAACGTCAGCGTTTTTTTTCTTTCTGTATAAAGTAAAATCATGCAAAGAATCGACCAGTCTATACTCAGTTACTGTTTTAAGTTCTTGACTTATTTTCTCCATTGTTACAATGCATGGCGATCGAATGTTTCAAACAAAACTGTTCTGCTCCTTGCGATTGTTTTTGGTAACTTCATAATTAATCATAGAGAAAAGAGAAACAATTCAGTAAAGACTTTACGTAGACATTCAAAAGCATTTTTGTTGGCAAAGGCATCGTTTCAAAACCTGCGTTAATGCGTCGACATGCTAATGAAACTGTGACACAAAATACTCTTGTTGTATGGTTAGACGATCAAGCTAACAATGACCAACATCACATAGTGCACAAACTCGAACGCCTGATGAATCAAGTTCAATTGTGCACTGATCACAACTTCTTTTTGTACCAAGTCAACACAACGATTAACAAAGAATTATTTGTGATTATTCCTGGTTATGTTGGTCAATATGTTGTGCCTATGATCCATGACAAAAAAAACCTGAATTCCATTTACATTCTATGTGGCGACAAGGCGAAACATGAAAAATGGGCCAAGCAATGGGCAAATATCAAGGGTGTTTTTACTGATATCTCATCGATTCACGAAGCTTTGAAAGAAACAGTTCGACAACGCGAAGAAAATACCGTTGAAATTACTTTAACAAAAGTTACTCATCGCATTTCGGATGAGCGAGACTGGGAACCGCTTGAAAATTTCAGAGAAGCACTATTAGCAATTGAATCCAACGACGAGTACTTCAAAGATTTTATCGCTCATTACCGCACAGAATTCGTTGACGACGAGCATGAACTGAACAATATTCATCAATTGGAACACAATTATCATAGCCAATCACCAGTATGGTGGTATATGTCTTCGAATTCCTTGTATTCCATGTTGAATAAAGCTCTTCGAACAGTCGATATCGATGCGATGGTCAACATGGGTTTCTTTCTCCGGGATATACATAAACAAATCCAAAAATTACAGTTGGAACAGTTTTCTGATCAATCGGCGAATGATATATTCAAGGCTTACCGTGGACAAGGATTATCGAAAGAGAAGTTGAAAAGATTAATACAAAACGAAAAAGGTTTAATCATATTTCATAATTTCTTGTCTACGAGTAAAGACTACAAAGTCTCTCTTGACTTAGCGCACCAAGCTACGGTCAGTACTGATATGATCGGAGTTCTTTTTACGATCACAATTGACCCCCACAAATCAATCGCCTGTTGTGCATCTATTGGTCAAGTGAGCTCTTTGCATGACGACAATGAGATTCTGTTCTCAATGTATACCGCCTTTCGCATTATTGACGTCGAATCAATTAACGATAGTAAACGTCTTTATGAGGTTCATTTAACACCTCTTAGTGGAAACGATCCAGATCTGCACAAACTAACTTATCGTCGACAACTATCTGCACCCATCCTGTTTTCCGAACTGACATCTTGGAATCGTCTAGGGCGAGTGCTCAGCAATATGAGATGTTATCAGAAAGCTGAAGAACTTTACAACGTACAGTTGAGTCGGACAACGAATGATACCGATAAAGGACATATTTATCAGGAACTGGCATGGAACAAATGTCAAGAAGGTAAATTCGACTTGGCGATAGAATTTTATGAGAAGGCGGTAGACATGTATCAGAGCATGCATCCCCCAAATCAATTGGGTTTAGCAGAAGCACTGCTGAACATCGGTCACGTGTATACGAGGCAAAATAATTATACAAAAGCAATAGCGTATCATCAGGAGGCTATTGCCATTCAGCAAGAACTACTTCACTCCAATCCTTCTGTCCTAGCCCAATCATTTGATACCTTGGGATAATCTTGAATNGATTCAATCGATTGAAAAGCCAAGTGTTTGGCAATTCATACATTTGTTTTTTCGTTACCAAAGGTAAGATGTGGATATTAACGAATGCCTGTACGGCAGCAAGAATAAAAAAGAGTTTACCAACTAAACGTGACATTTCGGGAACAAGTTGTGAAAACTTAACTGCAGGATTTAAGCGAAAACTACGAACAAAGATTTGCTCCACTTTCTTGAAATAAATATTGTCTGGATTATTTTGTAAATCGGTATCGATTCCAAAAGCACATCTACCTGGAAAAATCATAAGTATCGCTGAAAAATGGGATAAATTTTTTCGAGACTACGCTTACATATGACATCCATCGTCATTCGTTTGTAATATGTATAAATATTGAAATCCTCTCCGCTCTGCGCATGGTTGCTTAACTTTTCCATTGCATTTGTGATGCAACCATTGATCAGTGGGCTCATCATCTTTAGTTTGGCTGCTGAGAACGTCGGATTGATTACATGGCGATGTCGACGCCACGTCGCACCAGCTGAAGAGAACACGTTTTTAAATGTGTTACCGGCTAAAATTTCTCTTCGTGCAGGAAAATTAAGAAACTGTTTGACGAATACTTCTTGTAGGAAATCAGGATCACTAACAACAAACGTGGGAGTGGCACCTTGATAGATTCCATAGATTTTGCCGTATTGTTGTGTCCAACTCTCGAGTTGACGATGAAAAGATGGAACGTTCCATAATGTTTTTATGTGTCCGAAGAAGAAGCGAAAAGGTGGTGTAGGAATACCACGGCGATGAAAATATTGATATCGTAGTTTTCGAAGAAATAAATAATAAAATGTAAGACTGAGCAATATAAGGAGTAGAGTGATCGGTAGATAAAACATTATTCTGTTTTTCCTTTTGCTTGATTGTGCGATCAAAAAATGAAATCGAAAGTGAAAGCGACGACGTCGAGATGCTTTTATATAGAAGCATGAATGGCCGAGGTTTGTTTGTCGTTCTGTATATGTTGACGAAAAGAAAGTGCGCTTTAGAACGAAAGGTCGAGGGATGTGATGACGAATCATATGACCTATCGCACTTTCTATAACAACGAACGTTTGTCTTTGTAATGCGCTCCTTACCTTGAATTCGCTTTGTGCTATGATACTTTTTGCAAGGCACGCTGTCACATGTGTCAGTGGGTATATTTCATCGCTAAATGAGCAGGTACGACGTCGATACGTGCTTTCCAATCGGTAGAATGATATCAAAGAGAAAACTACAGTAGATTACCTAGTGAAAGTTTCTGAAACATCACGAATGTGATGACTATGGATAGCTGATATTATCGACTATGATGAGAGATTGATTTACCCGTATAAAAATCTTCTTATCTCTCGAGTTCTATTTACCGATATAAGATATAACAAGTCCTCTCGCTACTTGTATATCTAGCCTGATGGCATAGTCCGCTGCTGCCAAGTTGCCGAAAAAATATTCGTTACTTATCTAATGGTAATTATCATCCTGCATAAGACACGACATTATCACATCATATAAAGTGTACAAGTTGCATACACCTTACAGGTGTATGCAGTTTTTGCCTAGATTCTCGCTTCCATTTGTTAAAACACGAATAATACAGACTTGTATTTACAGTTCTTACCCACAATTTCACGGTAAAGTTAACCGAGGACAAAATGGAATAAATCTCGAGATGAGGAATAGTCATAGTTACGATCTATCTTTATTAAATACATATGTCAAAAAATAGTTGTAATATACAGTGAGCGACTGAAAAAGTTCATTGGTCTCACAATAATTCAATTACAAATATTTTCAATCTTATCTGCATACTGATACTTGTCTACAATTTATTACACACAAAAATACACTTAAGAAACATTTCTAGGTATTAGTTTAACCCACACTTCTTCAGGAGCGGTAACAGCTCGTTCACGAATATTTAGTTTCGTTTGAAGTTGATCACTTGGTTGAATAGAATAGTCACGCAACATTCGAACAAGTAAAATCTTCATTTCAATCAGTGCAAATCGCATACCAATACACAAACGTGGACCTGCTCCGAATGGCAAAAATGCCATCGGATGCCGCTTCGTTCCATGACGTTCAGGATAGAACTCGTATGGATCTTCAGGTCCCCATAGTTCACGATCAAAGTGAACCGAATACACATCTGCATGTATCAACGTATCTAAAGAAGAAAAAAAAACGTATTTCAGATAGGACGGTCACAGATATCTGATGTCTACCTTTCTCGATGAAATATCCTTGGACTGTTGTGTCTGTAGCAGCGCATCTTTGCACAGCAGCATTCGCAATCGGGTGCATTCTAAGCACTTCTGATACGAACATGTCCATGTAAGGCATCTGTGCAACGATGTCATAGTCAGGATATCGTTTGGCTTCTTCGTCCGCATCATCGTTGCTCAGTGGAAGTTGATCGATTTCAGCTTGTAGTTTTTCGAGTACTTCGGGATGAGTGGCAAGTTCATAGGTGGCGAAGGCTAATGCAGTGGATGTTGTTTCATATCCAGCTGCCATGAAAGCAAGAATATTGCTGATAATTTCATCTCGAGTTAATCGATAGTTAGCTTTGCTCGTATCTTGTGAATTATCATCCTAGAAAATCGATATTTATTTACTTCGAACAAGTGTGTGATATATACCTGAATTTTCTGATCAGTCATGACTTGTAGCATAAGTTGTAACACATCAACTCGTGAGGTCGGTGTTTTTTCTCTTTGCTCAATGATGGGATTCAATCGATTGAAAAGCCACATGCCTGGTAATTCGCTTAGTTGCTTCGAGGTAACCAAAGGTAAAATATGAATGTTAACGAACGATCGTGCCGAATTGAAAGCAAAAAAAAGTCCACCAAACATACGCCCCATCTTAGGAAAAAGTTGTGAAAACTTGGCAAAAGGATTCAGTCGAACACTACGAGCAAAGATTTGCTCCACTTTCTTGAAATAAATATTGTCTGGATTATTTTGTAAATCGGTATCGATTCCAAAAGCACATCGACCTAAGAAGAAAATAGCAGTGGCAAATAGCATACCTTACAAGTGTCACTTACATATGACATCCATTGTCATTCTCTTATAATATACATATATGTTGAAATCATTGCCACGTTTCACATGATCCTCCAACTTTTCCATTGCATTCGTGATGCAACCATTGATCAGTGGGCTCATCATCTTTAGTTTGGCTGCTGAGAACGTCGGATTGATTACATGGCGATGTCGACGCCATGTTGCACCCCAAGAAGTAAATACACTTCGAATTTTATTTCCTGGTAAAACGTCTCTTCGTGCAGGAAAATTAAGAAACTGTTTGACGAATACTTCTTGTAGGAAATCAGGATCACTAACAACAAACGTGGGAGTGGCACCTTGATAGATTCCATAGATTTTGCCATATTGTTGTGTCCAACTCTCGAGTTGACGATGAAAAGATGGAACGTTCCATAATGTTTTTATGTGTCCAAAGAAGAAGCGAAAAGGTGGTGTAGGAATACTACGGCGATGAAAATATTGATATCGTTGTTGTAGGATGAAACAATAATAAACAATAAGGCTCACTAATGTGAGCAGCAACGTTATTGATAATAATAGCATTTTCTGAGTGTTGTTTTCCCTTGTCGTTTTCGATGAAAGAATGAATGTGAAAAAGGAAATATTTCTGCTCTTTTATATCAACGAATCAAACGCACCTTTACTTTTTTATTCACATGTTGACGAAAAGAAAGTGCGCTTTAGAACGAAAGGTCGAGCGATGTGATGATGAATCATATGACCTATCGCACTTTTTATAACAACGAACGTTCGTGATATTGGTGCGTTTCTTATCTTCGATACTCGTTATCGTAGACTAAAGTACAATAAAAAAAAGAGCCTGTTGTGTATGAATGGGCTCGTTCTATTGATTCTCACTCCATATGAGAATATTGAGCGCCTCTACTATCATATTTTTATTGCAAAAAATGTTTTAGACAAGATAAAATATCGTGTGCATGAAATCAAAAGTTGAGTATAAATAAAAGTGACGGTGTCAAGACATCTTTTGGTTTCAACTTTCTCTTTTAATTACGAGCTGATTTGGATGAGCTACAGAATTCGTATGTATTCATTTATGGAAGGAGAGAGAACTCACTGATGTGCACATAGCCGATGAAATTGCTTTCGACGGTACCGCATTCGAGGTAATTTTGCCGAGAGATAGATCAATTTTTGTTTGGTCTTATTCATCATTTCTCTGGAGAGTTCTAAATCGGTTGATTCTATCGTACTTGCAGTAAGTAACTTGTTATAGGCCGAATTGAACAGTTCGACAATGGATTGATAGTCCAAAATGTACATGAGTACGTCGAGAAGTCTTTTTGACGAAGATGAAAACGGCTTAAGACGGTTAGCAACCATTTGAAAGTCCTCGTTAAGTGCTTCGGTCATAATTTTTATTGTTTGCTGTTCTTGTAAGGTTGTGTTTAGCTCCATTACTTGTTCTGAAATATTTCTCAACTGCGATTCCATTGACCTGTACTTTACAAGTTCATTTTTTAACTGCACCTGTTGCTTCTTTAGTTTGTCGTCAGCTTCGTGCATTGCTTTTGCATTAGCCTTATACAGTGAGTCGTGTCTGACGTCAAAATGACAATTAGTTCCTCTGCTATGTAAACCTGTGTGAAACGGAAAACGATTTCCACCGCTATATCCACCAAAATGATGTTGGCCGTTATATCTACCGAATTGGTAATCTCCTCCGTAATCATTCTCTCGATAACGATTTCTATACATAATAGCTCGATATGTGTCAATCGCATATGAAAAAAGTTCAACCGCTTTTTTCGCTGCTATTTCTGCAAGTCGAACATCTTCTTTAGCAGTTTCAACCGTCGTGTTCAATTCATTCAATAAGATTTCGGTCTCTGTAGTTTCATTTTCCATTCGCGAAATTGATTCAAGGGCGTCACTGACGTGAAGAGCAGCTTGATTGAAAAGTCGTTGATTAGCCAAGGTTGTTTGTTGAAGGCTCGATTGTATTTCTTGAATTGTACAGTGAAGTTCATCAGGTAGATCGGAAGATGAATGATTAGCATTCATCAGTTTATCCACAATGTCCGATTTAAATAAGGAAAGGACATGTTGAAATGGAGAGATGACCAAGATATGCAGTTCCGACGTGTTGCTTGAATTGGACGCGTTTTCGCACCGAATAGCAATAGGTAACAGAAACAGAACGATATAACGAAACATCATTCCGCTTTTTCGAATCAATTGAAATTTTCTTTCACGTCGTTCGATGGTATTATATAGTTTTTAATCGAAAGGTCATAGGAGAATCGGATTTCTTCGTATCTTCCTTGGCACAAGAGATGGAATTTTCTCACGATATTACGTTGGTTATTCTCATCAAAACTATTGATTAAATAGGATGATGTAGCAAATAAACTTGAGCCTCGATTTTTTTGTAACAGGGTCTAATCCAATTGATATCGATGTTGAATACTTTGTTTTTGCTACTTAGACGCTCCTTATGTTTCGCAAATCACGAACAGTGACACCAGTTTGGTATTAGTACAAGATCTGCAACTGGTGATAACAAACTGTAGCTTAAAATCGATCCACGGCGAAGAATCATCAATTGTATGATCGACGAAATTCAATTCTACTCTTATATTACCATCCATCTTTTTTCGTTGTTCTCTATTTGACTTCTTCGATGTGTTCTCACGTTTTAATGATGAAAACGAATAAAACGCATAGCCAAACACAGCTTGCTCACGTAGAATTTCGCTTTTTCATGAGAAGATATGAGGAAGCATCTTTTTCTTAACAAGTACAGACACTCGTGTGAAAAGTGACAAGAATAAGAAACTCATGTAAAAAAAAGAAATGTTCATTTTGATCGATAATTTACAGTTTAGATATTTCTTCTTAGCCCTATTCAGTTATTGTCAGTTGGTGATGAAGTATCACAACGAGGACATCCCGGACATTGTTTCCCATTGATCATAGTAGTAGTTGGTTGAGGATTGTCACATACTATGTCCAAACAATTTAGTTGTGGGCATTCCTTAGGACAAAATGGACATCCTGGACATTTTCGACCGTTGATCATTATGACACCTGTTTCAGGATTATCGCACGGCAGTACTATTGCTGGGCACATCGGTCTTGGGCAGCTACCAGGGCAACGTGGACATCCTGGACATTTTTGTCCATTGATGGTCGTAAAAGTTTGTTCAGGATTTTCACATTGTGGTGCAATACATTTGATTAATGGACAGGCGATAGGACAACGTGGACACGCTGTACATATTTTACCATTAAATGTTGAATAAGTCGGTATTGGATTGTCACATTGTATGGCTAGGCATAAGATGTTTGGACATGGAATAATCTATTGGTAGAAAACAGTTTTGAAGTGTCGATATAAACCGTTACTTACTGCTTGAATCTCTGCATCGGAAAGTTGATCCGTTGATATATCCGCTGCTAAAAGAATGAGAACAATTAGATAGAGTTTGCATTAATATTTACTCTGTATATATCGTTACCTGGTGCACAGTATGCATAAGAAAGTATATATAAGATGTAGAAGAATTTCAACGCCGTCATCTTAGAATCGTGTAGTTCGTTTTTGCTGAAAATAAATCGAATCGAGTTTGGTTTTGAAGAATCTCCCACCTACCTTTTATATGTCAAGCGAACAAAAAGACGTATAAAGAAAGATAAAAATAGTGAAAAACATGATTACGCGCAAAGGCAAATTATTTATTTGCACGCATATATCGAAGGACGTTATTAGATGAGTAAAAATATGATGATCAAATGGTAAATGACGTCAGAGCAAGAACGGCGTAGCTTGAAATTATTGAGTACGAAAATCAAACGAGTATCATCATTAAATAAGTTTCAAACTCATTATATATGATCAAGAATAATGCCACTCATACATTATTTTCTTCTTCTCTCGATAAATGTCTTTTAGAACAATGCTGATTTTGAAATCACATGTTACTGACAAAAAATTAATTCTGTTCGTTGGTGCTTAAGTGCATGAAAACTAATCTCAGACGTACTGTGTTTCCTTGTGAAATAATATAAAAAACGTAGTTGCATTATTCTATGATATTTGAGTAATATTCGAACAGATCTAAAGATGGATGAAAGTTTGACGCTGTGATATTACTATTCACTTCTGCATATGATCTCGATTTTTTTTTCTTCGAGCCTAATGGAGCCGTGTAGAATTCTATCTTTAGAATATCGAAGATAAATATCGGTCAGACATAAACAAAAAGATATTTACAAGTGGTGGCTGGATATCATTTGATCAGATGGCATTATTTCGGCATAATCTTACCTGGGTGTGGTGTTGTATACGAAAATTAACAACACATCCACCTAAAGTTATTCATTGTAACATGTAAAACGTATTTTCATCATAAGAAAGAGACTAAAAACTCAATAGGATTAAATGTTATTATGATTTTTTAAAGTAAGAATGCGTGACGTTCAAGCGTACATTCTCATACAGATGGAGTTGGATGGGATCATCCCAAATTCTGTTTCATGCTGATCATTAAAGTAACTACGTTTGTATATCAAATAGCGTAGCTCATACTGTTTCACTATTATTGTTTGTAGTTGAAACTACGTATATGAAACGGTTACGAAATCTATTCGTAGGTATCAGCACAAGGAATTACGAAAATAAATGAAATACATGGTCAAACAAACTTTGCTCACGTAGTTTCCACTCTCTCATGAGAAAATACGATAGGGCATTTTTTTCTGCATCGAAATAATGCTATGAAACTTTCATTTGTAAAACAAGTAGCAATAAGAGACAATAAGTTTAGAAAAGAATGGAACTGGTCACACTAATCGATAATTTACAGTTTTGAATTTCTTCTTAGATCCGTTCAGTAGGTAGTAGTTGTTGTGAAACGATCACAATGAGGACACCCTGGACATTGTTTACCATTGACTGTTATAGTAGTTGGTTGAGGATTTACACACGCTATCATTGGACAATACAGTTTCGGGCAATCATCAGAGCAGATAGGACATCCTGGACATTTCTCGCCATTGACTGTTATAGTAGTTGGCTGAGGATTCGTACACTTTATCATTGGACAATGCGGCTTTGGACAACCATTATAACAGATAGGGCATCCTGGACACCGTTTGCCATTGATTATAACTATGGTTGGTTGAGAATTCTCACACTCTATCATTGGGCAAGGAAATCTTGGACAATCATTAGAACAGGTGGGACAGCCTGGACATACTGTTCCATTGATCATTGTAGTAGTTGGCTGTGGATTCTCGCATGCTATAAGCGGACAGAATAGCTTTGGACAAGCAGTATTCTAATATAGATTAAAAAAATAGTACGAATAGAACTGAGTTGAAGTTCACTCACTGTTGTATTATTTTCATTGGAAAGTTGATCGATTAGTGCATCTGATACTAAAAACGGAAACAGCCAGATAGAACTTCTGTGAATCTTTTCTCTTGTACATATCATTACCTGGTGCACCATGTGCATACGAAAATATACATAAGATGTAGAAGAATTTCATCACCGCCTTCATAGTGTCGCGTAATATATGGCGCTGGAAATAAATCGAACTGAATTTGATTCTTTTACTATCTTCGATCTATACCTTTTATATGCGAATAGATCGATGGAAAGACAAAAATGTAATTAATTACAAAGGTAAATTATTTGTTTGCACGTCATATATGCAAAGGGCGTTATTCAATGAGTAAAAAAATGACGATCAAACGATAAATGACGCCAAAGCTAGAACGACGTAGATTAAAAAAAGTTACCGAGTACGAAAATCAAATACATAACAACACTTCAAACACATCATTAGTTTCTTTCTCTCTTCCATTCCCTCAGATTAACATTGATTGTTAAACCATATGTCATTGACATGATAATTGCCGTTTGTTGCGTATCTCACAGTAACTACGGAATGAGCAAACGAGAAAAAAGAGATAGAAACGATACTCATAACACGTTTATTCTTTGATTCTTGAATATTGTTCTACTGTACAATAATGGATGAAGATAATTACATGTTACCATCTAGAAAAGCAGAATTTTGGATTGTCTCTATTCTAGCAAGTATATCTTCTATTTGTTCAATTCTAATTTTCATTTACTTTTATCGACAACGGAAAAATATATCGATATATCAACATATAGTTTTGATATTAGTAATTTTTGCTTTTCTTCTCATGATTACTGATTATCTATTTGCCTTGATCTATTATAAATATAAAAGAATTCTTCGTGAAGCGCCAAGCTTCTGTTTATGGTGGAATTGGTGGATTTTTTCTGCAACTACCGTGTATGAATGGTCTGCAGCATGGGGTTCAATTGAACGACATTTACTTATATTTCACGAAAATCTGATATCAACACGAGAAAAAGAATTTTCCTATCACACATTACCTATCTTGACTGTGATTGTTTATTCTATTCTATTTTACTTCATTGTGATTGTCTGCAGTTCGTGCGGAAATTATCTCGATCACCATGATGTAAGTTCTATCATACTTCACTACTAGAATGTTTACATGCAAAGTTCGTTTAGATATTTTGTCCTACGCCTTGTTTTTTACAAAATGGATCTATCATGGGATTGTATGACATTACAATGCATGCATTTATACCAGTGACTGTAGTAATTGTGACAAATGCAGCATTGGTGGTTCGAATATTACTGAAAGACCAAAGACAATGCAACTTAGCTACCTACACTGTGGCAATCGCTATCTTATTTATGGTCACTGTGTATCCTGTAGTCATTAGTCGTATTATTTCTATGCATACGCGTCAGCTGAAACCGAATATTTTGCAAATCGCAATGCTAACATATCTTCCTACTTTATCGATAATTGGTCTCCCGGTGGTTTCATTACTTTTTCTGCCAGATTTCAAAGCAACAGTTTTGAGCTTTCCAGAAGGAAATATTAATTCTTCGCACATAAATACTTAAATACTACCATTAGTTGAATATAAAATCTGTTAAATTTTTACCTTTCCTTCTTTTGTATTTTCACTAAATATAATGGTTGCCACACTGAAACTGGACTCATTTAACCCTGTATTCATATGAAAGATCGTCTTCTAAGAAATCTATGTAGCACTAGTTTAGATTGTACCTTATTTCTTGACATATCTCCATTGCTTTGTTTTCGTCCACTCTGAATTCACCGTCTCCGTTTGCACCAAAAAATGAAAGGATTCAGGAATTCAAAATTTAAAAAAATAGTCTTGTTTATCAATGCAATTAAATCTCTCACATTGTTTCATCTTTTAATGACTATGTCATTTGCAAATGCGCATCACTCGAAAAATAAAAATAAATGTTTAATTATCTAATGAATGCTTTACTCGGTATCCTTTATATCTCTTCTATATAAACTATTGGAAAAAGGTAAACTATGCCACTTGTTCACGGGCGTATTCTAATGGCAGAAAATGATGGCATGTCACGAATCTTACAAGCTAAATTTTGGATCATGCTTACGTTGTCTGTTGCATCTATTGGTTGTTCCATATCTATTTTTATTTATTTTTATCGACAACGAAAAAAGCTTTCGATACATCACCATCTAACTTTGATATTAGTGACTCTCTGTTGTATAGACATGCTCACTGATTACCCATTTGCCTTGATCTATTATAGTTACAGACGAGTTATACCAGCAACACCAAGCTTCTGTCTATGGTGGAATTGGTGGGTGTATTCTCTGAGTGCTGCATTGGTATGGTCTACAGCTTGGGGTTCGATTGAACGACATTTACTTATATTTCATAGCAATCTGGTGTCAACAAAACGAAAGCAATTTTATTTTCATATATTACCTGCATTTATCGTCATGCTGTATCCTTTCATATTTTATTTTGTTGTCATTTTTTGTAGCCCTTGTGAAAATTATTGGAATTACAATTACGTAAGTTCTACTCACTTTTTCTGAACATTTACGTTTAATTGAATATTATCATTCTCAATTAGGTATTTTGCCTTCAGCCGTGTTTTGCGTACAGTATGTCTGCAGTGGCATTATACGACTTCGTGATGCATGTGCTGGTACCACTCACCATAATAACTGTGAGCAATGTGTCATTAGTAGCGCGAGTCTTGTGGCAAAAAAGAAAACGACCAAGAGATTGGCGTCGAAAATGGAAACTGACCACATATCTAATATCGATTACTATCTTCTTTGTGATCACTTGGTATCCGACAGCGATTAATACTATTGTGTACATGTATACATTATCACCACTATCGATTGATTTGCAAGTGAAATACTTCTTTTTCCTGCCTGTTTTATTGGGAATCAGTCTTCCAATGATTTCATTATTCTTTCTACAGGATTTCAAAAAAACAGTTTTTAGATTTCAACGAGTGACTGTTAACCCACAAACATTCAATCGTCAAACACTGGCAGCTAGAGGACCTTGACTTTCTGGTCATCTGGATAATTCATGAACAGATGCGTTTGCCTATGCTCTTTGTGTAATTTTTAAACATTAATAAAGCAGCATCATTCAAACTATAGATTTCACGCGAAGAATATATCAAACCATAGTGAAGTATGAGGTAATCCTAGATTCTATTTGAAAAACTATAAGAGTAGACAAGTGTTTTTGCATGTAAAGCGAAAGCCATAGTTATTTAAAGATTATCGTCATCAAAATCAAATATTGAACGTTTTCGTGGATTTGCCACATAACACATTGTACCTGGAGGTCTAAGGTGAAGATTCGGATGTGTTTTTCTATGGCCACCACATCTCTGGGATGTTTTCCATAGATCTTTTCGACGCACGTCTACTCCATGATCTTTTAACAATAAAACTTGATTGTTACAGCGCACTTGTTCAGCGTTTGTTGGAGGACTATCGATCCAGTGTGGAGTATGGTGAATGAATTTGTTGAAAGTATTTTTGCAAAAAGCTGCGTAAGCACGCGTATTGAGAATATGCCAATGAAAAGCCGTATCAATTTGTGCGGGTGGCCCACAGTCGAGGATCCCTTCACGTAAGCCCGTGTAATAATTCTCCAATTCATATATTACTTGCGTCGATTCTTCCTCTGTCATGGCCTCATGTGTGACAAGCATTTCGACTAAATATCTTCGGTCCATATCTGGCAACGAAACTCGTTCGATGGCCATACAAGACAGTACAGTGTAGAAAAAGAGAAGAAATACTTTCATAGTAACAGTAGAAGAAGTTTTTTTTGTTGCAAATGTAGATTACAGATGTTGATTAATAATCATTATATACAGAATGTTGCTGCCCGAACATGACGTTTTCTATAATTATCCGACCAATACGAAGGTAACAGCAATATGACATAAACGTAATTGTATGGTTTATTTCCCAAGAGTAAGCTTTTGCTCTACACTATGAAAAAAGTTAAGATAAGAAGATAAAAACATCACCTACAAGGCTCATTGTAAATTGAGAGAAAAATATCTGCGTACATCTATTTTCTGCCGTTGTCAGTTTTCAATTGGTTGAGTAAAGGTGGGAAAAAGTCTTGTTTAAACAATAACGATGTGTATATAAGAATCAGTGTTTAACAAGCCAAGTATTCATTCACTCTTTTCAACTTAGAAAAAAATGTCAAAGCTTGTTCTTCTTGTTCTAATCGCCGCTGTCTTGATGACTTTATTCATCAGCTCTCAACACAATGCAGTTGATGCCATCAGTAAGCAAAAGTTGATATCGAAAAGTGAATATTTATGTGCTTAACATCAATTTAGAAATTCCAAAGGTGGTCAAGGAAATCGCCAAAAAAGCTGTCAAGGGTGCCGCCAAGGAAATTTTCAAAAACTATCATTGATTTTTTTTAACTAAACATAATTCTATGAATATCGCTAGTTGTTCTGTACTGCTTTTTTTTCTTCCGAAATAATCCGCTGAGTCTATCTATCCTTCGTTTGTCTAACAAATCTACATAAGTAGGACTTTTCTGCAGCTTCAATAAACTAACTATTTCAACAGCTATTCAGAATTCAACGCATTAACACTTAGTTTAAGAAAACGACAATAATATAATAGTCAAACAGAAATCTGGTGCATTGTGAATACATTTCTTATTTTACGAATTATTCTAGTAGCAACGAATTCTCATCGAAAACTTTATTTCGACAAAATTCAAACTTATAAAGACATGTTATATCCACATTTACGAATTGCACCTATAGTTTTATTTCTACTCGTATTACCACGATTAATTCTTTCGTATGCATCAAAATGTATGACTTCAGCAAAAGATTCTTAATTGTTTCTTTGTGAGTATTTCATTTCATTTATTCCACCAATGAGAACACTTCGTATCTTTGTTGTACTATCGAAATTTTTTTTAATCGAAGATCAAAAAAGTATTGCACAACATCGAAATCAGATTCGGCAACAATACTCCTTAAAGAAAAATAAAAGAGCATTCCAGACAATCCTAATGTATTTGATCGTATTATAAAGTGAGCTGAATGATCTTCAGACAACATTGAGAGGACGTCGAATGCATTCTCAAATATTTACATTGTATTGCCGCTACTTACCATAAAGTTTTTCATTCAAATATTGTTCGAACAATATTAGACCGCGGCACAACAAATATTCTATTTTATTTTTCATGCTACCTCGTATCAATTTACATTCAAAGTGAAAGGGGCAAAAATCCCATTGGCTTACTTTTTATTTTAGCATTTCTTCTATTTTGTGGTTTTTCCCCTTGTCCTGACATAATCGCATCGAAATGAGACGCAGCAGTGATATATAATAGTCAATAAAAAAATATTTGTCTTTAAACTCTTTCTCTGCGCAACAACAAAAAATGTCGTGTGGTCCACCATCCATTATGAGTAAGCAAGACGAAAAGGAGGATGATAGTTCCATTGATACATACCAATGTCAGGTCGCATCGCTTGATTATACAGTTAATTACATATCATCGGCATTCACTAATGTTCAAGAACTACAAACTGAGTTTAGTACGCAATATCAACACGAGAAATATACATTGACTGAATTGAATAAACGTCTTCAAGCCTTTGTTGATTATGTTCAACAGTTGGAATCAGAGAATGCAAAGTATATAGAACTTTTGGCCAATTGTCGACCAGATAATTGTATTATCGATACGGCATCCGAACAATGTTATCTCGGTGTACAATCGAATCTCATGCAAATTAATCAGGAAAAAGTTAATTACGATTTAGAATTCGAACTCTCTCAACTACAAATTGGAACATACAAACATGTGTTCAATTGGAAAGATGAACGTCGTCTCAAACTCGAACAAGAATTGAATCAATCATCATCTACTCTCGCTGATCTACGCACAGCCTATGGAGACATGGAACGGCAAGTTGACAGTGTTTGTGCAATATGGAAAAACACATTTCAACAACATTTGACCATAATACACGACTGGTGTCAATCCAAGAAGGAAACATTTGCATTGCTACTCCGTACACAAGCTTTGAAGAATCAAATGGCTTTTTATAAGGAATTCGTTTCGTATTCAAAACAGTGAGTGCATTTGTTTTTTTTCCTTTGTCTGTTAGGATACATTCATGTTTTGATTTAAGTCTATTTGAATCATTGACAGTTGATGTCAAACAATTTTCGATGTTTGAGTTTGACAAAATTGTCAAGAAAATACGGAACGATTTTGAGCAATTCTATAAGGCAGTTGATTATAAATCAGCTGAGTACTATCAAATGAAAATGACACAGTTGGATACAGAAGTTAAGAAAATATTGAACTATCAACAAACTGATATCGTAACTCAAAAGCAAATACTCAGCGTGGAACATGAACGAGTACAGAAAAGTTATTCGAAGAAAAAAGAATTGATATTGAAGATGGAGACTACGCACTGTAAGTTCAGTTCATTGTTTGAATTCTAATTTAAAAAGCATGTTTCATATCTTAATTAGCGACATTAGAATCGCAATTACAATCTGTTCAAACTCAAAATCAACAGAAACTTGAAGAGCAATCCAAAGAACTACAAAGTTTACAGGAAAGTATCATGGCTATTGTCTGTCATATCGAGGAAACGCGACAACGGTTAGAATAATTCTCGAATGGTTGCAAAATCAGAACAACATTTTCCTTTTCGTTTAGAAAAATCCAATTAGAGAGTGAGATTATTGTCTATTGTAATTTATTGGATGCCATTCAAATGCAGAACCAGCAGGTGGTTGTCTGCTCACCCCCGGCAATTGAAAGTATAAAGACGAGGAAACTTGTCGTCAAAATTAATAATAAAGGACCGATTAGCATTCGTGAGTACCTAATTGAAAATATAAAGTTCAATAATATTAGCTTTTTTTGTGCGTGTGCAAAGTATGCCCTCCCGATGGCACATACATCAGCTTGGTGAATCGTTCGAAGACTGAAGTCAATATTTCAAGGTGGATCTTGAAACGACGTCTCAATTCAAAAAGGGAATTACGATATACACTACCCAATGAAATTTTACTTGGGTCGGGTCGTGAGTTAAGAATTTATTCTAAGCGAGGTGCTGCTGCTGATGAAGTACCGCCAACTGGTCGCTGTGTTCTTACTTCACTACGTCAGGAATATATTAATAATAATCTCGACTCATGGGGTATGTCTTCCAAATCTTTTTAATGGTTAATCTTTGCTATTGTTTAGGTATATGTGACACCACCGAAACGGTTTTGGTCGATGAAAATGATGAAGAGAAAGCATTCTATTCGCAATCAATTGCACCCAAATAAACAAAAACATCAAATTGTTGCTATTGAAAATTGTACTTAACGCTTGCATTAAAGTTTGGTCCTATAACGTTCTAAAGCAGGGCGTATGGGTGAGAGTGTGAGGACGTTCATTCTTTCTTCACTCACACTCACATAGTTTATTGTTCTTAGTTGAGGATGAGTGTGTATTTTACATACCCACACATTAGTTTCACATGCAGATTAAAAGAAATGGGAACTATCATTGGTGACTGAATTCAGAAAATGTTTTTCTTCTAAAATCAATAATATAATAGTTGAATTCGATGGATGAAGACGAACAACTGATATTAGATAGATATCAGTAGGCAACACTGTTCTCCGGCGGATAACCAGTTGGATACCTTAAACTGATTACATCCTTGATGACAGTGACGCTTTTGCCACACAACACGAAAAATCAGAGAAAGGATGCATAGAATAATGAGAATAGCTGTCACTATCGAATTGACAATAGTATCGCACTGTGCAAGGTTAAAATCACTATATGCGCAAGTAGAAGCGCAAAGAGGCAACATCGAGTCGAAAACGTTCTCACATGGATACCTAAAAATCAAATACGAAGAATAAAAGCAACAATAGGCAATGCAGATTGTTAGCGGAACGTAATACGCTATTAGACGTTGTTTGAACGTCTTCAATAAACTTCGATGTCCAAAACATAACCAACATTCTCTATCAATAGCGTGTGAAATCGTCGGCATTTTCCCGAAATGATGATACATTCTTTCAGCAATCGTTGAAAATTCACCAGAGTAACACAACAAATTTGTCTCGAAAAGTTCGCGCAAACTAATACAAATTGAAGAGAATAAAGAGACAGCAGAATTTTGCTTCAAATCACAATTTACTTCTTATCTTTCACACCACTTCGATATTGAAGTACCATATCATTAAAATACCTTACTACACGAAAAGAGCAATATACTTTTTTACTTCCTGAAACAAGTACATCATCAATTATATAATTTGTTTTCACCAATTACACTGATAATATATCGCACATACGTATATGAGAGCGCATAGATTTGAACAGCAATTTCTATGCCTAGAACAGGATGATCCACATTTTAATCGCCAACCAATAGCTCTTTCATTTTCTTCATAATTAACCATTCGTTGAAGGCAAAGCTTAACCATTCGTTGAAGGCAAAGCTTAACCAGAGAAGGTGGTTCTTTCCAACAATTCATCACATTGAATGCCACTGAACCAGTAATTGACATGACAAATCAGCCCATTGTCATCATTAACACGAAAACAATATTGAATGAGAAAGCGATGTGCTTTATCCATGATATCGGGTTGTTCTTCTTAACCTTTTATAGATCTACAGTTGTACTTTAAATCTATTTATTATTCGTCAATACTCTTTTTCTTATCAATTTATTTCGAGAAACAATGATCGAAATTTCACAGATGTTAAACACAAATCAAAACTAGTTTAATAACTTTCGTCATAATCGATTTGGAATCATATCGTGTAGTGGAGTAAAATCCCGTTGTTTCCACCAAGACCGAAGATTGTTTTATAATACAATTAATCCGAGTCAGAATTCTTTCACAGTATCATAACTTTACATTTTGTGCTCTGTATATGAAGGTCAACATTTTTTAAATTGATATACTGACATTCTACCCTGACAATTTACACTATATTAATTAAAAGTATCTTGTACGAACGGTGATACTCATACTACGAGACCACTTTTATCATGGAGCGTTGTTTTGTTGCACGTGTTTATAGTTGTAAAAGAGCACAATTTAATCAAATTAGTCCAAAAATCTCTCAAAGCACTGATGTGTTTTATTCATTTGCCTTGCTCAAATATTTATGGATCACTTTTATCGAGATTTAAACGACGCACTTTCATCAAATTAACTAACTGCGAATAGCATGGAAAATTAATGATAAAGGTGATATGTTTATTAATAGTATCGACATGCTAAAAGTGCGATATGAATAAAGAAATATTCTCTGTTTTTCTTTCCTTGGATTTTTTTTCTGACATATATTTGCGAGAAGATATCGACCAGTCTCACTTCTTTTCTGACATATTCATGACGGAGGATGACGTCAAATCACCAGTCTTAGATGCAGAGTTTTGGATTATGATTATTTTGTTAAGTGTATCGATCCCGTGTTCAATCAGTATTTTCATTTATTTTTATCGACAGCGAAAGAAGATTGCAATTCAACACCATCTGACTCTTGTATTGGTTACTCTCTGTTTTATGGACATGGTTATCAATTATCCAATAGCCTTGGTGCAAAACCGGCGGCAAAGGGTTATTTCTGCAACAGCAAGTTTTTGTTTATTGTGGAACTGGTGGGCTTATTCATTGATCACTACACTGATATGGGTGGCCGCTTATGGTTCAATTGAGCGATACTTACTTGTCTTTCATAATGGTCTTTTCTTAACAAGAAGAAAACGAATTTTTCTTCATTTTCTCCCGATATTAACTGCAATCATTTACTCTTACACATTCTATTTCGTCGTTATTGTTCTTCATTCCTGTGAAGACCGATGGGATTATAATTCTGTAAGTTTTATAGAACTGTTCACACTACATCTACATTGACATTTTCTATCATTTTTAATCAGCTACTCTGCCGTCTGCCGTGCTACGTATACAGTCAACCTACAGCTTCATTATATGATTTTGTTGTGAATACATTTATACCATTGACTATAATAACTGTAGCAAATGTGGTTTTAATTGTTCGAGTGCTTTGGCAGAAACGGAAAAGACAACGAGATTGGAAACGCAAATGGAAGTTATCCGCCTATCTCATATTACTTGCTGTCTTTTTCATGATTACTTGGTGTCCAGGAACGATTAACAGCCTTATCTACCTGTACACATTGTCACCGGTATCTGAAAACCTACAAATGAAATACTTCTTTTTCCTCCCGAGTTTATTGGAAATGATATTGTCGATCATTTCCGTATTCTTCCTACCGGATTTCACGAAAACAGTTTTTAGATTTCGTCGAAGAACTGTGAAGCCACATATAGTTAATCATTAGACACCAGTGGCTAACAGATATTGAGCTTCTTCTGTGTTTGTCATTCTTGTTTGTATTCATTTATAAGTTAGAATCTAATCAGCGATGGGAAAGTCGTTGAAAATGAACGAGTGACTGTGATTATAGATAGATTTATTTCATTTTTCTGAAATTAATTCAATCACGTCCATTAGCGATTTCACGGTCGTACTGCTCAAATGAAAATATGTTTTCAAAGTAAAACATAGAATATGGGAGGAGAGTAAATCGAGTTTCTTATGTTGTGTCGGTTCATACATATGTGCATGCAATCTCTGCTCTTTCACAGTTTGCGAAGAATAGTTAAATGAGTTCAAATCTAATAATACATCCATTTTGTGTATCAGCAACGTACAGAAATGTGCCTTCATCATTAGTCGAAATGTCTCACGGAAAATTAAGCATATTCTCATTCTAGTCAGAATTTCCATGAGGATCTCCGGCGATAGTCATGCCCGCTTATGTAGTCAAATGCCATCGTTGAATTCTGTTATTCTTCGTATCTGCAGTATACAAAAATGGTGCAACCATGTCGGCGTCTTCTGTGGGCTCTCGCGAGAGCACATGTATGTTGATCTATGAGTGATTGAAGTCTAGTTTCCGTCTCTGAGCGAGCCTGTTCTGCTAACCGGAGTTGTTCTTGAGCAGCTGCTGTATCTTTCCGTAATTGTTCGTAATATTCTTGAGCTTGTTTTGCTTGTCTTTGTAAGTTTTGTAATTGAACTTCATAATTTCGACACTCTTTCTGAAAATGTCGTTCTTGATCTGCAATCGATTCTTCTAGCCGGCGAGTAGCACAGTCTAAAGATTCTATTTCAGTTTGATGCTTCGCCATGATTTGATCAAGTTCACGTTGAATTTCTTTTTTTCTGCTAGAATCGCGTTTTGTAATTCTTCCATTTGTATTTCATTTTGTCTCAGTTCGTCGAGCAATATTTGAATTTCGTGCTCCTTGTGATGCAACAATGGTTTGTATTCTATCAACACCTAGAATAAATGCATTACGCTTCCGAAACACGATCAAAAATCTCAAGTGTATTTTTAACAATTGTTCATTGAGCCGTTGCCGTTGCGCTTGGTTTTTGGGATTGATCCTATTGAGAAAGCACAGACTGCTGTTGTTAAAATTAGAAAGTTGAAGGAGCTCGCGAAGAACAAGACCTTCATCACCAAAGAGTATGTTTGCGAGAAAACTTTTGCCCACGCCTGAATTACCCAAGATAATGATACCACATCGTTCGGAAGCATCTGCTCTGTCCACAATCATGGATGGACTAACAACTTTTGCTAGCATCTTCCGTGTGCGAGTGTCTTCTTTTATGACGAAGACGACATGTTTTTATTATTGTTTCTTATCTGTATGTCAAAACTTATCAAGATGTAAATATATCTCTCACGTTGGAAATTGTCAACTTTTCTCCTAAAATGTTGAGAATGTGATTGTGAACCGCTCGATTATGTAACTTTTCTTTTATTTCTAGTGTAGATGAGTAATAATAATAAAAAATACGTTTTGTTTTGTACATTCAGTAGAGAACGGTATTTATAAAATGACGCAATCGCCTCCACCTGGTTCCGGCGGGGGCCGAGACGCTAACTCAAACATTTTAGCTTGAAGCAAATTGTTGGCTTCTTGTGCAGCTCGTATTTGCTCCTGCGTAGCTTTTCTATCTTCCACTAAGATATCATATATCCGTTGCGATTCTACCGCTTCCCTTCGTGTACGTTGCAATTCATCTTGATAGTTCCGGGTTGCTTCTTCATACTTTTTCTTTTGTTCGGTAAGGATTTGGTCCTGCCTTTCGATCGCTCGCTGGAGTGATTGGGTTTCGTTCTGATGATTAGCTATTGTTTCATTGAGTACGCGTTGACTTTCATTGATTTGTTTCACGAAGTTCTCTCGTTCCTTTTTGAACTGTTCTTGTTGGATGAAAATTTCACGCTGTGCGCTTTTTAGATGATCGAGAACTGTCTCGATCTCTCCTTGCTTTTCGTGTTTAGATGGTGAATGTTCGACTATAATCTAAATTGATCGATAAAAAGCTCTGATAATTTGATTTTACCGAGATCTTCAACTTACTCGTAAAAGCTTTTCCTAGAGATATTGTCTCTCATTCTGATTATCTTCATCAATGAGTTCCAAAAAGCAAAGATTTTTGTTATTAACAACAACACCTTTGAGTAATTGTTGCAGTAGAACAAGAGCCTCTCCTTCATAATCATTTGGCCGTTTCTTCGGAATACCATTGACGACCAATACTAAAGATTCAGATTTAAACGGGTATGCTGTGTTAATAGCATTAAATGCAGTAATATCTTCGTCCTTGATACGACCATTCTGTTGGCCATAAATGAATACGTTCTTGCGAAGCTTCGATCAGACCGGGTATGTTGAATATAGCCAGTTGATAATGGCCGATTGTGATTGCAGCAAATTCTGTTTCATGAGTAACTGATCTTGAAGTAAATTTGTGAGCAAACTGTTCACGACCGAGTAGAATATTGGCTAGAAAACTTTTGCCAGCTCCAGAATTGCCAAGAATAATGAGACCAAACTGTTCGCCGGGATCTTTCAGATCTCGACGCATTTGCTCGACCCGTTCAGAATATCGAGCCATATCAATTACTTCGATGAAAATAACACTTGAGTTTTTGTCGCATCACAGGCCGGTTTTATCTAGCAATTGTTATCTACTACCGCTATTGCTGATAATGCAATGAGTCAAAACTTATCTTAGGTTGGCAGCTTTGCGCATGTGGTTTTCTCCAACATCATAGAATATTTTCTACGAGAATATTATTGTTCATTAGATATCATACTCACTTCGAAATAATCATTCAGTATTCATACATATAAAACTCGAAAAGATTCTCGAAGCAATCGTGAGATACGCGTTTCTAAACATTTTATTTTTATTAAATGTTACACCTATTTCACTGTCTATTCAATGAATCCATCGGATTGTTTTCGGCGTGACCATTTTCTTGTTTTGGTTCATGAAATTCCTCGAATGTTCTTCCGTGGCATTTCATCAACGACTCATCTTTGTACGAGTCAAGATTCTGTGTCCAGAATTCATGCATAACTATGTACGATCCATGCAATACCTGTTGTCCCCGAGTGGTCATCTCTGAATGATTAGTCTACATCCTTTCGGCCTTTACAGTTTCATTACAAGTGTGAAGAAGAAAGGTGTGCTTTTGAGTGCATAATCCTGTATTTAGGTATACATTTAATTTTGTAGAGAAATTGTTATAAAATCGAAGGCCAACTGTTTCTCTGGAGGCGACTTATATCAGTGAATTTTGAAAATCCTCTCTCTGCTGTTTTTGATGAACGAGTATGTGGTTTTGCATTTCGTGACGTACAAAAGGAAGAAACAAACAGAGGTTAACAGTCAAACCTCCGACGAATATTCGTACTTTCTTCCGATATAACAATAATTTTCATATTTGCTTAAGCAGGCGAGCGATCATCTGCTATCGTGAATCGGAATGCTTATACGAGAAATATCTGATGTCTGTAATATTCTTGGTTTATTGAGAAATGAAAAGAGAGGGAGCAGACAATGGTACATATTTCAGTTTAACTCATTCGTTTTTTATGTAGACATTTGCCTTTCGATGTTGATAATCTACAAGAATTCTTCGAGAAATATGACACTCGAAAAACTTCGCCACTTACTTTTCTTCATCCTCTTCTCTGACATCACCTGATTGAGTTAAACGCCCACAAACTACATTTTGTAGTACTTTGAGTATCAACTAAAGATGAAAAAAAAAGAAGCAATTTCCAATCATCTATTACGTAAAAATGTTCCTTACAAAAAACCAATAAATATTCAGCAGAAACAAAATCCAAAGGAGAATATTAAATGGCAAATAGAGATGAAGACCTCGATCTAAAGTACGGTAAACAGCAACAACTCCAGTTGAATAGAGTACTTTCAAAGGATACCAATATAATCGAAAGGTAAACCTAATATGAAATTTAGTCATTCATTCTCGGCTAATAAAAGATTTGACTTTACCAACAAACAACAAGTAGAGAAAACCCGAGATACGATGCTTGTTCGAATCGATTATCTTGTTTAGTATTAAGATACCGCACAATTTTCGTTAATTCAAGCCAAATATCAGCAATATCATGACAGAAGAGGACTAACAAACCCACTCTATGATAGCTTGACAAGAACAAAATGTTTCTGTATTGTTTGTTTTTTTTCTTGATAAAATTCACCTACCGAATTGCATACGAAACAAAAATCAGTGTTGCTGTGATGACATGATGGAGAATCATAATGTAAAAATCTTTCCGTTTCGAGTCTAAATAGAGCGTCGCATAAATTGAATGAATATAAAAACCACATTGGATAAAGTAAAGAATTTTGATGTCAAATGGAACGAACATGCCAGCTGACCAATCTGCAGAAAGAAAAAGAATTTTTATGATGAAAGAAAAGAAAAGAAAATGTCTTCTCACTATCCCAAACTGAATATGGCTCATCGAAATAATTGTATCGATATTTAACTAAATAGCAACAATAACACCATGCCCAAGTATAGAAAAGAAATTTCCATGCTGATTCAGAAAATTTTTTCTCATTCGCAAGTGTTAATTGAATCCATTTGGTAAACTTCTAAATCAACAATTCAATCGCAAAATGTTTTATTATAAACAAACACACCTTAGACACGATTGATTGAAATTTGTATCTCATCAAGGTAAAGAATACTGAGATGAGAATAATACAGAGAACATCCGAGCGAGTGAAATTAAATGATCCCATCGAGTTGTACATGAAGTTTTTAGATGATTTTCGATTATTTGAATAATACCAAATAATGGTATTCCAGAAATCGATGAGAAGATCTTGGTAGGATGGGGACATCGAGTACTTGCCATTGAACGTTTCATTTGTTGACATGTCTGAAAGGAATCTATGTACCTGTGTAACTCGAAGAGAAGACTTTTTATTTCGTTTTCAATGAAATGTACAAAAGAGAAAGAGCGGATGATGCTGGCGTGATCAAGCCGATAGTGCAATGAAGAAATCGCAGAAGCGATTTTTTCTTTGTATCCTTTTGAAAAGAAATACTTCAATCTTTATTCAACAGAACAGAAAAAAAGTTACTGATTGTCACGATTTATATCGATGTGACTCAGATACTCTTACATTTGAAGAAACGTGACAACATTTCTTTGTACATCAACTTTCGAAATCAATGAAGAGAAAAAGTACAAACATTTTTGGTGGCGAATAAATGAGTAATACGATTTATTTTCGAAAAAAAAATTCAAGTTTCTTTTTTCATTCAACAACATCTTCACCTTGTAAAGATCCGAATAATTTCCGTCGAATGATTTCGAATGTATTCTGAAAGATTTGCCTATTTGAATGTTGCTCACCTAATGATCGACTGCTTAATTCAATTGCTTTACGACTGAAATCCAATGCATCTGGATATTGACCTTTATGATAATAAGTCAATGCAATATTATTATAAGTAATTGCCAATGACGGGTGATCAGGGGGTAAAGATTTCGTTTCGATATCTAAACACTTTTCGTACATGTGCAAAGCTTCATCGTAACGCTTTTGTTGATAGTATATTGTAGCTAAATTATTTAATAACTCAGCAATATTTGGATGTGTCGCTGGTAAATGTTTCGTCCAAATTGATAGCGCTTTTTCGAATTGTTCGATCGCTTGATCGACTTTCCTTTGATCATAAAAGATCATACCCATACAATGAAACCGAGCCGCTAGAATTGTTTCATGACTGTTATGCTGCTCGTCAATATCCAAAGCTCGTTGAATGTATGCCAAAGCATAATCAAGTTCACCTAAATCACGATAAACACTACTCATATTCGCGTACGTAACAGCAAGTTTGGGATCATCGTCTGCTAAATACGATAAGAAAATCGTCAGCGATCGTTCGTACTCTGCAATGGCTTCCTGGAGATCTCCCATTTCGTGAAAGATAAAAGCGAGTTGGTGACGTAATGCTGCTTGAGAAGGTTGATCGCTATTCTTCACTTCTTGCAACGCTAATTGCAAAAATCGCATGGCCTGTGTATGTCGTCCAATATGAACCAAGAGATTGTACAGACGGTCGCGTGGAAGTGCATGTTGCACCTGTTCCCTCATATATTGAGTCAATTCAGTTAATTGTGGATCATTAAAATTGGTCAAGTTCAATTCAATCAGCCAAAAATTACCGTCGGAAGTCTGTTCCGTAATACTTTCGATTCGAAAAACAGTTCCCATTGAAAAAAGAACTTCATTTTCAACACTCGCAAAGAAACTAAATCCATCAATACAAGCAAATGGTGGTATGTCATCAGAGTCATTAATTGTAACATGAATCTTTAGAAGAACCGCAACTATTGCATCATCCAAGATATATGAATTATCACCAGCAAACACTTTAGCTACGTTTATGTTCTTACTTGTTGATAAGAAACTATTCATGGAGACAAGACCGCCTTGATTATTTTTCAATGGAAGAAACTCATTTAATGACATATGTTGACCACGATAAAGAATAGTTTTACCCGAGTTCATGAAGTCATTCCGTTGTGAATGATGTAAATTAACAAGTTGTTCATGAAGTTCTTTAGTAAAGACGCGCATAGCATAAAGCGTTTCGATATCTTGTAGTCGTAATGCTTTATTTAACATTTTATACAAAAATCCATCGCAAGTGTACCACCAGACAGGTGAATGATTCGAATAGTTTTTCTCTAGTTCATTGATACGACTGAGTTCATGTTGATTACCGACGTATTTATGACGACAATATTCGATCATCTCTGTTATATCATTCGTTTCACTGTTTGCAATATCAAGAAGATATTCCTTTGACAATTGAGCATACATGAAATTCGCTTCTTGCTCGTCATTAGTGCGATTCTTATTGCCAACAGCGTGGAAACCAATCAGATCGTGTTCACATTTCGTTGCATCCTTTCGTAATTGAACACACATCTCTGTTGCGGATGAAAATCGACCTCGAAATCTTCTCAACTCCAACTCATGCTGAATCATTGCATCCTCATTTTGCAATATGTAAAGAGAGTAAATTTGTCCAGCCCGGTTTAATATGTGTCCAATATTAGCCGATGAAATTGAAAAATCAGTAATAATGAGGAAAATGAATTCATGTCGAACCTCAGTCGTATGATCTATAAACGCATCAATATCATCAAATGTGTAGACATTGTTGAAAATACGATGAAACTGTTCGGTAATTATTGAACGTTTGCTAATGTCATTATTTTTATTAGTTGGAACATCCAACCAAATCAGAGTCAAGTTTTCTGCATCTTCATGACGAGTTTTGCTGAAAGCGTGTGCAATATCTAGCGCACGTTCCATTGTGAGTCCTTGTTTGTCTGTAGTTTCCTTTGATGAGTCCATAAATCGATCTAAAATTAAAAAATTTTGAACTATTAACATTATTCTCATTTCATAAGACAACATGCGCCAACTTTGAAATCTATACACAGTGATATTGTTTTCTAAATAAGAATCTGACGTATTAACGGATGTATATGCGGATGAACTTGTCTGCTTTGTACTACCGTGACTAGTTCAGATTATTTCACCTTCGCTCTCACTCTCAAGATTGTATAAACGTACTATGCATTAAGTCGATATTTTCTAAATTTTGGGACACAGTGACTACCTTATTAGTGAATGACTAATTTCTTTAAAGCTCACTTCCTCCCAATGGTTATTACTAATACATGACATACATGAAAGCAACATGAAGAAAGTAAATGTTCTAGTCGTTTTTCTTTATATATACTATATCGTCAAAGTACAATATTTATCACAGCAGTCGTCATGAATCATACACATATCTGATTGGGAAAATGTGAAGAAAAAAAAAGTAACCTCGTTTATTGCTTCTTTCGGTCATGATTGAATATACAAAATGAGGGTAAGTATGTTGTTGGTCGAAAGCTCTTTCGTCGACACGCACTTGGTCGACAAATCTTCGTCGAATAATTTTCGTCGACAGGATATTTTGTCGACAGAGCAGTTCGTCGACAGGCATTTANTACTCAGTTACTGTTTTAAGTTCTTGACTTATTTTCTCCATTGTTACAATGCATGGCGATCGAATGTTTCAAACAAAACTGTTCTGCTCCTTGCGATTGTTTTTGGTAACTTCATAATTAATCATAGAGAAAAGAGAAACAATTCAGTAAAGACTTTACGTAGACATTCAAAAGCATTTTTGTTGGCAAAGGCATCGTTTCAAAACCTGCGTTAATGCGTCAACATGCTAATAAAACTGTGACACAAAATACTCTTGTTGTATGGTTAGACGATCGAGCTAACAATGACCAACATCACATAGTGCACAAACTCGAACGCCTGATGAACCAAGTTCAATTGTGCACTGATCACAACTTCTTTTTGTACCAAGTCAACACAACGATTAACAAAGAATTATTTGTAATTATCCCTGGTTATGTTGGTCAATACGTTGTACCTATGATCCATGACAAAAAACATCTGAATTCCATCTATATTCTATGTGGCGACAAAGCGAAACATGAAAAATGGGCCAAGCAATGGGCAAATATCAAGGGTGTTTTTACTGATATCTCATCGATTCACGAAGTTTTGAAAGAAACAGTTCGACAACGGGAAGAAAATACCGTTGAAATTACTTTAACAAAAGTTACTCATCGCATTTCGGCTGAGCGAGACTGGGAACCGCTTGAAAATTTTAGAGAAGCACTATTAGCAATTGAATCCAACGATGAGTACTTCAAAGATTTTATCGCTCATTACCGTAAAGAATTCGTTGACGATGAGCATGAACTGAACAACATTCGTCAGTTGGAATACAATTACCATAATCGATCATCGGTATGGTGGTACATGTCTTCGAATTCCTTGTATTCCATGTTGGATAAGGCTCTTCGAACAGTCGATGTTGATGCAATGGTCAACATGGGTTTCTTTCTCCGGGATATACATAATCAAATCCAAAAACTACAGCTGGAACAGTTTTCTGATCAATCGGCGAATGACATATTTAAGGTTTACCGTGGACAAGGATTATCGAAAGAGAAGTTGAAGAGATTAATACAAAACGAAAAAAAGGTTTAATCCTATTTCATAATTTCTTGTCTACGAGTAAAGACTACAAAGTCTCTCTTGACTTAGCGCACCAAGCTACAATCAGTACTGATATGATCGGAGTTCTTTTTACAATCACGATTGATCCTCACAACTCAATCGCCTGCTGTGCATCTATTGGTCAGGTGAGTTCTTTGTATGACGACAATGAGGTTCTGTTCTCAATGTATACCACCTTTCGCATTATTCATGTCGAGTCAATTAATGATAGTAAACGTCTTTATGACGTTCGTTTAACACCTCTTAGTGGAAACGATCCAGATCTGCACAAACTAACTTATCGTCGACAACTACCTGCACCCATCCCGTCTTCTGAACTGACATCTTGGAATCGTCTAGGGCGAGCGCTCAGCAATATGAGGTGTTATCAGAAAGCTGAAGAACTTTACAACGTACAGTTGAGTCGGACAACGAATGATACCGATAAAGGACATATTTATCAGGAACTGGCATGGAACAAATGTCAAGAAAGTAAATTCGACTCGGCCATAGAATTATATGAGAAAGCGATAGACATCTATCAGAACATGCACCCTCCAAATCAATTGGGTTTAGCAGAAGCACTGCTGAACATCGGTCACGTGTATACGAGGCAAAATAATTATACAAAAGCAATAGCGTATTATCAGAAGGCTATTACCATTCAGCAAGAACTACTTCACTCTAATCTCTCTGTCCTAGCCCAATCATTTGATACCTTGGGTGTGCTATATCAAAACGTTCAAGACTATCCCAAGGCAATATCATCTTATGAAAAAGCTCTGAAGATTCGGCAGCAGGCTCAGCCGTTGAATCTCCTTCGTTTAGCAGATTCCTACGATCATTTGGGTTCGATACAAAGATCCACAGGTGACTTTTCGCAAGCCTTCTCATTTTACGAAAAAGCCTCGCAAATTCGAGAGCAGTCGCTCCCTCGTGATCATATAGAGCTTGCGAAATCTTATAAAAATCTTGCATATATTCACTTTGACATGAACGATATTCTGAAAGCGCTTTTTTATTATCAGAATGGTGTCTTCATATGCACAACAAGCATAACAATTCTCCAATATGATGCATCATGTAAAATGTTTTTTAGAACAAGAAAACCATAAGGAATTCTTATTGCTATCTAGTTTTGGGGTAATATGTCTGCAGGTTCTTTATTTATTTCCAATAATTCAATACACATATAGATACACTTATAAATACAATTATCAGACAGTTCTTGGTACCAATTTGACCCATACCTCTTCAGGAGCGGTAACAACCCGTTCCCGAATATTTAGTTTCGTTTCAAGTTTGTCACTTGGTTGAATAGAATAGTCACGCAACATTCGTACAAGTAAAATCTTCATTTCAATCAGTGCAAATCGCATACCAATACATAGACGTGGACCTGCTCCGAATGGCAAAAATGCCATCGGATGACGCTTCGTTTCATGACGTTCAGGATAGAACTCGTATGGATCTTCAGGACCCCACAGCTCACGATCAAAATGAACTGAATACACATCTGCATGTATCAAAGTGCCTAAAGAAGTGAAAAAAACCGTATTTCACACAGAATGGTCACAGATATCTGCTGCCTACCTTTCTCGATGGAATATCCTTGGACGGTTGTGTCCGTAGCAGCGCATCTTTGCACAGCAGCGTTCGCAATCGGATGCATTCTGAGCACCTCTGACACAAACATGTCCATGTAAGGCATCTGTGCAACGATGTCGTAGTCAGGATATCGTTTGGCTTCTTCGTCTACATCATCGTTGCTCAGTGGAAGTTGATCGATTTCAGCTTGAAGCTTTTCGAGTACTTCGGGATGAGTGGCAAGTTCATAGGTGGCGTAAGCTAATGCAGTGGATGTTGTTTCATATCCAGCTGCCATGAAAGTAACAATGTTACTTATAACTTCTTTTCGAGTTAAACGATAGTTAGCTTTGCTCGTATCTTGTGAATTGTCATCCTAGAAAATCCAAATTTATTTACTGTCAACAAGTGTGTGATATTTACCTGAATTTTCTGATCAGTCATGACTTGTAGCATAAGTTGTAACACATCAACTCGCGAAGTTGGTGTTTGTTCTCTTTGTTCAATGATGGGATTCAATCGATTGAAAAGCCAAGTGTTTGGTAATTCATATATTTGGTTTTTCGTTACCAAAGGTAAGATATAGATATTAACGAATGCCCGTACAGCAGCAAGAATAAAAACGAGTTTACCAACTAAACATGCCATTTCGGGAACAAGTTGTGAAAACTTAACTGCAGGATTTAAGCGAAAACTACGAGCAAAGATCTCTTCCACTTTTTTGAAATAAATATTGTCTGGATTATTTTGTAAATCGGTATCGATTCCAAATGCACATCGACCTGGAAAAATCATAAGTATCACTGAAAAATGGGAGAAACTTTTTCGAGACTACGCTTACATATGACATCCATCGTCATTCGTTTGTAATATGTATAAATATTGAAATCTTCTCCGCTCTCGGCATGGTTGCTTAACTTTTCCATTGCATTTGTAATGCATCCGTTGATCAGTGGGCTCATCATCTTCAATTTAGCTGCTGAAAACGTCGGATTGATCACATGGCGGTGTTGACGCCACGTCGCACCGGCTGAAGAAAACACGTTTTTAAATCTGTTACCGGCTAAAATTTCTCTTCGTGCAGGAAAATTGAGAAACTGTTTGACAAATACTTCTTGCAGGAAATCAGGATCACTAACAACAAATGTGGGAGTGGCACCTTGATAGATTCCGTAGATTTTGCCATACTGTTGTGTCCAACTCTCGAGTTGACGATGAAAAGATGGAACGTTCCATAATGTTTTCATGTGTCCAAAGAAGAAGCGAAAAGGTGGTGTAGGAATACCACGGCGATGAAAATATTGATACCGTAGTTTTCGAAGAAATAAATAATAAAATGTAAGATTGAACAATATAAGGAATAGAGCGATCGGCAGATAAAACATTATTCTGTCTTTCCTTTTGCTTGGTTGTGTGATGCAAAAACGAAAGTGAAAGTGACGACGTCGATATGCTTTTATAGAGAACGCACGGACGGCCGAGGTTTCTTTGCCATTCTGTATAGGTTGACGAAAAGAAAGTGCGCTTTAGAACGAAAGGTCGTGCTATGTGATGATGAATCATATGACCTATCGCACTTTTTATAACAAGGCACCTTTGTCTTTGTAATGTGCTTCTTACCTTGAATTCGCTTTGTGTTATGATACTTTTTACAAGGCACGCTGTCACATGTGTTAATGCATATATTTCATCGCAAAATGAGCAGGTATGACGTTGATAGGTGCTTTCCAATCGGCAGAATAATATCAGAGAGAAGACTGCAGCAAATTAACTAGTGAAAGTTTCTGAAGCATCAAGCATGCGATGACTATGGATAGCTGATATTGTCGACCAAGATGAGAGATTGATTTACCCATATAAAAATCTTTTTATCTATTCAGTTCTATTTACCGATATAAGATATGGCAAGTCCTCCTGCTACTTGTATCTCTAGTCTGATGGCATAATCCGGTGCTGCCAAGTTGCCGAAAAAAATATTCGTTACTTATATAATGATAATTATCATACTGCATAAGGAGCGCCATTATCACATCATGTAAAGCACATCAGTTGCACACATCTGTAAGGTATATGCAGTTTTTGCCTAGGTTCTACGCTCCCATTTATTAAAACACGAATACTACACTACTAATATTTACAGTTCTTACCGATAGTTTCACGGTAAAGTTAACCGATAACAGAATCGAATAAAACACGAGATGGGAAATAGTCATAGTTACAATCTATCTTTATTAAATATATATGTCAAAAAATATTAGTAATATACAATGAGTGACTGAAAAAATTCATTGGTCTTACATCAATTCAATTACAAATATTTTGAATCTTATCTGCATACTGATACTTGTCTACAATTTATTACACATAAAAATACACTTAAGAAACATATCTAGGTATTAGTTTAACCCACACTTCTTCAGGAGCGGTAACAGTTCGTTCCCGAATATTTAGTTTCGTTTCAAGTTTGTCACTTGGTTGAATAGAATAGTCACGCAACATTCGTACAAGTAAAATCTTCATTTCAATCAGTGCAAATCGCATACCAATACATAGACGTGGACCTGCTCCGAATGGCAAAAATGCCATCGGATGACGCTTCGTTTCATGACGTTCAGGATAGAACTCGTATGGATCTTCAGGACCCCACAGCTCACGATCAAAATGAACTGAATACACATCTGCATGTATCAAAGTGCCTAAAGAAGTGAAAAAAACCGTATTTCACACAGAATGGTCACAGATATCTGCTGCCTACCTTTCTCGATGGAATATCCTTGGACGGTTGTGTCCGTAGCAGCGCATCTTTGCACAGCAGCGTTCGCAATCGGATGCATTCTGAGCACCTCTGACACAAACATGTCCATGTAAGGCATCTGTGCAACGATGTCGTAGTCAGGATATCGTTTGGCTTCTTCGTCTACATCATCGTTGCTCAGTGGAAGTTGATCGATTTCAGCTTGAAGCTTTTCGAGTACTTCGGGATGAGTGGCAAGTTCATAGGTGGCGTAAGCTAATGCAGTGGATGTTGTTTCATATCCAGCTGCCATGAAAGTAACAATGTTACTTATAACTTCTTTTCGAGTTAAACGATAGTTAGCTTTGCTCGTATCTTGTGAATTGTCATCCTAGAAAATCCAAATTTATTTACTGTCAACAAGTGTGTGATATTTACCTGAATTTTCTGATCAGTCATGACTTGTAGCATAAGTTGTAACACATCAACTCGCGAAGTTGGTGTTTGTTCTCTTTGTTCAATGATGGGATTCAATCGATTGAAAAGCCAAGTGTTTGGTAATTCATATATTTGGTTTTTCGTTACCAAAGGTAAGATATAGATATTAACGAATGCCCGTACAGCAGCAAGAATAAAAACGAGTTTACCAACTAAACATGCCATTTCGGGAACAAGTTGTGAAAACTTAACTGCAGGATTTAAGCGAAAACTACGAGCAAAGATCTCTTCCACTTTTTTGAAATAAATATTGTCTGGATTATTTTGTAAATCGGTATCGATTCCAAATGCACATCGACCTGGAAAAATCATAAGTATCACTGAAAAATGGGAGAAACTTTTTCGAGACTACGCTTACATATGACATCCATCGTCATTCGTTTGTAATATGTATAAATATTGAAATCTTCTCCGCTCTCGGCATGGTTGCTTAACTTTTCCATTGCATTTGTAATGCATCCGTTGATCAGTGGGCTCATCATCTTCAATTTAGCTGCTGAAAACGTCGGATTGATCACATGGCGGTGTTGACGCCACGTCGCACCGGCTGAAGAAAACACGTTTTTAAATCTGTTACCGGCTAAAATTTCTCTTCGTGCAGGAAAATTGAGAAACTGTTTGACAAATACTTCTTGCAGGAAATCAGGATCACTAACAACAAATGTGGGAGTGGCACCTTGATAGATTCCGTAGATTTTGCCATACTGTTGTGTCCAACTCTCGAGTTGACGATGAAAAGATGGAACGTTCCATAATGTTTTCATGTGTCCAAAGAAGAAGCGAAAAGGTGGTGTAGGAATACCACGGCGATGAAAATATTGATATCGTTGTTGTAGGATGAAACAATAATAAAAAATAAGGCTCACTAATGTGAGCAGCAATGTTATTGATAATAATAGCATTTTCTGGCTGTTCTTTTCCCTTGTGAATTTCAATGAAATAATGAATGCGAAAGAAGAAATATTTCTGTTCTTTTATACCAACGAATCAAACGTACCTTTACTTTCTTATTCACATGTTGACGAAAAGAAAGTGCGCTTTAGAACGAAAGGTCGTGCGATGTGATGATGAATCATATGACCTATCGCACTTTTTATAACATCGAACGTTCGTAATTTTGGTGCGTTTCGTATCTTCAATACTCGTTATCGTAGATCAAAGTACAATAGAAAAAAGAATCCGTAGTGTATGAATGGGCTCGTTCTATTAATTCTCACTCCATATGAGAATGTGAGCGCCTCTACCATCATATTTTATCGCAAAAAATGTTTTACATAAGATAAAATACTGTGTGCATGAAAATCAAATTGAGTAAAAATGAAAGTGATGACACCAAGACACCTTTTGCTTCTAACTTTCTTTTTAGTTATGAGTTAACTTGAATGAACTATAAAATTCATATGTATTCATTTACCGAAGAAGAAAAAACTCACTGGTGTGTACACGGTCGATGAAATTGCTTTCGACGGTACCGCATTTGGGGTAATTTTGCCGAGAGATAGATCATTTTTTGTTTGGTCTTATTCATCATTTCTCGGGAGAGTTCTAAATCGGCTGAATCTAACATACGTGCAGTGAGCAGCTTGTTATAGGCCGAATTGAATCGTTCGACAATAGATTGATAGTCCAAAATGTACATGAGTACATCAAGAAGTCTCTTTGACGAAGGTGAAAACGGCTTAAGACGGTTAGCAATCATTTGAAAGTCCTCGTCAAGTGTTTCCGCCATAATTTTTATTGTTTGCTGTTCTTGTAAAGTTGTGTTTAACTTCATTACTTGTTCTGAAATATTTCTCAATTGTGATTCCATTGACCTGTACTTCACAAGTTCATTTTCTGACTGCATCTGTTGCTTCTTTAGCTTGTCGTTAGCTTCGTGCATTGCTTTTGCGTTAGCTTTATACAGTGAGTCGTGTCTGACGTCAAAGTGACACTTAGTTCCTCTGCTATGTCCACTTGTGCGAAACGGAAAACGATTTCCACCGCTATATCCGCCAAATTGGTAATCTCTTTCGTAACCATTGTCTCGATCACGATTCCTATACATAATAGCTCGATATGTGTCAATCGCATATGAAAAAAGTTCAACCGCTTTTTCCGCAGCTATTTCTGCAAGTCGAACATCTTCTTTAGCAGTTTCAACCGTCGTATTCAATTCATTCAATAAGATTTCGGCCTCTTTAGTTTCATTTTCCATTCGCGAAATTGATTCAAGGACGTCACTGACGCGAAGAGCAGCTCGATCGAAAAGTCGTTGATTAGCCAAGGTTGTTTGTTGGAGACTCGACTGTATTTCCTGAACTGTACAGTGAAGTTCATCAGGTAGATTGGAAGATGAATGATTAGCATTCATCAGTTTATTCACAATGTCCGATTTAAATAAGGAAAGGATATGTTGAAATGGAGAGATGACCAAGATATGCAGTTCCGACGTGCTGCTTGAATTGGACGCGTTTTCGCACCGAATAGCAATAGGTAACAGAAACAGAACGATATAACGAAACATCATTCCTCTTTTTCGAATCAATTGAAATTTTTCTTTCACGTCGTTCGATGGTATTATATAGTTTTTTAATCAAAAGGTCATAGGAGAATCGGATTTCTTCGTACCTTCCTTTGCGCAAAAGATGGAATTTTCCCACGATATTGCATTGGTTATTCTCATCATCGCTATTGATTAAATAGGATGATGTAGCAAATAAACTTGAGTCCCGATTTTTTTATAACAGAGTCTAGTCCAATTGATATCGATGTCGAATACTTTATTTTTGCTACTTAGACGCTCCTTGTGTTTCGCTATCATCGAGAAATTCGTGTCTTTGTTTCGTAAATCACGAACAGTGACATCAGTTTGGTATTAGTACATGATCTGCAACTGGTGATGACAAACTGTAACTTAAATCGATCCATGGTGAAGAATCATCAATTGCATGATCGAAGAAATTCAATTCTACTCTTATATCACCATCCATCTTCTCTTCGTTGTTCTCTATTTAACTTCTTCTATATGTTCTCACGTTTTAATTATGAAAATGAATAAAACACATAGCCAAACACAGCTTGCTCACGTAGAATTTCGCTTTTTCATGAGAAGATATGAGGAAACATATTTTTCTTAACAAGTACAGACACTCGTGTGAAAAGTGACAAGAATAAGAAACTCATGTAAAAAAAAGGAAATGTTCATTTTGATCGATAATTTACAGTTTAGATATTTCTTCTTAGCCCTATTCAGTTATTGTCAGTCGCTAATGAAGTATCACAACGAGGACATCCCGGACATTGTTTCCCATTGATCATAGTAGTAGTTGGTTGAGGATTATCACATACTATGTCCAAACAATTTAGTTGTGGACATTCCTTAGGACAAAACGGACATCCTGGACATTTTCGACCGTTGATCATTATGACACCTGTTTCAGGATTGTCACACGGCAGTACTATTGCTGGACACATCGGTCTTGGACAACTACCAGGGCAACGTGGACATCCTGGGCATTTTTGTCCGTTGATGGTCGTAAAAGTTTGTTCAGGATTTTCACATTGTGGTGCAATACATTTGATTAATGGACAGACAATAGGACAACGTGGACACGCTGTACATATTTTACCATTAAATGTTGAATAAGTCGGTATAGGATTGTCACATTGTATGGCTAAGCATAAGATGTTTGGACATGGAGTAATCTATTGGTAGAAAACAGGTTTGAAGTGTTGATATAAACCGTTACTTACTGCTTGAATCTCTGCATCGGAAAGTTGATCCGTTGATATATCCGCTGCTAAAAGAATAAGAGCAGTTAGATAGAGTTTGTATTAATATTTACTCTGTATATATCGTTACCTGGTGCACAGTATGCGTAAGAAAGTATACATAAGATGCAGAAGAATTTCAACGCCGTCATCTTAGAATCGTGTAGTTTGTTTTTGCTGAAAACAAATCGAATCGAGTTTGGTTTTGTAAAATCTCCCATTTACCTTTTATATACAAAGCGAACAAAAAGACGTATATAGAAAGATAAAAATAGTGAACAACATGATTACGTGCAAAGGCAAATTATTTATTTGCACGCATATATCGAAGGACGTTATTAGATGAGTAAAAATATGATGATTAAACGGTGAATGACGTCATAGCAAAAACGACGTAGATTGAAAAAATTATTGAGTACGAAAATCAAACGAGTATCATCATTAAATAAGTTTCAAACTCATCATATATGATCAAGAATAATGTCGCTCATATATTATTTTCTTCTTCCCTCGATAAATGTCTTTTAGAACAATACTGATTTTGAAATTACATGTTACTGACAGAATATATTCCGTTCGCTGGTGCTTAAGTGCATGAAAACCTAATCTCGAATGTACTGTGTTTCCTTGTGAAGTAAAATAAAAAAAAAGAGGTTTTAATAGGATAATAGAGAACGTAGTTGCATTATTCTATGATATTTGAGTAATATTCGAACAGATCTAAAGATGGATGAAATTTTGATGCTGTGATATTACTTTTCACTTCCACATATAGTCTCGATTTTTTTTTCTTCGAGTCTAATGGAGCTGTGCGCATTTCTATCTTTAGAATATCGCAGATGAATATCGGTCAGACATAAACAAAGAGATATTTACAAGTAGTGGCTGGATATCATTTGATCAAATGACATTATTTCGGCATAATCTTATCTGTTCATTCCGTCGGAAAGAATACTCAGGTCATCCGTGCTAAGCCAGACTTGTTCAATATTTTCAGGAGTTGTTCCGATGATAAGTCTACCACATCGCGATTCGCCTTCAAACTCTTTTTGTTCTTGAAGGAATCGTTTACGCCTTTTTTCAACTGTTCTAAGATAAGGTGCTTGGTCGCCATAAACATCGTATAGCTCTTCATAGATAGTTTATGCTCTAATATCAGGGGGTGAGGGTGAGGGTGTGGTGTTGTATACGAAAATTAACAACACATACATCTAAAGTAATTCATTCTAACATGTAAAACGTTTTTTCATCATAAGAAAGAGACTAAAAACTCGATAGCATTAAATGTCACTATGACTTTTTAAAGTGATAATGTGACGTTCAAGCGTACATTCTCATACAGATGGAGTTAGTTGGGATCATCCCAAATTCTGTTTCATGCTGATCATTAAAGTAACTATATTTGTATATCGAATAGCGTAGCTCATACTGTTTCACTATTATTGTTTGTAGTTGAAACTACGTGTATGAAACGGTTAAGAAATCTATTCGTACGTATCAACACAAGGAATTACGGAAATAAATGCAATACATAGTCAAACAAACTTTGCTCATGTAGTTTCCACTTTCTCATGAGTAAATACGATAGGGCATCTTTCTCTGCATCGCAATAATGCTATGACACTTTCATTTGTAAAACAAGTAGAAATAAGAGACAATAAGTTTAGAAAAGAATGGAACTGGTCACACTAATCGATAATTTACAGTTTTGAATTTCTTCTTAGATCCGTTCAGTAGGTGGCAGTCGTTGTGGAAAGATCGCAATGAGGACATCCTGGACATTGTTTACCATTGACTGTTATAGTAGTTGGTTGAGGATTTGCACACGCTATCATTGGACAGTACAGTTTCGGACAATCATCAGAGCAGATAGGACATCCTGGACATTTCTTGCCATTGACTGTTATAGTAGTTGGCTGAGGATTCGTACACTTTATCATTGGACAATGCAGCTTTGGACAACCATTATAACAGATAGGGCATCCTGGACATCGTTTGCCATTGATTATAACTATGGTTGGTTGAGAATTCTCACACTCTATCATTGGGCAAGGAAATCTTGGACAATCATCAGAACAGGTGGGACATCCTGGACATACTGTTCCATTGATCATTGTAGTAGTTGGCTGTGGATTCTCGCATGCTATAAGCGGACAGAATAGCTTTGGACAAGCAGTATTCTATAGATTAAAAAAATAGTACGAATAGAACTATGAGTTGAAGTTCACTCACTGTTGTATTATTTTCATTGGAAAGTCGATCGATTGGTGCATCTGATACTAAAGACGGAAACAACCAGATAGAACTTCTGTGAATCTTTTCTCTTGTACATATCATTACCTGGTGCACCATATGCATACGAAAATATACATAAGATGTAGAAGAATTTCATCACCGCCTTCATAGTGTCGCGTAATATGTAGCGCTGGAAATAAATCGAACTGAATTTGATTCTTTTACAATCTTCGATCTACCTTTTATATGCGAATGGATCGATGGAAAGACATAAATAGAAAGACAAAAATGTAATTAATTACAAAGGTAAATTATTTGTTTGCACGTCATATATGCAAAGGGCGTTATTCAATGAGTAAAAAAATGACGCCAAAGCTAGAACGACGTAGATTGAAAAAAGTTACCGAGTACGAAAATCAAATAAATAAGAACACTTCAAACACATCATTAGTTTCTTTTTCTCTTCAATTCTCTCAGATTAACATTGATTGTTAAACCATATGTCATTGACATGATAATTGCCATTTACTGCGTATCTCACAGTAACTACGGAATAAGCAATCGAGAAAAAGAGAGAGAGACGATACTCATAACACGTTTATTCTTTGATTCTTGAATATTGTTCTGCTATACAATAATGGATGAAGATAATTACATGTTATCATCTAGAAAAGCAGAATTTTGGATTGTTTCTATTCTAGCAAGTATATCTACTATTTGTTCAATTCTGATTTTCATTTACTTTTATCGACAACGGAAAAATATATCGATATATCAACATATAATTCTGATATTAGTAATTTTTGCTTTTCTTCTCATGGTTACTAATTATCCGTTTGTCTTGATCTATTGTAAATATAAAAGAATTCTTCGTGAAGCACCAAGCTTCTGTTTATGGTGGAATTGGTGGATTTTTTCTACCACCACCGTGTATGAATGGTCTGCAGCATGGGGTTCAATTGAACGACATTTACTTATATTTCACGAGAATCTGATATCAACACGAGAAAAAGAATTTTGCTATCACACATTACCTATCTTAACTATAATTGTTTACTCTGTTCTATTTTACTTCATTGTGATTGTCTGCAGTTCGTGTGGAAATTATCCGAATCACCATGATGTAAGTTCTATCATACTTCACTAGTATAATGTTTACATGCAAAGTTCGTTTAGATATTTTGTCTTACGCCTTGCTTTTTACGAAATGGATCTATCATGGCATTGTATGACATTACAATGCACGCATTCATACCCGTGACTATAATAATTGTGACGAATGCAGCATTGGTGGTTCGAATATTACTGCAAAACCAAAGACAATGCAACTTAGCTACCTACACTGTGGCAATCGCTACCTTATTTATGGTCACTGTGTATCCTGTAGTCATTAATCGAATTATTTCTATGCATACGCGACAGTTGAAACCGAATATTTTGCAAACCGCAATGTTAACATATCTTCCTACTTTATCGATAATTGGTCTTCCAGTGCTTTCATTACTTTTTCTGCGAGATTTCAAAGCAACAGTTTTTAGCTTTCCCGAAGAAAACATTAATTCTTCGCCTATAAATACTTAAATATTACCATTAGTTGAATATAAAATCCATTAAGTTTTTACCTTTCTTTCTATTTATGTTTGTAATCAGTATTCACGCATACTTACTTTCGCACAGATATCTTTTGTGTTTTTACTAAATACAATGGCTGCTACACTGGTACTGAACTCATTGAACTTTGTATTCATATGGAAGATCGTCTTCTAAGCAATCTATGTAGCACTAGTTTAGATTGTACTTTATTTCTTGACATATCTCCAGTGTTTTCGCTCACTTTGAATTCGCCGTCTCAGTTTGCACCAAAAAATGAAAGGATTTAGCAATTCAAAATTAAAAAGAAAGCCTTGGCTATCAATGCAATTAGATCTCTTACATTGTTTCATCATTTAATGAGTATGTCATTTGCAAGTGCGCGTCACTCGAAAATAAAAATAAATGTTTAATTATCTAATGAATGCTTTACTCTGTATCCTTGATATCTCTTCTATATAAACTCTTGGAAAAAGGAAAACTATACCACTTATTTACAGACGTATTCTAATGGCAGAAAATGATGACATGTCACGAATCTTACAAGTTAAATTTTGGATTATGCTTACGTTGTCTGTTGCATCTATTGGTTGTTCCATTTCTATTTTTATTTATTTTTATCGACAACGAAAAAAGCTTTCGATACATCACCATCTGACTTTGATATTAGTGACTTTCTGCTGTATAGACATGCTCACTGATTATCCATTTGCCTTGATCTATTATAGTTACAGACGAGTTATACCAGCAACACCCAGCTTCTGTCTATGGTGGAATTGGTGGGTGTATTCTCTGAGTGCTGCATTTGTATGGTCTGCAGCTTGGGGTTCGATTGAACGACATTTACTCATATTTTATACCAATCTAGTGTCAACAAAACGAAAGCAATTTTATTTTCATATATTACCTGCATTTATCGTCATGCTGTATCCTTTCATATTTTACTTTGTTGTCATTTTTTGTAGCCCATGTGAAAATTATTGGAACTACAATTATGTAAGTTTTATTCACTTTTTCTGAACATCTACATTTAATTGAATATTGTTATTCTCAATTAGGTGTTTTGTGTTCAGCCGTGTTTTACGTACAGTACGTTTGGAGTGGCATTATATGATTTTGTGATGCATGTGCTGATACCACTCACCATAATAACTGTGACCAATGTGTCATTAGTAGTGCGAGTCTTATGGCAAAAAAGAAAACGACGAAGAGATTGGCGTCGGAAATGGAAACTGACCACATATCTAATATCGATTACTATCTTCTTTGTGGTCACTTGGTATCCGGCAGCGATTAATACTATTGTGTACATGTATACATTATCACCACTATCGCTTGATTTGCAAGTGAAATACTTCTTTTTCCTGCCTGTTTTATTAGGAACAAGTCTCCCGATGATTTCGTTACTCTTTTTACCGGATTTCAAGAAAACAGTTTTTAGATTTCGAAGAGTGACTGTTCATCCACAAACTTTCAATAATCAAACACCGGTAGTTGGAAGGTCTTGAATTTTCGGCTATCTAGACAATTCATAAATAGTGTGTTTACCTATGCTTTTTTGTGTCATCTATAAATAAATTTCACGCAAAGAATAAATGAAACCTTAGCGAAGTATGATGTTATCGTAGATTTTATTAGAAAAAATTATAAGAGTAGAAAAGCATTGTTACATGTAAAGCGAAGGCTATAGTTGGTTAAAAATCATCGTCATCAAAATCAAATCTTGGACGTGTTCGTTGATTTGCTACAATGCAACTTATGATTCGAAATCCTTTCTGACCTCCACATCTAGGAGATGTTTCCCATAGATCTTTTCGATGCACATCTATTCCATGCTCCTTTAACAACGAAACTGCATCATTACAGTGCACTTGTTCATCGTTCGTTGGAGGACTATCGATCCAGTGTGGAGTATGATGAATGAATTTGTTGAAAGTATTTTTACAAAAAGCTGCGTAAGCACGCGTATTGAGAATATGCCAATGAAAAGCCGTATCAATTTGTGCGGGTGGCCCACAGTCGAGAATTCCTTCACGTAAGCCCGTGTAATAATTCTCCAATTCATATATTACTTGCGTCGATTCTTCGTTTGTCATGGTCTCATGTGTGACAAGCATTTCGACTAGATATCTTCGGTCTATATCTGGCAACGAAACTCGATCGATGGCCATACAAGACAGTACAGTGTAGAAAAAGAGAAGAAATACTTTCATAGTTGCAGTAGAAGAAGTTTTTTTTTGTTGCAAATGTAAATTACAGATGCTGCTGTTCGAACATGACGTTTTATACAATCATCCGACCAATACGAAGGCGACAGCAATATGACATAAACGTAATTATATGGTTTATTTCCCAAGAGTAAGCTTTTGTTCTGCACTATGAAAAATATTAAGATAAGAAGATAAAAACATCACCTACAAGGCTCATTGTAAATTGAGAGAAAAATATCTGCGTACATCTATTTTCTGCCGTTGTCAGTTTTCAATTGGTTGAGCAAAGGTGGGAAAAGTCTTGTTTAAACAATAACGCTGTGTATATAAGAATCAGTGTTTAACAGGCCAAGTATTCATTCGCTCTATTCAAATTACAAAAATATGCCAAAGCTTGTTCTTCTTGTTGTGATCGTCGCTATCTTGATGACTTTATTCATCGGCTCTCAACACAATGCAGTTGATGCCATCAGTAAGCAAAATTTGATATCGAAAAGTGAATATTTATGTGCTTAACATCAATTTAGAAATTCCAAAAGTGATCACGGAAATCGGCAAAAAAGCTGTCAAGGGTGCCGTCAAGGAAATTTTCAAAAACGAACATTGATTAACTAGAGATAATTCTATGAATATCGCTAGTTGTTCTGTATTGCAGTTTTTTTTCTCCCAAAATAATCCGCTAAGTCTATCTATCCATCGTTTGTCTAACAAATCTACATAAGTAGAACCTTTCTGCAGCTTCAATAAACTAACTATTTCAACATATATTCATGATTCAACGCATTGACACTTAGTTTAAGAAAACGATAATAATGATAGTCAAACAGGAATCTGGTGTATTGTGAATACATTTCTTATTTCACGAATTATTCTAGAAGCAACGAAATCTCATCAAAAACTTTATTTCAACAAAATTCAAACTTATAAAGATATGCTATATCCACATTTACTAATTGCACCTATAGTTTTATTTCTACTTGTATTACCACGATTAGTTCTCTCGTATGTATCAAAACGTATGACTTTAGCAAAAGATTCTTAATTGTTTCTTTGTGAATATTTCATTTCATTTATTCCACCAATCAGAATACTTCTTATCTTTGTTGTTTTATCGAATTTCTTTTGAACCGAAGATTAAAAAGTTATTGCACAACATCGAAATCAGATTCCGCAACAATACTCCCTAGAAATGCGACGAAATTTAAAGATCAACCTTTCGATACTGATCCACAAACAATAGTAAAGAAAAATAAAAGACCGTTCCCGACAATCCTAATGTATTTGATCGTATTATAAAGTGGGCTGATGTTCTTCAGACAACATTGCGAGCACGTCGAATGTATTCTCAAATATTTACATTGTATTGCCGCTACTCACCAAAATGTTTTTCATTCAAATATTGTTCGAACAACATTAGACTGCCGCACAACAAATATTCTACTTTATTTTTCATGCTACCTCGTATCAATTTACATTGAAAGTGAAACGGACAAAAATCACATTGGCTTGCTTTTTATTTTAGCAGTTTTTCTATTTTGTGGTTTTCCCCCTTGTCCTGATATAATCGCATCGAAATGAGACGCAGCGATGATATATAATAGTCAATAAAAAAATATTTGTCTTTAAACTCTTTCTCTGCGCAACAACGAAAAATGTCGTGTGGTCCACCATCCATTATGAGTAAGCAAGACGAAAAGGAGGATGATAGTTCCATTGATACATACCAAGGTCAGCTTGCATCGCTTGACTATACAGTTAATTACATATCATCGGCATTCACTAATGTTCAAGAACTACAAACTGAGTTTAGTACGCAATATCAACATGAGAAATATACATTGACTGAATTGAATAAACGTCTTCAAGTCTTTGTTGATTATGTTCAACAGTTGGAATCAGAGAATGCAAAGTATATTCAACTTTTGGCCAATTGTCGACCAGATAATTGTATTATCGATACAGAGTCCGAACAATGTTATCTCGGTGTACAATCTAATCTCATGCAAATTAATCAGGAAAAAGTTAATTACGATTTAGAATTCGAACTCTCTCAACTACAAATTGGAACATACAAACATGTGTTCCATTGGAAAGATGAACGTCGTCTCAAACTCGAACAAGAATTGATTCAATCATCATCTACTCTTGCTGATCTACGTACAGCTTATGCAGACATGGAACGGCAAGTTGACAGTGTTTGTGCAATATGGAAAAACACATTTCATCAACATTTGACGATAATATCCGACTGGTGTCAATCCAAGAAAGAAACATTTGCATTGCTACTCTGTACACAAGCCTTGAAGAATCAAACGGCTTTTTATAAGGAATTCGTTTCGCATTCAAAACAGTGAGTGCATCTGTTTTTTCTTTCTTTTTCTATTCCGATATATTCTCTGTTTGATTTAAGTCTATTCGAATCATTGACAGTTGATGTCAAACAATTTTCGATGTTTGAGTTTGACAAAATTGTCAAGAAAATACGGAACGATTTTGAACAATTCTATAAGGCAGTTGATTATAAATTAGCTGAGTACTATCAAATGAAAATGACACACCTGGATGCAGAAGTTAAGAAAATATTGAAATATCAACAAACTGATATCGTAGCTCAAACACAAATACTCAGTGTGGAACATGAACAAGTGCAGAAAAGTTGTTCGAAGAAAAAAGAATTGCTATTGAAGATGGAGAGTACGTACTGTAAGTTCAGTTCATTGTTTGAATTCTAATTTTAAAATCATGTTTCACATCTTAATTAGCGACGTTAGAATCGCAGTTACAATCTGTTCAAACTCAAAATCAGCAGATACTTGAAGAACAATCCAAAGAACTACAAAGTTTACAGGAAAGTATCATGGCTATCGTATGTCATATCGAAGAGACGCGACAACGGTTAGAATAATTCACCAATGGTTGCAAAATCAGAATAACATTTTCCTTTTGGTTTAGAAAAATCGAGCTAGAGAGTGAAATTATTGTCTACTGTAATTTATTGGATGCCATTCAAATGCAGAACCAGCAAGTGGTTGTCTGCACACCTCCATCAATTGAAAGTACAAAGACGAGGAAACTTGTCGTCAAAATTAATAATAAAGGACCGATTGGCATTCGTGAGTATCTAATTGAAAATATAGTTGAATAATATTAGTTTTCTGCGTGTGTAAAGTATGCCCTCCCGATGGCACATACATTAGTTTGGTGAATCGTTCCAAGACTGAAGTCAATATTTCAAGATGGATCTTGAAACGACGTCTCAATTCAAAAAGGGAATTTCGATATACACTACCCGATGGAATTTTACTTGGGTCAGGTCGTGAGTTAAGAATTTATTCTAAGCGAGGTGCTGCTGATGATGAAGTACCGCCAACTGGTCGTTGTGTTCTTACATCACTACGTCAGGAATATATCAATAATAAGCTCGATTCATGGGGTATGTCTTCCAAATCTTTTTAATGGTTAATCTTTACTATCGTTTAGGTATATGTGACACCACCGAAACGGTTTTGTTTGATGAAAATGATGTAGAGAAAGCATTCTATTCGCAATCAATTGCACCCAAATAAACAAAAATATCAAACTGTTGTTATTGAAAATTGTACTTAACGCTTGCATTAAAGTTTGGTCCTATAACGTTCTAAAGCAGGGCGTGGGTGAGAGTGTGAGGACGTTCATTCTTTCTTCATTTACACTAACATAGTTTATTGTGCTTAGTTGAGGATGGGTGTGTATCTTACATACCCACACATTAGTTTCACATGTAGATTAAAAGAAATGAGAACTATCATTGGTGACTGAATTCGAAAAACGTTTTTTCTTACAAAATCAATAATATAATAGTTGAATTCGATGGATGAAGACGAACAATGGATACGATGGCAACGGTCAAAACGGTACATGCGTAATTTGTGTTAGAGTTCTGACAAAGTAGTGAGACAAACAACATGATATTAGACAGATATCAGTGAGTAACACTGTTCTTCGGTGTATAACCAGTTAGATACCTTGAATTGATTACGTCTTTGATGACAGTGACGCTTTTGCCACACAACACGAAATATCAGAGAAAGGATGCATAAAACAGTGAGAATAGTTGTCACTCTCGAATCGACAATAGTATCGCACTGTGCAAGATTAAAGTCACTATATGCGCAAGTAGAACCATGAAGAGGCAATATCGAGTCGAAAACATTTTCACATGGATACCGAAAAATCAAGTACGAAGAATAAACGCAATAATAGGCAATGCAACTTGTTAGCGGAACGTAATACACTATTAGACTTTGTTCGAATGTGTTCAATAGACTTCGATGTCCAAAGCATAATCAACAGAACAAGCTTATACGCAATTAATTCAGAAGAGCGGAGAGATAGCTGATCAGTACAATAAAAATTGGCTATAAGAATCAGCATTAAACACGTGAATATCAATAGCGTGCGGAACCGTCGGCATTTTCCGGAAATGATAAAAAAAGAAATAAATAACTAGAAACGACAAGCAATTGTAACACTTAACGTGTGAGGTATTGAACAGTATTAGCAAATAAAACATCGCTTTCGTCCCTTTGCATTGTGTTTTCTCTCGAACTCATGGTGTTCTGGTAGATTCTACATTGGAATAGAAAGCTGAATAAAAGATAATCATTCAAGCCTTTGTCAGTTCAATATCATTCTTGTAATTAGTACCTGCAGAGTCGACCTTTGAATAACTAAATCTATTATTTTAACAATGATGTTGTGTTTCTGCAGGAATTGGTAAAAACACACAGAATATTACACAAGTTTTCCATCAATTGTGAAACGATTGTTTTACATGTAAAACTAAGATAGATAATTAGATGAGTTGGAAAATTCCTAGTATAGAGATATTGTAGCAAATTTCTTAAAATAAATTTTATTCTTCATACAAGTAGATCGAAAACTAGACAAGAAACAGGAATTCAATTCTCAGATACATTCTTCCAGTAATCGTTGAAAATTCACCAGAGCAACACAACAGATTCAAATTACAATTTACTTGTTATCTTTCACACCACTTCGATATTGAAGTACCATATCATGAAATTACCTTGCTACACGAAAAGTGCAATATACTTGTTCACTTCCTGAAACAAGTACATGAACAATTATAGAATTTTTTTTCATCAATTGCACTGATAATATACCGCACATATATGAGAGCCTATAGAACGTGAGACTTGCATAAAATAAACATTCTCTAGATGATTTTTTAATAAAATTCTTATTTTATTTTAAGTTTCAGCAGTTCATATTTACGAGCATCGGCCGTATAATCCAGCGCATAGATTTGAACAGCAATCTCTATGCCTAGAACAGGATGATCTATATTTTAAGCACCAACCAATAGCTCTTTCAATTTCTTCATAATTAAACACTCGTTGAAGACAAAGCTTAACCAGAGAAGGTAGTTCTTTCCAACAATTCATTACATTGACATGGCAAATAAGCACATTGTCATCATAAACATGAAAACAATATTGAATGAGAAAGCGATGTATTTTATTCATAATATCGGATTGTTCTTTTTGGCCTTTTATAGATCTACAGTTGTACTTTAAATCTATTTTGACAAAAAACAACATGAGCAGTTTATGACTTCGAATTTTCGCTGAAGGATGAAAACTTTTAATTATGAGATGCGTACTATTTTCTCGGAAATTATTCGTCAATACTCTTTTTCTTATCAATTTATTTCGAGAAACAATGATCGAAAATCCACAGATGTTAAGCACAAATCAAAACCAATTTAATAACTTTCGTCATAATCGATTCGGAATCATATCGTGTAGTGAAGTAAAATCCCGTTGTTTCTACCAAGATCGAATATTGTTTTATAATATAATTAATACGAATCTGAATACTTTCACAGTATTATAACTTTACACTTTGTACTCTGTACATGAAGGTCAGCATTTTTTTAATTGATGATACTGGCATTCTACACTATATTAATTAAAAGTATCTAGTACGAACGGTAATATTTACACTACAAGACCACATTTATCATGAAGCGTTGTTTCGTTGCACGTGATTATAGCTGTAAAAAAGCACAATTTAATCAAATTAGTACAAAAAATCTCTCAAAAGCAGTGATGTGTTTTATTCATCTACCTTTCTCGAATATTTATGGACCACTTTTATCGAGATTTAAACGACGCACTTTCATCAAATTAACCAACTGTGAATAGCATGGAAAATTAATGACAAAGATGATATGTTTATTAATAGCATCGACATTCTGAACGTGCAATATGCATAAAGAAACATTCTCTGTTCTTATTTTCTGGAGTTTTTTTCTGACATATATTTATGAAAGATATCGGCTAGTTTCACTCCTCTTCTGACATATTCATGATGGAGGACGACGTCGAATCACCAGTCTTAGATGCAGAGTTTTGGATTATGATTATTTTGTTAAGTATATCGGTCCCGTGTTCAATCAGTATCTTCATTTATTTTTATCGACAACGAAAGAAGATTGCAATTCAACACCATCTGACTCTTGTATTAGTTACTCTCTGTTTTATGGACATGATTATCAATTATCCGATCGCCTTGTTGCAAAACCGACGGCAAAGGGTTATTTCTGCAACAGCAAGTTTTTGTTTATGGTGGAACTGGTGGGCTTATTCATTGATCACTACACTGATATGGGTGGCCGCTTATGGTTCAATTGAGCGATATTTAATTGTATTTCATAATGGTCTTTTCTTAACAAGAAGAAAACGAATTTTTCTTCATTTTCTCCCGATATTAACTGCAATCATTTATTCTTACGCATTCTATTTCGTTGTTATTGTTCTTCATTCCTGCGAAGACCGATGGGATTATAATTCTGTAAGTTTTATAGAACTGTTCACACTACATCTACATTCACTTTTTCTATCATTTTTAACCAGCTCCTCTGCCGTTTGCCGTGCTACGCATACAGTCAACCTGTAGCTACATTATATGATTTTGTTGTAAATACATTCATACCATTGACTATAATAACTGTAGCAAACGTGGTTTTAATTGTTCGAGTGCTTTGGCAGAAACGGAAAAGACAACGAGATCGGAAACGCAAATGGAAGTTATCCGCGTATCTCATCTTACTTGCTATCTTTTTCATGATTACTTGGTATCCAGGGACGATTAACAGCCTTATCTACATGTACACACTGTCACCGGTATCTGAAAATCTACAAATGAAATACTTCTTTTTCCTCCCGAGTTTATTGGAAATGATATTGTCTATCATTTCCGTATTCTTCTTACCGAATTTCACGAAAACAGTTTTCGGATTTCGTCGAAGGACTGTGAAGCCACATATAGTTAATTATCAGACGCCAGTAGCTAACAGACATTGAGCTTCTTCGGTGTTTGTCATTCTTATTTGTATTGATATAAGTTAGAATCTAATCAACGATGAGAAAGTCGTTAAAAATGAACAAGTAACTGTGATTACATTGGTTTCTTTCATTTTTTTAACCTAATTCAATCACGATTATGTGAAAGACACGAATAAGCTTTTATCGCTGAATTACGAGATTATAATTTAGTGTAATGAAAAATATGTCAGAACTTTACCTGATACCGCTTCAACAAAAAGTCTACATTTCTAAATTTAGTATCTGTGTTCTCTGGAGAATTATGAATAAATACATTTTATGGCCATTCAAGAGTTTCTTAGTCTACATCCATTAACGACTATACGGTCGTATTGCTGAAATGAAAATGTGTTTTCAAAGTAAAACATAGAATAAGAGAGGAGAGTAAATCGAGTTTCTTATATTGTGTCGGTTCATACGTCTGCATGCAATCTCTGCTCTTTCACAGTTTGAGCAGAATAGTTAAATGAGTTCAAATCTAATAATACATCCATTTTTCGTATCAGCAACGTACAGAAATGTGCCTTCATAATTGTTCGAAACGTCTTACGGCAAATTAAGCATATTCTCACTCTAGCCAGAATTTCCATGAGTTGATTATTTCTCGTTCCCATACCATTTCCACCAAAGCAATTGTTGTGCCGTTCTTTGTTGATGTACCCAATTATGAAAAAAAGTTGAATACGATTGGTGAGAACCGACTATATAGAGATTCTCGATTCTCTCGATACCTATTTCAATGGGACCAGTGAACCGATTGAGTGCAGAACCGTACATATCTTTCCTACCGGCAACGATTGTTGGCTCGGGAGACGCTACTTGAATATCGAAGATTTTATACACATAAAAACCATAAGCATAGCTCAGATACGAATTCGTTTTTTCATTTGACCGAGTAAATCCAACATAGGGTCCAACAAACATATTTTCCTCGCTTCAATTCTTCGCAACCAGTGTGACATTATCGATACTTGAAATCCAATCATGAAAACTAATTACTTGCTTACTGTACGCAGCGACTACAATGATCGAATTATCCGTGGTCTTACTAGCAAGAATATTCGATGAGCCAGTTAAGCATACAGTTGCACTACTGGCACTGAAAGTTTTATTGTTAAGAATCGTCATTCGATGTTATAAAATACATATGTCCACACTTATTGAATTGTAAAAACAGGTGTAGTTCGCGTCTTGTCGACACATATTCATATTCTTTTTGAGAAGCCGAGTACATCGATATCGAAAGATTCCAATATGAGCTTAGCAGACACGTCTATATGAAGTTCGCTTCGCAAATAAAATAGCGAGTTTCAACTACAGCGGATGAGCATAATTGACATTGAGAGCAGTTGAGTATTGCGCACTAGCCCAACTCTTGAATAGTTCATTGATGATGAAATAACATTTACATGAAGATTTCTATTACCTTGAAATAATCGACATCGATTTGATATGAGAGCGTCGATATAATACATTCGGCATGGAAGATTTCTATTACATAGCATCGAACATATTTTCAAGAGATCGTTCTCGATGATAAATGTAGAAAGAACTTGCTTGGAATTGAAAACCAATCTCGGATAGTTTTATGGACGATTCATGAATACATTGATTTACGTGTAAGCTACAAAGAACAACTAAGAAGCAAAGAGAGAGCCACCTCACGTCAGACACATGACTACTTTCTGTTTTACATAACTGCCATATACAGCTGACTAACGATTGATAAGCGATTCTCTTGAAAGTATACATCTATTAACGCTTTGGTGGCTTTCAAGAGAAGAACTTCTAGAACAAAACTTCGAAAGTAAAGTTCTACTACTTTACTTAACCCTGAATAAACGAAATGATGTAATAGACTTCTTTAATATGTTGTCGAATTATGTCAATTAAGTCGATCATCAGTCGCTGCAGTGCTTTAATTGATCAAAATTCATTTTTTGTCATATACTTTTTCCTTTAGTAGAATTTTGCAATATCAAACTCTGCTAATCAAATGAATATTTTACAACTGCTCCTATTCAACCACGTTTCTACGTAATTAGACTTATCGGATTATCTTCGGCGTGAACGTTTTCTTGTTGCTTCACGAAATCCCTTTGAATTTCTTCTATTGCATTTCATCAACGATTCATCTTTGTATGAATCACAATCCCGTTTTTACAATTCATGTATTGGTACGTATATATGATCGGTACGATCTATGCAATACCTGTTGCCCTAATTATCATCTCTGGATAGTTAGTCTAATTCATTTTGGCCTTCCTGGTATTATCAAAACATTTTCGTGAAAATAAATCAAAGACCAGCTGTTTCTCTGCAGGTGATTCATATCAGTGAATCTTGAAGGTGTTCTTACTGACTACATATCGACGTATTTCCAAAATCATTTCCTCTCTCTGTTGTTTTTGATGAACGAGTATGTGAGTTTGCATTTCGTCACGTACAAAAGGAAGAAACAAGCAAGCAGAGGTTCACAGTAAAACCTCCGACGAATAATTGTACTTTCTTCCGGTATAACAATAGTTTTCATATTTGCTTAAGCATGCGAGCGATCATCTGCTATCGTGAATCGGTACATTCATACGCGAAATAACTGATGTCCGTAATGTTCTTGGATTTATTGAGAAATGAAAAGATAGAAAGCAGACAATGGTACATATTTCAGTTTAACTCATTCGTTTTTTATGTAGATATTTGCCTTTTGACGTCGATAATCTACAAGAATTCTTCGAGAAATATGACACTTGAAAAACTTTGCCACTTACTTTTCTTCATCCTCTTCTCTGACATCACCTGATTGAGTTAAACGTCCACAAACTACATTTTGTAGTACTTTGAGTATCAACTAAAGATGAAAAAAAAACGAAGAAGCAAGTTCCAATCATCCATTACGTAAAAATGTTCCTTACAAAAAACCAATAAGTATTCAAAAGAAACAAAATCCAAAGGAGAATGTTAAATGGCAAATAGAGATGAAGACCTCGATCTAAAGTACGGTAAACAGCAACAACTCCAGTCGAATAGAGCACTTTCAACGGATACCAATATAATCGAAAGGTAAACCTAATATAAAATTTAGTCATTAATTCTCGAATAATAAAAGATTTTACTTTACCAACAAACAACAAGTAGAGAAAATCCGAGATACGATGCTTGTTCCCATCGATTATCTTGTTTAGTATTAAGATACCGCATAATTTTCGTTAATTCAAGCCAAATATCAGCAATATCATGGCAGAAGAGGACTAACAAACCCACTCTATGATAGCTTGACAGAAAAAAAAGTTTCTGTACTATTTTTTGTTCTTGATAAAATTCACTTACCGAATTGCATACGAAACAAAAATAAGTGTTGCTGTGATGACATGGTGGAGAATCATAATGTAAAAATCTTTTCGTCTCGAGTCTAAATAGAGCGTCGCATAAATTGAATGAATATAAAAACCACATTGGATAAAGTAAAGAATTTTGATGTCAAGTGGAACGAACATGCCAGCTGACCAATCTGCAGAAAGAAAAAGAATTTTTATGGTGAAAGAAAAGAAAATTTCTTCTTACTATCCCAAACTGAATATGGTTCATCGAAATAATTGTATCGATATTTAACTAAATAGCAACAATAAGACCATGCCCAAGTATAGAAAAGAAATTTCCATGCTGATTCAGAACATTTCTTCTCATTCGCAAGTGTCAGTTGAAGCCATTTGGTAAACTTCTAAATCAACAATTCAATCGCAGATTGTTTTATTATAAACAAACACACCTTTGACACGATTGATTGAAAGTTGTATCGCATCAACGTAAAGAATACTGAGATGAAAATAATACAGAGAACATCCGAGCGATTGAAATTAAATGACCCCATCGAGTTGTGCATGAAGTTTTTAGATGATCTTCGATTGTTTGAATAATACCAAATGATCGTATTCCAGAAATCGATGAGAAGATCTTTGTAGGAAGGTGACATCGAGTACTTGTCATTGAATGTTTCATTTGTTGGCATGTCTGAAAGGAAACTTTGTACCTTTGTAACTCGAAGAGAAGACTTTTTATTTCATTTTCAATGAAATGTACAAAAGAGAAAAAGCGGATGATGCTGGCGTGATCAAGCCGATAGTGCAATGAAGAAATCACAGAAGCGAATTTTTCTTTGTATCCTTTTGAAAAGAAATACTTCAATCTTTATTCAACAGAACAGAAAAAAAGTTACTGATTGTCACGATTTATATCGATGTGACTCAGATACTCCTACACTGGAAGAAACGTGACAACATTTCTCTATACATCAACTTTCGAAATCAATGGATAGAAAAAGTACAAACATTTTCGTGGCGAATAAATGAGTAATACGATTTATTTTCGAAAAAAATAAATCCAAGTTTCTTTTTTCATTCAACAATATCTTCACCTTCTAAAGGTCCGAATAGTTTCTGTCGAATGATTTCGAGTGTATTCTGGAAGATTTGCGTATTTGAATGTTGCTCACCTAATGATCGACTGCTTAATTCAATTGCTTTACGACTGAAATCCAATGCATCTGAATATTGATCTTTATGACAATAAGTCAATGCAATATTGTTATAAGTAATTGCCAATGACGGGTGATCGGGGGGTAAAGATTTCGTTTCGATATCTAAACACTTTTCGTACATGCGCAAAGCTTCATCGTAACGCTTTTGTTGATAGTATATTGTAGCTAAATTATTTAATAACTCAGCAATATTTGGATGTGTCGGTGGTAAATGTTTCGTCCAAATTGATAGCGCTTTTTCGAATTGTTCGATCGCTTGATCGACTTTCTTTTGATCATAAAAGATCATACCCATACAATGAAATCGAGCCGCTAGAATTGTTTCATGACTTTTATGCTGCTCATCAATATTCAAAGCTCGTTGAATGTATGCCAAAGCATGATCAAGTTCACCTAAATCACGATAAACACTACTCATATTCGCATACGTAACAGCAAGTTTGGGATCATCGTTTGCTAAAAACGATAAAAAAATCGTCAGCGAACGTTCGTACTCTGCAATGGCTTCCTGGAGATCTCCCATTTCGTGAAAGATAAAAGCGAGTTGATGACGTAATGCTGCTTGAGAAGGTTGATCGCTATTCTTCACTTCTTGCAATGCTAATTGTAAAAATCGCATGGCCTGTGTATGTCGTCCAATGTGAACCAAGAGATTGTACAGACGGTCGCGTGGAAATGCATGTTGCACCTGTTCCCTCATATATTGTGTCAATTCAGTTAATTGTGGATCATTAAAGTTGGTTAAGTTCAATTCAATCAGCCAAAAATTACCGTCGGAAGTCTGTTCCGTAATACTTTCGATTCGAAAAACAGTTCCCATTGAAAAAAGAACTTCATTTTCAACACTCGCAAAGAAACTAACTCCATCAATACACGCAAATGGTGGTATGTCTTCAGCATCATTAATTGTAACATGAATCTTTAGAAGAACGGCAACTATTGTATCATCCAAGATATATGAATTATCACCAGCAAACACTTTAGCTACGTTTATATTCTTACTAGTTGATAAGAAACTATTCATGGAGACAAGACCGCCTTGATTATTTTTCAATGGAAGAAACTCATTTAATGACATATGTTGACCACGATAAAGAATAGTTTTACCCGAGTTCATGAAGTCATTCCGTTGTGAATGATGTAAATTAACAAGTTGTTCATGAAGTTCTTTAGTAAAGACGCGCATAGCATAAAGCGTTTCGATATCTTGTAGTCGTAATGCTTTATTTAACATTTTATACAAGAATCCATCGCACGTGTACCACCAGACAGGTGAATGATTGGAATAGTTTTTCTCCAGTTCATTGATACGATTGAGTTCATGTTGATTACCGACGTATTTATGACGACAATATTCGATCATCTCTGTTATATCATTCGTTTCACTATTCGCAATATCAAGAAGATATTCCTTTGACAATTGAGCATACATGAAATTCGCTTCTTGTTCGTCATTTGTGCGATTCTTATTGCCAACAGCGTGGAAACCAATCAGATCGTGTTCACATTTCGTTGCATCCTTTCGTAATTGAACACACATCTCTGTTGCGGTTGAAAATCGACCTCGGAATCTTTTCAACTCCAATTCATGCTGAATCATTGCATCCTCATTTTGCAATATGTAAAGAGAGTAAATTTGTCCAGCCCGGTCTAATATTTGTCCAATATTAGCCAATGAAATTGAAGCATCAGTTATAATGAGGAAAATGAATTCGTGTCGAACCTCAGTCGTATGATCTATAAACGCATCAATATCATCAAATGTGTAGACATTGTTGAAAATATGATGAAACTGTTCGGTAATTATTGAACGTTTGCTAGTGTCATTATTTTTATTAGTTCGAACATCAAGCCAAATCAGAGTCAAGTTCTCCGCATCTTCATGACGAGTTTTACTGAAAGTATGTGCAATATCTAGCGCACGTTCCATTATGAGTCCATAAATCGATCTAAAATTAAAAATTTTGAACTGTTAATATTATATTCTCATTTCAGAAGACAACATGCGTCAACTTTGAGATCTATACACAGTGATATTGTTTTCTAAATAAGAATCTGACGTATTAACGGATGCATATGTGGATGAATTTGTGTACTTTGTCCTACCGTGACTAGCTCAGATTATTTCACCTTCGCTCCCACTCTCAAGATTGTATAAACGTACTATGTATTAAGTCGATATTTTCAAAATTTTGGAACACAGTGACTAACTTCTTAGTGAATGACTAATTTCTTTAAAACTCACTTCCTCTCAATGGTTATTACTAATACATGACATACATGAAAACAATATGAAGAAGGTAAATGCTCTAGTCGTGTTTTTTTAATATATACTATATCGTCAAAATACAATATTTATCACAGCAGTCGTCATGAATCATACGCATATCTGATTGGGAAAATGTGAAGAAAAAAAAAAGAATAACCTCGTTTATTACTTCTTTCGGTCACGATTGAATATACAGAACGAGCGTGTTTACTTTATCCATATCCTCACCCTCGAATTACAAGGAAAGTGCCATATCATTCACATAGGACATCGCTATTAACAAATTGGATGTAATTAGCGACTGTTTTCGGAGATGTATGTCATTTTCGACGTATTTAGTAGTTTGGATGATTTATTAACTTTTTGTCATTTAATAAACAACTACAAGCACATTGTACACATTGTTTCCTTGTGTAAATTTAGCGAAAGATGCTCTGTTGATGTCTATACGTAACTGTTACTTTCAATGTCGGTTCTCCGCTTTAATTGAGTAGATATTAGTAGTTATAATGTGTACAGTTGCAAATGAAATGGAAATATCATAGAAACAATGAAGAACTGATTGATCAATAATGGCTTCCGAAGTTCCTTCTGGACGTTATCACTCTCGTATTATTCCACAGTAAAAAATGCGAATCTCATAAATTACTTTTATTATAATAGACAACTAAATAGGATAAAAGCTTCGGTTATTACATTAAGTCCCATCTCATGAATATAAATTCTCTGCAGAAAATATGAATGTGACACCGAAACAATCGCTGCTGTTATATTCACGTCATAATCGTTTCGAGTACTACATTGATTAAAAAGAAAGATCAAACGCGATGGTAATGTCAATCAAAGAGCAAGTGCAGTTCTGTGTTGTAATCAACTATTTATGGAACGTCCTGTAATATGATAATACAATCCGATCAACATGTAAGACGTGCAATTTTTTTGTTTCAACTTTTTTATCTCAAGAGAATGTATTGTAGATTGCAATCTGTCAGAAAAAAAAAACATTTACATAGATGGTTACTCAAGAAGAGAAGAACGACAAATCATCGACAGAAGGAAAAGAACAGTTGATTACTATCATTTTGTCTTTCCGAACGACTTAACAGTCTTTTCTTCTCCTCTTTCGTATAATTATTGCTTGAGTCACCGTGTTATTGACTTTCCAAATGACATCCGACGGATCTGTTGCAATAACAACTATTTTTCCTGCTGTTATTTCTTTTTGACTAAACGATACATTAACATGATTCTTTTCTCTCCAAGCAATATAAAAACTCATACAACTAACATTTGANTCTTTTCTTCTCCTCTTTCGTATAATTATTGCTTGAGTCACCGTGTTATTGACTTTCCAAATGACATCCGACGGATCTGTTGCAATAACAACTATTTTTCCTGCTGTTATTTCTTTTTGACTAAACGATACATTAACATGATTCTTTTCTCTCCAAGCAATATAAAAACTCATACAACTAACATTTGACTAACTTCATACAAACATGAAACTGTTTTCTTTAACAACAAACACAACAATCGTAGAAATACAATGGCAAGCATATCCCATTGGTTTTTTTCTTTTATTATTATGTCTATTGACAATTTTTGGAAATCTATCAATCATTTACGTTGTTGTTCGTGAAATTGCTTTGCACGCATCGACGTACTATTATATTGCGTCATTAGCATTCGCCGATTTTCTAATTGGATTAATCGTCATGCCGTTTGGATTTATGTTCGGAATGACGAACGATGAGTATTGGCTGTTTTCCCGACATTTAAAATTTCTCTGTGATTATTGGTATTCGATGAACATTTTCGCTTGTACAGCATCGATTTTTGCTTTATGCACTATTGGATTAGAGCGTTACACGGCAATTTCCAAACCAATTGAGCATCCAAGCTTATTCATATCGAAAAGATGGTACTATTGGCTGTTATTCATATGGATAAGTTCGGCGATCATTGCTCTTCTCCCTATAGTTTTGTTCGGAACAGTTCAAGAGACATCTCGTAGGCAGATGAAGACATTTTCTCTCCATGAATCGATTTGTATCTTCCATTTAGGCCAACTACTGAATGAAACATCCGTTACAAAGTCGATATCATTGAAAGAATGTAGATTTCCGAACAATCTGTATTATACGTTATTCATTTCGATTGTGGCATTTTATTCACCATTAATTCTGATGATTTATGTTTATATAAAAGTATACATCGCAGCAAGAAAGCAAGCCTTCGCACTGCATTCTGGTTATAAACAACATTCTCGAGCAAAATCTGCTAAATCCCATCAATTATCAAGTGATTTTATAACAGTTCGTATTCATCATGGAAAATACCAAGAACCGACGCAAGAGAATGGCAATGTTTCGTGGAAAAGCTATTCCAAGGATCAAAAGGCAGCGAAATCTATTGGACTGATTATGGGTACATTCCTTATCTGTTGGTTACCTTGTTTCGGATATCTCTCGTTGAGCGGTATATTTGCTATTCGTTTGAAAAATGAACATCATCATGAACTTCTATTAAAAATCTTTTCATGGCNCTCTTCGTTTTGATGTCGTGGAAAACTTCACATCATTGTCACGCATATTCAGTAAATGGTCAGTGAGTTGTAATATAATGTTAAGCAGAAACAGAAAAGTGTAAATGTCAAATACAGATGTAGATGATCATTATTTATAGAATATTGGATTATTGTTCTAATTTCGAATATTTTATTCCTTTATCAAACATATAAAGATAATTAGAGAAAATTGAACCGTGCCCTGACTAATCAGCAAATGAAAAGAACAATATAGAATGATCCTTCGACGAAATGTGCTATCGACAATATATTCTGTCGACGAAATGTTTTTCTACAATATATAATTCGACAAAATATTGTGTCGACGAAATGCTTTTCTACGAAAAACATTCGACAAAAAAGACGTTCGACAAAACTTTGTCGACAAAACTTCGTCGACCAAATGTCGTTCGACCAAAAACATGGTATTCCAAAATGAGTGTGTTCGCTTTATCCATATCCTCAATTCGCATTACAAGCAAAGTGACAGCATCATTGATATAGAACATCGCTGTTATCAAATTGAAAGTGTATAATTAGGTTAGTAATTAGCGACTGTCTTCGGAGATGTGTGTCATTTTGGACTTATTTAGTAGTTTGGATGATTTATTAAATTTCTGTCATTTGACACACAACTACAAGCACATTGCGCACATTGTGTCCTTGTGTATGTGTAGCGGAAGATACTCTGTAGATGTTTACGTAATCGCTATTTTTAATGTTGGTTATGAGCTTTAATTGAGTGGATATTGGTAGTTACAATGCGTACAGCTGCAAATGAGATGGAAATATAATAGAAACAATGAAAAAACTCATTGATCAATAATGACTTCCGAAGTTCCTTCTGAACGTTATCACTCTCGTATTATTCCACAGTAAAAAATGCGAATCTCATAAATTACTTTTATTATAATAGACAACTAAATAGGATAAAAGCTTCGCTTATTACATTAAGTCCCATCTCATAAATATAAATTCTCTACAAAAAATATGAATGTTGACAACGAAACAACCGCTGCTGTTATATTCACGTCATAATCGTTTCGAGTACTACATCGACTAAAAAGAAAGATCAAACGCGATGGTTATGTCAATCAAAGAGCAAGTGCAGTTATGTGTTGTAACAAATTATTTATGGAACTTCCTGTAATATGATAATACAATCCGATCGACATGTGAGACGTGCAATTTTTTGTTTCGTCTTTTGTGTCCCAAGAGAATGTATTGTAGATTGCAATCTGTCAGAAAAAGCATTTACATAGATGGTTACTCAAGAAAAGAAGAATGATAAAACATCGACAGGAAGAAAAGAACAGTTGATTACTATCATTTTCTCTTTCCGAACGACTTAACAGTCTTTTTGGTAGTATCCGCTTCTCATTTTCAGTTATTGTTGGATTCGTCTTTTCTTCTCCTCTTTCGCATAATTATTGCTTGAGTCACCGTGTTATTGACTTTCCAAATGACATCCGACGGATCTGTTGCAATAACAACTATTTTTCCTGCTGTTATTTCTTTTTGACTAAACGATACATTAACATGATTCTTTTCTCTCCGAGCAATATAAAAACTCATAGAATTAACATTTGACTGATTTCATACAAGCATGAGACTATTTTCTTTAACAACAAACACAACAATCGTAGAAGTACAATGGCAAGCATATCCTATTGGATTTTTTCTTTTATTACTATGTCTATTGACAATTTTTGGAAATCTATCAATCATTTACGTTGTTGTTCGTGAAATCGCTTTGCACTCATCGACGTACTATTATATTGCGTCATTAGCGTTTGCCGATTTTATAATTGGATTATTCGTCATGCCGTTTGGGTTTATGTTCGGAATGACGAACGATGAGTATTGGTTGTTTCCTCGACATTTGAAATTTCTCTGTGATTATTGGTATTCGGTGAACGTTTTCGCTTGTACGGCATCGATTTTTGCTTTATGCACTATTGGATTAGAGCGTTACACGGCGATTTCCAAACCAATTGAACATCCAAGCTTATTCATATCGAAAAGATGGTACTATTGGCTGTTATTCATATGGATAAGTTCGGCGATCATTGCTTTTCTCCCTATGGTTTTGTTCGAAACATCTCAAGAAACATCTCGTAGGCAGATCAAGACATTTTCTCTCAATGAATCGATTTGTTTCTTCCATTTAGACCAACCACTGAATGAAACATCTTTTACGAGGTCGATATTATTGAAAGAATGTAGGTTTCCGAATAACCTGTATTATACGTTATTCATTTCGATTGTGGCCTTTTATTCACCATTAATTCTGATGATTTATGTTTATATAAAAGTCTACATCGCAGCAAGGAAGCAAGCATTCGCACTGCATTCTGGTTATAAACAACATTCTCGAGCAAAATCTGCTAAATCCCATCAATTATCAAGTGATTTTATAACAGTTCGTATTCATCATGGAAAATACCAAGAACCGGCGCAAGAAAATGGCAATGTTTCGTGGAAAAACTATTCCAAGGATCAAAAGGCAGCGAAATCCATTGGACTGATAATGGGTACATTCCTTATCTGTTGGTTACCTTGTTTCGGATATCTCTCGTTGAGCGGTATATTTGCTATTCGTTTGAAAAATGAACATCATCATGAACTTCTATTAAAAATCTTTTCATGGCTTGGATATTCAAATTCCGCATTGAATGTTCTTGTTTACGTCTCGACAGCGAGAGAATTACAAATGGCATTTTCGAAATTATTTCTAAGACGACGATCGTAGTATATTAGTTCTGGAAATTTTGTTCAATAGAAAATCGTCCGTTAATAACGAATAATCGACGCTATTGTTTGCACATGTGCGATTCTTGATGATCGACAAAATATGAATTTATTTCAATATTCCATCAGAGTTTGTCGTAGATCTTGATGTAAGGAACAGTAGGATAAACTTGCCGCTAAAATCAGGGTACGCGTAGTTTTGTAAGGTAAGATATTCCTACAAGAGTCAATTGAGCAGTCAAGTCTCGCTACAATCGTGTTTACTGGACACTATTGAGTTTTGATGAAACTTCACGTACATGGTGTATTAATGACCAATAGATAATACTCAACGCAATATTGGTTAAAAGTACTGCGATTACACCGAGGTATACTATTAGGTCAACACGTGTTAATGTGACGAAGCAAAAGTAAAATCAAATATGCATTGAAAAACAACTAAACCAACATTTCAACAGCTAATAGAACTTAGGTTGTGCATAGTGATCTCATATGAACATATAAATACAGACTGCAATATGATTACTAGAACAAAATTAGTGTTACAAGCTAGGAGCATGAGGAAATTGAAGCAGCGATGCCGATTGAGCTGAGCTAATGTCAGAAAAGCAAAGGCAACGGGCCATTCAAAAAAAAGCTATCGAATATATATGTTCTATTGATAATTCGAGGGAAGTCCATGTTTTCTCGGTAATAGTATCAAAAGTAAGAATAAGAATGTTTGAAGGGCGAAAAAGAAAACTCTATAAGATACATTCAAAGAGCTGCTTTATACGCACGTCAATGGCAATCTTTTCGGATCAATTATACTTGGTTAAACTAACGGAAGTGTATATTCCGAGTTTTGAGGCGAATGAGCATAACTATCAAGGAAACATGCTGACACGTTCTCATTGCATTTATTTAGTAATTACATGAGCAATACATGATTTATGTCATCGATATTTAGATGGCAGTACAGAATGCAGACATCTTATAAGGATGCAAGTACGGTTGAGATCGGAGATAAAATTGGATTAATTATCGTCGGATTGTATAAAATATATTCATTTTTAAATTCGATTATCTATACTGACAAAATGTTGACTTGATTGAACGCTACGATTATCACTATGATCTACGCCCTCACCTCTACACACACATAGTAAAAAATATGGAAAGAAATCGTAGTTTATCATAGGCGAATGAATCAAACAAATAAATAAACGCACTCCTTCCATACAGATATCACTATTTTACTTTGTTCTCAAGAAATTATCTAACTGAAGATAAGACCGTTTTTAATATGACAGGCAAACTTTATGATAACAAACTAACTAAAGGAAAGCAAATATAATTTTTTCAAATACTTGTAAAAGAAACTGGGGTATACTCGCCCACGTGTGATAGTCATCAATGGCTCGCGAAATCAACAAGCCCGATGTAATCGCTGAATTAGAAGCAGCGTTTACCATGTATGAACAAGCTCTAATTGATAACGACGTGAAAATAATGAATTTACTCTTCTGGAGCGCACCTGAAACAGTTCGCTATGGTATTGCCGACATTCAATATGGTGGAGAAGCAATCTATGAGTGGCGTGCGCCTGCACCGCCGGTGTCGATTTATCGACAACTTCATCGTACGGTCATCACGACATTTGGTATTGACTTCGGAACAGTCAGTACTGAATTTAGTAATGATGTCGAAAAGTCAGTATGTGGTCGGCAAATGCAAACATGGGTTAGAGTAGGATCGAAAACAGATTTAGCCAATGGCTGGAAAATTGTTGCTGCTCATGTCAGTTTGACCCAATCAACTTGAGAGAATAGACAGATTTGACTGATATCTTTACTGCATGTTTTTTTATTCTATTCTTTAATAAATATTGAAATTTAGTGGAGAGAAAATACTATTAAAGTTTCTTTTGTATCTTTCTCTTGCAGTTTCTACTGTTAAGGACACAGCGTTGAAATGAATTACAACGAGAATGTAATCGTCGCTGCTGAGCCATATGAATTCGAGTTCAATTTAAGACAATGCGCATTGTTGATCATCGACATGCAACGTGATTTCTTAGAACCAGGTGGTTTTGGCGAAATGCTTGGCAATGACGTGAGCCAACTTCGTCAAACGGTTAATTCAAATCAAAAGTTGCTAAAGCAATGGCGTGAAGCTGGTTTGAAAGTTATATATACTCGTGAAGGTCACCGTCCAGATTTATCTGACCTGTCATTAAGCAAGAAAATCCGTGGACGACATACATTGTGTGTCGGTGATCTTGGTCCAATGGGGCGTATTTTAGTACGAGGTGAGCCTGGACACGATATTATTCCAGAACTCTGTCCGTTGCCTGGCGAAGCAATCATTGATAAATGTGGAAAAAATGCCTTCTACGCTACAGATCTTGATGCTATCCTTAAGAATTACAATATAAAACAATTGATCGTTACCGGTGTTACTACTGAAGTCTGTGTTAGCAGCACTGTACGTGACGCTAATGATCGAGGTTATGAATGTCTCGTTCTTGAAGATTGTGTTGGATCATATTTTCCCAGTTTTCAGGTAGCAGCTCTCGATATGATCAAAGCTCAAGGCGGTATATTTGGTTGGGTAGCACAATCTGATAAAGTGATCAAAGTTTTGAAATTAGATTGTGAGAATTAATAAATTGTCGCGTTGAAATGAAAAGACTATGCTTTTATTTTATTATAAATAAACTACATTCTTGCTTCACTAGTCGTTACAATCAGCAAAGCCATCAAGAAATGATGCACAATTCCACAGATTTGTTTAAATCACATGCATACAAAATTTTCATCTCTTTTCTCTTCATCTACCGTTGCCGTGGTTGTAATTTCGAAGTTGTACGTAATTTTTCGACCAAGACGTGTTTCCAGATGAATCTTGTAGACGTCACCTTGTCCTAGCATTTCACCAGGAGCAGGCATAGCAGCTAGAGCTTCCACCACTTCTGCGCTATTGAACGTTAACACAGTCACAGTATCACCAAGGCTAGCTGGAAAGTCGTGCCATGTACCCAAATTAAGAATTACACCACAGCCTTAACGTAAAATGGCAAAGTGTTCGTAAAAATATAGACAAGAGCACCTTACCAGGCGGTATAATAAACGCTTTAACGTTACTCAAATCTGGAAGAGCTCGCTGTTCTTCATTCAGATCTACTCGCTGATGTGTCGGCTTGCCCAAAACCATAAGAAACGATTCTTTAGCACCAAGACCAATAAAGAGTTGCGTCAAATGCATATGTCTCTCTAGCCAAAGCGTTTCATTGTGTGGCTTTACATGAATTTCTGCTGAACGGCACGTTACTGGAGGACGACATTGGAAGTCGAAATTTTTTCCTTCAACAATATTACTATAGAATGGAATCGTTAAACCTCCACGTTTCTTCGCCGATATGGTATCAATAATTATTCCATAGCCATCTTCGATTTCTTTGTATGAACATGTAGGAATTTCAAATACTGCATTGGGGCCTAAAAATATTCACCTTTTATTTCATATTTACTACTTATTACTTATTAAATGAGATTCCTCGTCTTTATTTTCAGATACTTTCAGTAGTCAACAATAAGCAGATGAATAACATACTCATGATGTTTTGCTGTTGAGAATGCAGCAGCACAATTTACGTATCAAGTATAATCACTGCGTTCCATATACAAAAATCATTTATATACGCCTTTTCAGAATATTTATCCGAGCTAATATGTTCTGCTAAGTCACACGACCTCACTGATACGAGAACATTTTTCTAGCCTTGAATATATAAGACTAAATATAGATATTATATCTCTTGAATGTATTTTGTGAATTTTGGACTAGATATGATGAAAACTATAAACCACCTGTTTCGTTGTTTCCTCGTGAGATCGAAATTCAGAGGTAGATCTCACGTGCTGACGTGCTCGTAATCCTTTTTTTTTAGATAACAACACACTTTTATCGGTATGCAAGTCTAAATCGAAACTTGCACCGTATTACAAATTGTGTAGGTCTTATCAAATGCACTAACACAGGAATCATTCACGTCTAGTCGAACCTAGCGATCACACGTATATCTTCTTACATATATATCCATTTCTTTCTTCCTTCAGTATCACGCGTTTAACGCGTGATCGTGGATCCTTTGTCCTCGTCCAATTTTCANCCAAGGATCAAAAGGCAGCGAAATCTATTGGACTGATAATGGGTACATTCCTTATCTGTTGGTTACCTTGTTTCGGATATCTCTCGTTGAGCGGTATATTTGCTATTCGTTTGAAAAATGAACATCATCATGAACTTCTATTAAAAATCTTTTCATGGCTTGGATATTCAAATTCCGCATTGAATGTTCTTGTTTACGTCTCGACAGCGAGGGAATTACAAATGGCATTTTCGAAATTATTTCTAAGAAGACGATCGTAGGATATTAGTTCTGGAAATTTTGTTCAATAGAAAATTGTCCGTTAATAACGAATAATCAACGCTATTGTTTGCACATGTGCGATTCTTGATGATCGACAAAATATGAATTTATTTCAATATTCCATCAGAGTTTGTCGTAGATCTTGGTTTAAGGAACAGTAGGGTACGCGTGGTTTTGTAAGGTAAGATATTCCTACAAGAACCAATTGAGAAGTGTGGAAAACAATACGGCGTACGACAGTCAAGTCTCGCTGCATTCGTGTTTACTGGACATTATTGAGTTTTGATGAAACTTCACGTACATGGCGTATTAATGACCGATAGATAATACTCAACGTAATATTGGTTAATAAGAATACGATTACACCGAGATATACTATTAAGTCAACACGTGTTAATGTGACGAAACAAAAGTAAAATCAAATATCCATTGAAAAACAACTAAACTAATCTTTCGACGTCGAACTTTACAACATCTTTCAATAACTAATAGAATAAATGAATGATGAAGATATGCGCGCACTGGACATAACCAATCAATCTCAGGTTCTGCATAGTGATCCCATATGAACATATAAATAGAGACTGCAATATGATTACTAGAACAAAATTAATGTTACAAGCTAGGAGCGTGAGAAAATTGAAGCATCGATGTCGATTAAGTTGAGCTAATGTCAGAAAAGCGAAGGCAACGATCCATTCTATAAAAAAAAACTATCGAATATATATATTCTATGGATAATTCAAGGGAAGCCCATGTTTTCTCGGTCATAGTATAAAAAGTAAGAATAAGGATGTTTGAAGGATGAAAAAGAAAACTTCATAAGATAAATTCAAAGAGATGCTTTATACGCACGTCAATGGCAATCTTTTCAGATCAATTATACTTGGTTAAACTAATGAAAGTGTATATTCCGAGTTTAGAGACGAATGAGCATAACAGTCAAGGAAACATTCTGACACGTTCTCATCGCACTTATTTAATAATTACATGAGCAATACATGATTTATGCCATCGATATTTAGATGGTAGTACAGAATACAGACATCTTATAAGGATGCAAGTACGGTTGAGGTCGGAGATAAAATTGGATTAATTATCGTTGGAATGTATCAAATATATTTATTATTTAATTTGATTATATACTGACGAAATGTTGACTTGATTGAACGTTACAATTATCGCTATGATCTACGCCCTTACCGCAACACACAAATAGTATAAAATATGAAAAAAAATCGTAGTTTACCATAGGCGAATGAAACAAACACATAAACAAACGCACTCCTTTCATAAAGATATCATCATTTTACTTTGTCCTTAAGAGGCTATCTAACTGAAGATAGGACCGTTTTTAATATGACAAGCGAACTTTATGGTAAAAAATTATAACTGAAGGAAAGTAAATATAATATTTTCAAATACTTATCAAAGAAAGGGAGCATAGTCGTCCACGTGTAATAGAAAGGTGAGTTTATTGTTGCATGATAGTCATCAATGGCTCGCGAAATCAACAAGCCCGATGTAGTCGCTGAACTAGAAGCAGCGTTTACCACATATGAACAAGCTCTAATTGATAACGACGTGAAAATAATGAATTTACTCTTCTGGAGCGCACATGAAACAGTTCGCTATGGTATTGCCGACATTCAATATGGTGGAGAAGCAATCTATGAGTGGCGTGCTCATGCACCACCGGTGTCGATTTATCGACAACTTCATCGTACGGTCATCACGACATTTGGTACTGACTTCGGGACGGTCAGCACTGAGTTTAGTAATGATGTCGAAAAGTCAGTATGCGGTCGTCAAATGCAAACATGGGTTAGAGTAGGATCGCAGACAGATGTAGCCAATGGCTGGAAAATTGTCGCTGCTCATGTCAGTTTGACCTAATCAACTTGAGAGGATAGATATAGATTCGACTGATATCTTTACTGAATGTTTTTTTTCTTATTATATTCTTTAATAAATATTGAAATTTAGTATAGAGAAAATACTATTAAAATTTTTTTTATCTCTTTCTCTTCCAGTTTCTACTGTTATCGGCAAAGCGTTGAAATGAATTACAATGACAATGTAACCGTCGCTGCTGAGCCATATGAATTCGAATTCAATTTAAGTCAATGTGCACTGTTGATCATCGACATGCAACGTGATTTTCTAGAACCAGGTGGTTTTGGCGAAATACTTGGCAATGACGTGAACCAACTTCGTCGAACGGTTAGTTCAAATCAAAAGTTGCTAAAGCAATGGCGTGAAGCTGGTTTGAAAGTTATATATACTCGTGAAGGTCACCGTCCAGATTTATCTGACCTGCCATTAAGCAAGAAAATCCGTGGACGACACACAGTGTGTGTTGGTGATCTTGGGCCAATGGGGCGTATTTTAGTACGAGGTGAGCCTGGACACGATATTATTCCAGAACTCTATCCGTTGCCTGGCGAAGCAATCATTGATAAATGTGGAAAAAGTGCCTTTTACGCTACAGATCTTGATGCTATCCTTAGGAATTACAATATAAAACAGTTAATCGTTACCGGTGTTACTACTGAAGTCTGTGTTAGCAGCACTGTACGTGACGCTAATGATCGAGGTTATGAATGTCTCGTCCTTGAAGATTGTGTTGGATCATATTTCCCCAGTTTTCAGGTAGCAGCTCTCGACATGATCAAAGCTCAAGGCGGTATATTTGGTTGGGTAGCACACTCTGATAAAGTGATCAATGTTTTGAAATTAGATTGTGAGAATTAATAAATCGTCGCGTTGAAATGAAAAGATTATGCTTTTATTTTATTCTAAATAAACTACATTCTTGCTTCACTAGTCGTTACAATCAGCAGAGCCGTCAAGAAATGATGTGCAATTCCACAGATTTATTTAAATTACACACATACAAAATTCTCATCCCTTTTCTCTTCATCTACCGTTGCCGTTGTTGTAATTTCGAAGTTGTACGTAATTTTCTGACCAAGACGTGTTTCCAGGTGAATCTTGTAGACATCACCTTGTCCTAACATTTCACCAGGAGCAGGCATAGCAGCTAAAGCTTCCACCACTTCCGCGCTATTGAACGTTAACACAGTCACAGGATCACCAAGGCTAGCTGGAAAGTCGTGCCATGTACCCAAATTAAGAATTACACCACAACCTTAACGTAAAATGGCAAAGTGTTCGTAAAAATATAGACGAGGGCACCTTACCCGGCGGTATAATAAACGCTTTAACGTTACTCAAATCTGGAAGGGCTCGCTGTTCTTCATTCAGATCTATTCGCTGATGCGTCGGCTTGCCCAAAACCATGAGAAACGATTCTTTAGCACCAAGACCAATAAATAACTGCGTCAAATGCATATGTCTCTCTAACCAAAGCGTTTCTTTGTGTGGTTTTACATGAATCTCTGCTGAACGGCACGTTACTGGAGGACGACATTGGAAGTCGAAATTTTTTCCTTCAACAATATTACTATAGAATGGAATTGTTAGACCTTCACGTTTCTTCGCCGATATGGTATCAATAATTGTTCCATAACCATCTTCGATTTCTTTGTATGAACATGTAGGAATTTCAAATACGGCATTGGAGCCTAAAAACTTTCACATTTTATTTCATATTTATTACTTATTACTTATTAAATGAAATTCCTCGTAGATATTTTCAGATACTTTCAGTAGTCTACAATGAGCAGATGAATAACATACTCATGATGTTTTTCTGTTGAGGATGCAGCAGCACAATTTACGTATCAAGTATAATCGTTGTGTTCCATATACAAAAATCATTTATATACGCCTTTTCAGAATATTTATCTAAGCAACTGTGTTCTGCTGGGTCACATGACCTCGCTGATACGCGAACGTTTCTCTAGCGTTGAATATATAAGACTAAATAAAGATATTATATCCTCTGAATGTGTTTTGTGAATTGTGAACTAGATATGATAAAAACTCTAATCCACCTGTTTCGCTGTTTCCTCATGAGATCGAACTTCAGAAGTAGATCTCACATGCTGACATGCTCGTAATTCTTTTTTTTTAATATAACAACACAATGCTATCGGTATGCAAGTCTAAATCGAAACTTGCACCGTATTGCAAATTTTGTAGGTTGTTTCATCTGCATTAACACATGAATAAAAAAGGGTATACTGACATTTTGTCATATCTACCTGTATATTATTAGTAGAAGCAAAATAAATATAACATACAGAATGAAAGAGAATATTCGTTTTACATTTGCCTTTTTCTTCTCGATCCTTTTTTATGTAAATTTCTTTTTTATTGGAAGAAAACTCCATTGTCGTTTTCATACTTTTAGTTGAACTATGTTTAATATTCGAAAAGAGATTTCTCTGGAGCGTTGGCCAAATGACTGCAAAGTAGCTGTTGTTCCAATAATCAATGCGGAAGTCTTCATAAAAGGTCATGGTGGTCCTTGCATTCAGCCACATTTGAGTAATCTTACGCCTGATATAGCCAATAGTGGCTGGCGTAATTACGGCAATCGACAAGGAACAACTCGCCTTCTGAATACATTTTCCAATTTGAAAATACCAGTTAGTATTGCTATGAATTCATATTTAATTGATCAAGAACCGGACGTATTCGAAGAAATCAGAATACACGCAACACACAATGAAAATATCGATATCATAGGTCATGGTCTTACAAATTCTTTATCTGCTGTAAAACACATATCATTCGAAGAACAAGTCAAACAATCCTTAAATCAAATTCAGCAAGCTGCAGGGCATGAGCAAAGGCCACAAGCATGGTTAACGCCTGGATTTGCCGCACCGGAAGATTCAGCAAAAATCTTAGGTAGAGATAAACTCATCCTTGATATCAAAGTCGAGTGATAAAATCACCTTGAATATTTTCAGTTGACAATGGTATTCGTCTGTCTTTGGACGCCACAGATGACGATATCATATATGAGCTAAAATCATCAACTGGCGGTGACAAAGGATTATTCATTCTACCGTATTCAATGGAGACAAACGATATATCGTTATGCATGTGTCAAGGTTATACCGGTGAACAATATGCTCAAACATTAACGGATTATATTTATGAATTAGCATCGGAAGAAACAACAAAAGCAAAAGTTGTTTGTTTAGGACTGCATACGTTTATTGTTGGTACACCGGCAAAAGCGTTTCATTTCAAACAAGCACTACAGACAATTCAACAAATACCCAATGTTTGTTTTTTAAACTGTAGTCAGATATTGAAATTACTTTGAAATAAAAAGATTCGAAACATATGATGTTATGGACGAGAGCACTGCTGGAAATAAGAAACTAAAATGACCTAATTTTTTTATAACATTTGTGTGCAAACGAGTTTTACCTGGAGAAAGGCAATCTCTGCGGGGATTCATACATGTCAAGAAATAAATTATAAACTTTGTTGGTAATTTTCATAGAGAAGCCTTTTCACGTAGTCTTACTTTAATTTTATTGACAAAAAAAACTGTTTAAAGGTAAATACATATTTTACAAAATACACTTCTTTCTTGATAGATATCGATAGCTGTACAAACCAAAATGGTATATATTTGTGTTAGGAGTGAAAACATCACGATCAAGTCGCTTTTTCGTATTAGACAAACTCAACTGATGCAAATCCATGGCGCAAATGGATTGGTATTATTTGGTTACTAGTTGAAGTAAATCTTATCAGCGCGAATATATTTGGCTTCTCGGCACTTTTCAAAGTTTTGCCTAAGTATGGTATTTATGGTAAATATTGTGAGTTATCCACGGTCTTGAATTCCACAAATGAGGATTGCACTGGCCAGGCGCAGCAATACCAAGTAAAACTAATTGGATTCTCTTGTTTCTTTTTAGAATGAATTTTTCTCTCAGAATGCATTGACTTTAGGTATAATATTCTTTAATTTACCATCAATGTTCGTTGGGATTTTGATTGACAAATTCGGCGGTCGTTTCGTCAAACTAATCGCCATGTAATTCATCTTTTCGTTGACATTTTCCTATACGTTTTTCTTCAGAATCTTCCATGTTGTGGGATGGTTAGCATTAGCTCTTGTCAAACCTGATAAGTTCATGACCAAAATTTCTTTTTGAATATTTTGTGTTTCTTTGTTTTACATCGAGATTCGTTGCTATTTGTTCACACCCTGTTCACAGCATTGTCTGGAATCACAGTACAGATAACAAGCTATGCAGCATGTATTTACTTTTCGAAGGGACGAGCGGTTTTACTAACTCTCGTAGTTGGATCGAGTTTATCGGCATCAATTTGGTATTCGATTTTCCAAGTAAATTGCATTGACTTATATCGAATTCTATTTGGATCGAATCTACCAAGGTTTTGATTGATAATGGTAAAATAACGTTATCTCAATTATCATATGTCTGGATGTCATTCGGAGTTCTCATGTTCATCTCGTCGTTTTTATTTCTTGACTGGAAATTTCCAATATTAAACCTTGGATACACCATGGATACAGAATTAGAACAAATTCAAACCATATCAACCATCAGTAAGTCAAAGTTGTTGCTTTGGCCCGTAAAGACATTGTTTTGAAAATGTATTAGATGCAAATAATAAAAGCAAATGGTATACAAACATCTATCAACGCGTTGGATTTTGGAAATATCTACTGAATTCGTTGTATATTTTGGTCGTTCTTTACTTAAGTATTCTATTGATGCCAAATATCCTTCTGTCAGTCACGTGGTATCCATGGATTTACTACATTAGTCAGAATAATAAAACAATCAGTAAATATTTATTTTTTTGGATAATTTCATCACCTTTGATAACTACTATGGATATATAATTCAATAAAATCAATTCTAGGTGATCAGTATACATTTGCATTCAATATGGCGTCATTATCTCAAATAATTCTTTGTCCAATGGTTGGCCTTTGTCTCGCATTTCGAGCAGAACAAAGTATACAGTGAAATTTAGAAATAAATTTCAAAAGTGTCTACCTTTAGATCCAAAACAAAAACTATTGAATGTTGCGATTATGCAAACATTAGCATGGGTTTTGAATATACTATTATGTATCATTTGTATGTTCGTCAATTCGACAGTTATTGTTCCTGCATTGGTGTTTAACTATATGGCCCGTTCCGTTATTGTAGCTGGATCACAAGCTGTCATTTCTACATTGTAAGCTTTTTGTAGAATGAATTCTAATCCTTTGAAGCGCGTCCTAAAATTTTGGCTTTTTCCTTAGTTTTCCGTCGGAATACATTGGTAGATTGACTGGCATTATGTGGACATTAGCAGGAGCGATAACTTGTATTCAGTATGGACTTGTTCATTTAACAGCAGATATACTTCGATCATGGAGAGTGAGTTTTGTTCTTCAATGCACATTCATGCACTCTGCAGTTGATTTCTTGTAGGCATGGGCTATCGTTTTGGCACTAATTGTATGCATGTCTTGTCATTTAATTCAAATTTGATATATTGCATTGAAAAAGTCTCGAATGCGCGCTTCCAATGCCGATCAAGTTCAGTCCACAGTTATGTCTTTGCCTGACTAGGAATAATTGATATAAAACTTTTATATAGTATTATTGTATGCGTAGATAGTTGATATCGATAAGTTAAAACTTTTTATTATAAAGCTTATTCGACCTACCAGTTGTTACGTACATAGAACTTATCAAGTAAAATTGCACGCAAAACAACAATGATGCAAGATAGTTTCTTATAATCATCACTTAGGCATGTCGAGGAATAGAAATACTGTTACTCACCATATCATCATTTATTTTTTCAAGTAAATAAAGAACAATAATAAATGACGAATTTCATTGTGTTTTTATACTGCGCATGCTCTTTTTTATGTATATATATATAAATACAGGTAGCTCATTATCATGATTTATCCATCATGAATGGAGGATAAGATGATATCTGCTTGGCTAAGGCATTCTTGAAATTCTCAATGACGAAGACAACGTCACCATTATTCGCATCCTCCATCCTCAAGGAACTACAGTTATGACGCTCCTTATGAAGAAAGTAGAAAATGCATCTAGCATTACTGTCATCTGACAAACTTCATTCATCCGTTTTGTGCAAACGTGTCAAGGTAAAAATATGAATATGCTGATAAGATTCTAAATGAAATACAATTAACTCGTTTACCATATATTTAACAAATATCAATCTATACATTTACCGATTCCGAAATATAAAAGTTGTCACGTGATTTTCAGCGTAAAGCTGGAACTTTCATTTCGTTCCCATTTAAAACGATGTTGTATTAAATCAATCCACACGATTCATCGCAAGTCAAACTCTTCTGTACGACTAGCTTCAATATTTACATTAACCATGTTCATAAATAACATCACCTTAGAATCTTTCGTATCCTTGATTAGATACTAATTATAAATAGTATTATATTCTCGATTAAAACAACCATCTTTGGTACAGTTAATAAATGAATTCATTACTAAACTCGGTCAGCCATTTACATACCAACTTTCGAAGGAAGAGTCAAATCGTGGTGAACTTTTCATGCATATATACTGACCGAGTCTGAAGTTGAGCGTGATTGGACGAACGATTCGCCCGTTATTATAAAAATACTGATGTTTTCTCTGTGTTTAGTCATACACTTTGCGTATCACGCATATCTTTCAGACAAAACCCCGAGCCTCTTCAATTGTTCCAGATAACTATTCAACGAATCAACTAGTATAGAAAGCAATGAACGTGATAAAGTTGATATAACTAGAATAATGACAACAAGGATATGATCATTTGAGATCAGCGTGGATATTCTGCCCGAGTTCGTTTCCCTTCATCGAAAGGTTCGACAACATTTAGACAGAATCAAGTTTGTTTTCCTCGCCTTACGAAAATGACTTCTGTCAATCTTACTTATAGAAATGGCAACATCACAATCCATCTATTGGGCGTACCGAATGTCAGTGTCAAACGTCTTTCTAAGTAATGATTCACTATCTCGGCTATTCTTTTTGGAAAGGATATTTTATCTTATTCACATACGAGTATTATATAATCATCTAAGAAACTATCTTTGTAATTAAATTATCATTATGAAACATTGCAAATCAATGTGATGAAATGAACACATATGATTATCTCTATAAAATGTTTTTGATCCCTATTTACAATCATTTAGTAACTTAATAACTCAACATAGAGACAAATGTAATCATCACCAATCTGAAATACTTTGTTGATCTTCGAGCAAAACGAAATGCATTTTAATTGTAATAACTATCAAGCATCTCAGTATGTATTTGATAAAAAATTAGTCTTTTCATCACTAAAATGGGTTTTAGATTCGAAAAAACGGAGTGGTTCAGTTGGAGATTCATGTCATTTTTATTCCACAACTATTAGTTTACCGCTTGATGATATTTTAAGTGATGAATTTTCGATAAGTTATTCTGTTCTTTGTGGTAGATGTGTCATGGTTGAACCGATTTGAAAACTTTTGTTCTATTGCGATAGTTATGGTTCAATGCTTGTGTTGCTATATTGAACGAGCAGTACAAGTTCGCAAAGGTGTTCACTTTAACAAAAACGAAACAAGAGCAAAAGCTTAGCTCGGTAGAATATTATGACAAGTCTTCTCCACGAGCCTCTGCATCGAAAAATGTTTGGATATCAAAATGAAACGAACAGAGTTTATGCGAAAAATACTAAAAGTATTGCGATAGATCTGATCGACGCAGAAAGGAAAAAAACGCCGACTAACACGGTATATAGAAGTACAACAAACCAACATGTTTGGTGTGTTATCATTATCCTTCTTCGTCTACTCAGGCTTATGATACAATTGTTTTGTATTTTTATCTATTCATTCTGCTCATCGCTAGTTTATTTTCAGCTTTGTTTATTATTTTTGGATTTGCTCGATAGCGAGCAGTAGCACAAGAAAATCAAAATTATGTAGAACGTATTCGTTAACAATTTAAGGAACATAAATAAATAATTCTCAGTCCTATCGCGTTATTCATCTTGTCAACGCCTTGTTTGATCATTTACGCATTGCCCGCATGCATCAGAATATCGAAAAAGGTATAATTATATCAGACTTCTTATTTCTTTTCGTTTACACCATCAATTCATTGTCACTCCACACTGATTCGATCGACCAAGACACCATGAAAAGGAGGGTGATAATGTGTGCTAGATAGTTTGCCTCAATCGTTCATATACCATTACAAAATCCATAATGACTTTCGCATGTGTTACTACTTTAATTAGTATAACTGATATCAATCATCTTGGTAGATCGCTTCTGTTTCACATTACACTCGTTTGCGCCAATCTGTAATAAGTTCTTTCTCTACTGAAGATTTTTCGTAATTTCTGCCAACTAAAAAGGAGAACAACTAATTGCATCGAGATTTTTAATTTCATACGTAGACGAAATAATTGTGTATCAGATCTATATTTATCACTCAGTGATTAGTGAGAATTTTAGTTGTACAAGCATTCTTTCACTGGAACCATTCGCGTTGGTCATAACATTTATTTTCATCACTACTACTTGCCAGCAGAAATGCAGTTGTTGTTTAATCGATTATGTCAGTGCATTGAAATAGAGCAATCATCAAACATGCCAAGGCAGTACCGATAAATACATATGCAATACGGAAATGATATTGTGGTGCACGAGTGAAAAATGACACAAATATGAATAATGCATAAGGAAAATCTATAATGAATATTATTAAAACTGAAAGCTTGAGTGGTACTTGACATTTCTGATTGTCAGCGTTGCATACAATCTGACCAGTGAATATGAAGACCAATGGAAACAACAGCGCATATGCCCATGTGATGCCAACGTGTTGGATAAACTACTATGACATATCGATAGAATGCTTGTAGTAAAAATAAATAGTTGAGTACTGCACAAGTCACGTATGTCATGTAACCGGCAAATGTGCAAGGAAAATAATGCAGATCCACTAATGAGAAGTAGATTGCTTGCACTAAGACAACTTGTGCTAGACATGAGTTGACAATGAGAATCATGGGAATTGTATGATATGTTCGATCAAGTAGAATGGTGACTAAGAAGATAAGATTTAGTAGAATATCAACTATGGAACAAACGATCATAAAAATATCCAATGGAATAAACCAAGGTTCGGCAATGAGTGAAGGTGAATTGTTCGAGTAGAACATGATTTGATGGTAGCTGCTTTCTTCTTTGTAGAATTTCCTGATGAATGTCGTTTAGTAGTCTACCATAGTAATCTAGGACTATATCAATTAGATCTAGGATTAGACACTTCGCCTCCAATGACAAGTTCTTGTGCAGAAGTTAATGAAGTACGTAGAAGTATATTGATATTTGGCGCTGTTCAAGCATAGGTTTCACCATAAGTCAATGCTCATAGTATTTGCTGAAATCTTTATGTTCATATTTTTGTTTGTGTTGTAGGTCTCAAACCATTCAATAACATTTACAAGAACATGCGATGCACAACAAACTGACTTAGAGATCAAGCGAACAAGATGTAGTTATAACTGCCTGCATTGAAACCTTCCAGTTTCGATAACTATCGAGATTTTAATGAATTTATTATCATCAAAAGTAGCTTCCACTATGTTACGGCCATATCGTGCAATTTTAATATCGCTTCCATGAATATTCGAAGCAAAAGAAGGTGTAGACTACGTTAGTATAAGAAAAACTAAATGTTAGCAAATAAAATACAAGAGAAAAATAAAAAATTTTCATTTAACCAAACATATCTTGTTTGACTCTGCCATCTTCTTTGTACTGTTTGATAATATTATTCGCCTGGGTTAATGTTAAATCATACTCATTGCATGATTGTACAATCGATGCCAAAGCTGATTCGATACCTTGACATGAACGAACCGATCCACACATGTAGATGAAAGCATTTTCTTGATTTAATAATGAATAAATCATATCTTCATAGGTTAACATTGCATCTTGAATGTATCGCTTAACACCCATTTTCTCTCGTGAATAAACAGGAATGACAGCTGTGAAAAGTTTGTCATGTCTACTAGTTTTACTGGTTAGCTCTCGAAGTTCCATCGCATATATGAAGTCATTCGGTGTACGACAACCCATAAATAGGACACGTTCTACTTGTACACTTCCTAGTTGACGTTCAAGAACTTGCAATTCTTGCCAAAATGCTCGAAATGGTGCAATGCCAGAGCCCACCGCAAACATCAACAGTGGACAATTCAGTGGGAGATATGCATCGCCTCCAGCGTTCTTTGTTAATGGCAAACTCGATGACAAAATGTCTTGGCCAGGTAATCGAAAATGTGGATTGGGTGAAATAAATAATCTCACCCGACTTGGTTCACGTTTCCATAAAGTTACAATGGGTTGTCCATTTTCTGACAGTTTTGGCAATGTTTGTTGTAAATAATTTGTACAAACACCTTTTCGAACAACCCCACGTGGTGTCATATAGGAGACAACACTGAAACTAATATGGATTTGATTTGGATGAAAACGACTTGATGACGAGACCGAATAATATCGTGGTTGAAGTTGTGGCAGCAACTAAAACAGATGAAAGTTGTAATTCGACTTTGAATGACAGGATACTTTGACTTACTTGAATGAGTTCTCCAAGATTCATTTGCACTGATGGAAACTGTTCCAAGGTTTCTTTCACAGTGGGTTCATTGATCAGCCAATCTGTGTATCGTTGAGCGCCTTTTCCCAGTTCTAAAATTTCTCGTTGTTGGCGTGGATCTGTTGCATAAGTTGCAAGAATGTTTAAAACATGTGGTCGTAATGGTGTAGTTAAATCAACATAATTAGTTAAGATTTGGCGAAGCGTCTGGTACTTATTCTGAGTATAACCTGCCAAGGAGCATGGTTTATTCAACAATTCATTTCCTGTTTGCCATCCACATGCAAGAATTACACCATTGACATTGGCAACTGTATTTTCTGGTAGAATACAAACATGATCACCAGGAAGATGAGATAGATCCGGAGCATCAAATACGATCAAACGCACCGAATGATGTTCATCATCACTCGTACTAGAGAATGCAGAAGGGATAGAAATTCTCTTTCGTTGTCGAGGGCTTTCATTTCCTAGCACCGGTTGTGGTTGTTCTTGTTGAGCTGAAGATCCATCAAAATTGTTGTGTGCACCAGTGAGTTCAATGTTTTGTAAAACTGTTGCATAAAATGGATTTTCTTTCGTGAAAGGTCCTGTTTGTTGTGATGGAATTTTTATTTCAGCATTTGAATCAAAAGTCAATGGAATAAAAGTTGGTCGAACTGATACATTCAGACTGACTTGTCGATCAGTATATTCATTTGAATTGACGAGAGAAACAGGACGTTGGACTGGGGTAGGTTTCACTGCTGTTCGACGCAAACGAACATGCGGATAAGCCTTCTTCAATGTTTCAATTGTGTTTTCTTCCCATTCATTGTAGCTTTTGTACTGTTGATTCAATGCATCACATGTCGCCATGGGAGCTAAGCGTTGTGCACCCAATAATTGAAATGTTCNTCTTTGAAATATAAAAGTTGCCATGCGATTTTCAAAGTAAAGCTAGCATTTTCCTTCCGTATTAGTCCATATTCTCACGCTTGCGAGGAGAGCAAACAGGTTTCATTAGTTAGGTAAATCTTTCATTTCATTCCCATTTAAAACAATGTTGTACTAAATCAATCCACACGATTCATCGCAAGTCAAACGCTTCTGTACGATTAGCTTCAATATTTTTACATTAACTATGTTCACAAATAACATCATCTTAGAATCTTTCATACCTTTGATCAGATACTATAAATGGTATTATATTCTCGATTAAAATAACTATCTTTGGTACAGTTATTAAATGAATTCACTACTACGTAAACTCGGTCAGCCATATTTACATACTAACTTTCGAAGGAAGAGTCAGATCGTGTGGTGAACTTTTTATGCATATACTGGCCGAGTTTGAAGTTGAGCGTGATTGGACAGACGATTCGCCTGTTCTTATAAAAACTACTGAACGAATCAACTAGTATAGAAAGCAATGAACGTGATAAGGTCGATATAACTAGAATAATGACAGCAAGGATATGATCATTTGAGATCAGCGTGAATATTCTGTCATCGTTTTGCTTCTCCTATTTTGACTATTTTTTATTTTCTTTTTACTCATAGAACTGGCAACATCACAGTGCATCTATTGGGCGTACTGAATGTCATTGTCAAACGTCTTTCTAAGTAATGATTCACTATGTCGACTATTCCTTTTGGAAAGGATATTTTATCTTATTCACATTCGAATGTTATGTAATCGTCTAAGAAACTGTCTTTGTAATTAAATTATTATTACGAAACATTGCAAACCAATGCGATGAAATGAACACATATGATTATCTCTATAAAGCGTTTTTGATCTCTATTTATAATCATTTAGTAACTTAATAGCTCAACACAGAGGCAAATGTAATATTAGTCTTTTCATCACAAAAATGGATTCTAGATTCGGAAAAAACGAAGTGGTTCAGTTGGAGATTCATGTCATTTTTGTTCCACAACTATCAGTTACGTGTTGAATTTTTGATAAGTTATTCCATTCTTTGTGGTAGATGTGTTATGGTTGAACCGATTTGGAAACTTTTGTTCTATTGCGATAGTTATGGTTCGATGCTTGTGTTGCTATATTGAACGAGCAGTACAAGTTCGCAAAGGTGTTCCCTATAACAAAAACAAAACAAGAGCAAAAGCTTTGCTCGGTAGAATATTATCATTTTACCATTGTGTATTATGACAAGTCTTCTCCGCGAGCCTTTGCATTGAAAAATGTCTGAATATCAAAATGAAACGAACAGAGTTTATGCCAAAAATACTGAAAGTATTGCGATAGACCTGATCGACACAGAATAGAGAGAAAAACGCCGATTAACACGATATATAGAAGTACAACAAATCAACATGTTTGGTGTGTTATCATTATCAGTCTCCATCTATTCAGACTTACAATACAATCGTTTTATATTTTCATCTATTCATTCCGTTCATCGATAATTTATTGTCAACACCTCGTTTGATTATTTACGCATTACTCGGATGCATCAGAATATCGAAAAACGTATGATTATATCAGACTTCTTATTTCTTTTCATTTACATCATCAGTTCATTGTCGCTCCACACTGATTCGATCGACCAATACATCATGAAAAGGAGGGTGAGAATGTGTGCTGGATAGTTTGCCTTATAACCGCTCATATGCCATTTACAAAATCCATAATGACTTTCGTATGTGTTACTACTTTAAATTGGTATAACAGATATCAATCATCGTTTGGTAGATCGCTTCTGTTTCACATTACACTCGTTTGCGCCAATCTATAATAAATTCTTTCTCTACTGAAGATTTCTCGTAATTTCTGCCAACTAAAAATGAGAAGAACAATTAATTGCATCGAGATTTTTAATTTCATACGTAGACGAAATAATTGTATATCAGATCTATATTTATCACTCAATAATTATTGAGAATTTTAATTGCGCAAACATTCTTTCACTGGAACCATTCGCGTTCGTCATAACATTTATCGTCATCACTACTACTTGTCAGCAGAAATGCAGTAGTTACATATGCAATCCGGAAATGATATTGTGGTGCACGAGTAAAAAATGACATAAATATGAACAATGCATAAGGGAAATCTATAATAAATACTATTGAAGCTGAAAGCTTGAATGGTACTTGACATCTCTGATTGTTGGCGTTGTATACAATCTGACCATAGTGGAAACAACAGTGCATATGCCCATGTGATGCCAATAAAGAGTAGTTGATTTCGTTTTCTTTGTCAGAGCAGACTTGTTGGATAAACTGCTATGACATATCGATAGAATGCTTGTAGTAAAAATGAATAGTTGAGTACTACACAAGTCACCTATGTCATGTAAACGGCAAATGTGCAAGGAAAATAATGCAGATCCGCTAATGAGAAGTAGATTGTTTGTGCTAAGACAACTTGTGCTAGACATGAGTTGGCAGTGAGAATCGTAGGAATTGTATGACATGTTCGATCAAGTATAATGGCGAATAAGAAGATAAGATTTAGTAGAATATCAAATATGCAACCAATGATCATAAAAGTATCCAATGGGATAAACCAAGGTTCGGCAATGAGTGAAGCTGAATTATTCGAGTATAGGACATAATTTGATGGTAGTTGCTTTCTTCTTTGTAGAATTTCCTGCTGAATGTCGTTTAGTAGTCTACCATAGTAATCTAGGATTAGACATTTCACCTCCAATGACAAGTTCTTATGCAGAAGTTAATGAAGTAGAAGTATATTGATATTTGGCGCTGTTCAAGCATAGGTTTCACTATAAGTCAATGCTCATCGTGTTTGCTGAAATCTTTATGTTCATATTTGTTTGTGTTGTAGATCTCAAATGATTCAATAGCATTAACAAGAACATGTGACGCACAACAAACTGACTTAGAGATCAAACGAATAAGATGTAGTTATAACTGCCTGCATTGAAATCTTTCAGTTTCGATAATTATCGAGATTTTAATGAATTTATTATCATCAAAAGTAGCTTCCATGAATAGTCGTAGCAAAGAAAGGTGTAGAGTACGTTAGTATAAACAAAAACTAAATGTTAGCAAATAAAATACAAGAGAAAAATCAAAAATTCTTATTTAACCAAACATATCTTGTTTGATTCTGCCATCTTCTTTGTACTGTTTGATAATATTATTCGCCTGGGTCAATGTTAAATCATACTCATTGCATGATTGTACAATCGATGCCAAAGCTGATTCAATACCTTGACATGAACGAACCGATCCACACATGTAGATGAATGCATTTTCTTGATTTAATAATGAATAAATCATATCTTCATAAGTTAACATTGCATCTTGAATGTATCGTTTAACACCCATTTTTTCTCGTGAATAAACAGGAATGACAGCTGTGAAAAGTTTGTCATGTCTACTAGTTTTGCTGGTTAGCTCTCGAAGTTCCATCGCATATACGAAGTCATTCGGTGTACGACAACCCATAAATAGGACACGTTCTACTTGTACACTTCCTAGTCGACGTTCAAGAACTTGTAATTCTTGCCAAAATGCTCGAAATGGTGCAATGCCTGAGCCCACCGCAAACATCAACAGTGGACAATTCAGTGGGAGGTATGCATCGCCTCCAGCGTTCTTTGTTAATGGCAAACTCGATGACAAAATGTCTTGGCCAGGTAATCGAAAATGTGGATTGGGTGAAATAAATAATCTCACTCGACTTGGTTCACGTTTCCATAAAGTTACAATGGGTTGTCCATTTTCTGACAGTTTTGGCAATGTTTGTTGTAAATAGTTTGTACAAACACCTTTTCGAACAACCCCACGTGGTGTCACATAGGAGACAACACTGAAACTAATATGGATTTGATTTGGATGAAAACGACTTGATGACGAGATCGAATAATATCGTGGTTGAAGTTGTGGCAGCAACTAAAACAGATGAAAGTTGTAATTCGACTTTTGAATGGCAGGATACTCTGACTTACTTGAATGAGTTCTCCAAGATCCATTTGCACTGATGGAAACTGTTCCAAAGTTTCTTTCACGGTGGGTTCATTGATCAGCCAATCTGTGTACCGTTGAGCACCTTTTCCCAGTTCTAAAATTTCTCGTTGTTGGCGTGAATCTGTTGCATAAGTCGCAAGAATGTTCAAAACATGTGGTCGTAATGGTGTAGTTAAATCAACATAATTCGTTAAGATTTGACGAAGCGTCTGATACTTATTCTGAGTATAACCTGCCAAGGAGCATGGTTTATTCAACAATTCATTTCCTGTTTGCCATCCACATGCAATAATCACGCCATTGACATTGGCAACTGTATTTTCTGGTAGAATACAAACATGATCACCAGGCAGATGAGATAGATCCGGAGCATCAAATACGATCAAACGCACCGAATGATGTTCATCATCATTCGTACCAGCGAATGCAGAAGGGATAGGAATTCTTTTTCGTTGTCGGGGACTTTCATTTCCTAGCACCGGTTGTGGTTGTTCTTGTTGAGTTGAAGATCCATCAAAATTGTTGTGTGCACCAGTGAGTTCGATGTTTTGTAAAACTGTTGCATAAAATGGATTTTCTTTCGTGAAAGGTCCTGTTTGTTGTGATAGAATTTTCATTTCGGCATTTGAATCAAAAGTCAATGGAATAAAAGTTGGTCGAACCGATACATTAAGACTGACTTGTCGATCAGTATATTCATTTGAATTGACGAGAGAAACAGGACGTTGGATTGGAGTAGATTGTCCAGCTGTTCGACGCAAACGAACATGTGGATAGGCCTTCTTCAATGTTTCAATTGTGTTTTCTTCCCATTCATTGTAGCTTTTGTACTGTTGATTCAATGCATCACATGTCGCCATGGGAGCTAAGCGTTGTGCACCCAATAATTGAAATGTTCNGACTTGTCGATCAGTATATTCATTTGAATTGACGAGAGAAACAGGACGTTGGACTGGGGTAGGTTTCACTGCTGTTCGACGCAAACGAACATGCGGATAAGCCTTCTTCAATGTTTCAATTGTGTTTTCTTCCCATTCATTGTAGCTTTTGTACTGTTGATTCAATGCATCACATGTCGCCATGGGAGCTAAGCGTTGTGCACCCAATAATTGAAATGTTCGATCAACTAATTTGCCAAAACCACAAAAGAATGGATAAGCTGATGATCCAATTGCACACACTGCATACGAGCACCAATGTAACGAAACTTCGTCTCGTGCGTTGATTTGTTGAAAACTAGCAGAAAGATTCGGGCGTAATCGAGTGCGGTTATCATTTGTGTTCTTATCAGATTGAGTTTGAAGCCATTGTTCAAGCTTTTGTCCACCTTCGGGTGCATTTCCTTGTCCAAATGTGGATGTGATGATGAAAACAATTGATCGAGCTGATGATGTTGGTGTTGATGGTGGTGGTGGTTGTTGAAATGGAAATGAGTCGAGCTCAGAGAGTTTAGCATTGTATCCAGTGATTAACAATCGTTTTGTCATTTGCTCAGCATAAGATTGTGCTGTTCCACTAGCTGATGCATAAAGAACATGTATTGAAATTCTTTGTTTCATTGCTGTCAACGCAAAACCAATGATAGCGCAAGCAGATCGAATGAGCAACCATCGATGACGAACTCGTTTTGTTGATGACATTAGCAGAGTTTGTTCTTGTCGAATAAATGGTTGATAATTTTTCCAAGGATCATGTTGGTCTAAGATACGCGGTTTAACAATATAATTGAGCATTTCTTGATGAAATAAACTGCTCATTCCACCGCTAATTGGAGGGACAAGCCAAACCCAATCACCTGGTGTATTTCCTCGTTGTGCCACTTCTTGTTTGAAAAATTTCATAAAACCTGCAGCAGCTGTGTGATGATCAACAATACTAATTTTGGCCTTTTCAAAAGAGTAAAGAGCAGCAGCATTGATTTCCACATAGATTCGATCGATGTTTAACTGACTGTTTGCAGCGCTTGTCACATCAAGGTTCAACAGTTTAGCAAGTTTTGGAATGAAATTATATCGTTGAACATCGCAGAGATCTCTGCCAATTTCAGTTTCCATAAACCAACCACTGAATGGAACACATCGATATAGAAGACCACCGATTTCAATGGCCTTATCAGCAACATAAGGCTGGGCAACCCACCGAAGACCTAATTGTTTGATTGCTGCATCATATTTAGGATCTCTGTGTGAGAGAAGAACTTCTAATTTCAGATCATCTGGTAATTCATACCAACTCGGAGGCTGACAAGGATCAACTTGAACGATTATTGGTAAGAAATCCCATTGTGTTCGTTCATTCTCTGCTCTATTCCATCCGAGTTTCATTGCTACAGCTGTTAAATCACGATTCATTGGATCACCCAACAACGTTCCATCTTGTTGTTCATAGCATGCATATCGAAAGTATTGGGTTGACCAAAGTCGCGAGTGTGGATTCATGACGAGTGATGATGCTTGTAATGTTCCTCCATTGTATGCAAAACGGATGTGATCACAGATTTCCTTGAACATTTCATCATTTGTTTTCACATGACGACAGTCAATGATGATAAGTGAACGCCAAAATAATCGATTGATGCACCGCCCTGCATTTCTCCATGACAATTGACAGCCATATTCTAGCTCTTCTTTTGTTTGTTTATATGTGCNGTGTGGGTTCATGACGAGTGATGATGCTTGTAATGTTCCTCCATTGTATGCAAAACGGATGTGATCACAGATTTCCTTGAACATTTCATCATTTGTTTTCACATGACGACAGTCAATGATGATAAGTGAACGCCAAAATAATCGATTGATGCACCGTCCTGCATTTCTCCATGACAGTTGACAACCATATTCTAGTTCTTCTTTTGTTTGTTTATATGTGCCAGTTTGTGCAAGTTCCAAATCGATTTGCTGTAATCGTCTTTCATAATCGGCATCAGATGTTTTATTTTCATTGTGAAAGATGGCCATGTAATCATATGCTTCTTTTCGAATGTAATCGGGTGATTTAAGTTCGATTTCATCGATCATCATCTTCGATGCCGATTGCTTTTGTTGATTGTGTGCTGGAAGTGCCATGAATGTTGATGTACAAACATGATGACGACAATCACCATATGTTTTTGAAAACGGTCCAGTGACTTGAGTCGTCTGATTTGTTTGGTAATTTCGCAATTCGACTGAATTGATTTGTGGACTCCAAAGAAGATCAGCGCCATCATCAGATTGTGTCGATGGCGAGGAACAGCCATTCGCAGACATAGGGCTGAAAGGGCATTTGGCAGAGTTTGCTAATATATGTTTATTATCAGTCATTTTATAGATCAAATCTAAAAAGTATAAATTCCGTTTCGAATGATATATGCATATATAGATCAGGGTGATGAGCAGTTGCCAATGTATATGTTATTTCTACATTCATACTCTCGCCTACTTCTCAGTTTCCAATGATATGTCTTCACATATGAATACGTAAAACGATCGAAAAGAAAAGGCAATGTAATGACAATCGAAATTGTCACTCCTTTTATAGCTGACTATTGGTTTTTTCCCTTTCGTGTTATTTCTACCAAGACGAGCAATTCTGAATCATGCAGACGAAGAAAGGAAGTGATATGATGTTTTAAAGTCATTCAACACATTACCTACTTTTGCGGTGGGAGAGGGAGAAAAAAGTTCGTTTGTTTTTGTATTAGTCATCGCATGTTACTTTTCTATCAAGTAAACAAAAATCCGTCTCCAACTGAAATACCCTGCGGGGATCAAGAAACTTGTATATTAAAAATTCCCTAGCCAAAAGGTATACACCATATGCTAATTACCACCATTTAATATTTCATATACGTATATGCATGATAACAGGTGAGAAAATTTCATGAAACGTACTTCCTCATTGGAAATTCGATGCTTAAGATTTCTTTATTTAGAAATTTTAAACGCCTTTTCTAAAAAAAACATTAGGTGGCGTCTTAAAATAGATTTTTTTAAAATTTTCAATGTTGATAATTAGTCGTGCCCCCTGTTTGTACCCATTTGATTTGTTTCGACGTTTTAACTTTCTCTGCTTATTATCGTCACGTGTATAATGTTTTTCTTTCTTTACTCTGTTCTTTCATCTTGAATTTCGCCAGATTTCTGTTGCATTACATCGTCATTAGTCTGACTTACATAGTCATTGAGTAATGTAGAAATCGTGAACTCGATTTGCGTATTAAACCTTCTTCGAGTTTTCGAATTTTTAAGTTGCGAGCTTCCACAACTTCACCCACACCCTAAATGAACATAAACATCTCGTTCTTAGTGCTTTTGCATTGACTCTCTGTGCATTATCTCGTATTACTGTCATTTACATTTCGATGTGTATGAAATCTGATCGTCATCCATTTCTATATCTCATTTCTTATTTCATTCCATTTATTCCCTCGATTTCAATTTTCTTCGTTTTTATTTTACCATCACAAACATATTGTCAACTATTCAAACAATTCTTTAGACAATCCTTAACACATCCCATTTAGCTATGAATGATTTCCATTCCGAAGCTACACCTGACATTTGCACATCTTGTGTTAGATCAGCATTGAATTGATCGATGAGTTCATGATCATCTCCATCCAGTTCTTTTTGTATAACTCGAAAATTAACAATGTTCAATGTGATAGGACGAAGAACATGAATGATATCTGCATGTTTCTCAAGTAATCGAGCAAAGTATTGTGCTTGTTCACAATTGTCTGCGATCTTCTGTCCAAGTTTCTCAATACCATGTTCTTTAAATGTGAACCACACTTTCAATGCACGAAATGAACGAGACAACTCAGGACCTAGGTCACAAAACCACAGATCATCAGGTGCAAAATCTCGGATCGTCTTCATCAAATAAGTCTCATGAATAGCAAATGTCGAATGAAGATGAGAACACGACCTGCATCGCATATGGACAATGTAACCATTTGTGAAGATAGAATGCAAGTGAATGAATCAGCTCGTTCGATTCTCTTGACAAGATGACGAGGTTCGCGATCAAGAATAACTAAACAACTAAATATTTTCAGCACGACAGATGGCAGATAACTCAACCAGATTGTCACATGCAGCTGTATTCACCGTCACTAGATAATACAAAAATAATTAGCAGCACAATCCTCTCTCATTATTCTATTGACCTGCTTTGCCAACAATACAAAAGGGAACGAGACCTTTCTCACGATCTTCTTGGATTGCTACTTTCAATCCATCGATTTTCATACGAAAATCATCATCAAATGCTTTGACCAGACATCTATGTGTCTCTGTCGGTGCATATCCAACTAATTGTGGACCATTGACATGTCCATCTCGTCGAGTTGTTGCTATACTTATTAATGTTGTCATTGATGTTTCACTAACGATCGGTTGTCTCTCTCGCGTAGCGACTCCTAAATAACTCGTAATGATAAAAGATAGCAAGACTATCAGAACTTTTTACAACTATGGAGAGAATAGTTGATTTCATCTTTCTTGACTCTGAGTTGGAATAAAAAGATCAAAAAGAAAAAAATCGCACTGAGATCTATTCCATTTCTAGTCCCAATTTTTTCATACATCCTATTGTTCTCTCATCTGGCTCCAAATTTGTACCGTCGAACAGATTGGTAATCGTATCTGCAAATATAATAAAGTTCCAATTACAATCATTGTTCATGTAATGATGCATGAAATGCTTTTTGACGACTTGATCCCCGGCATCTGACAATAACCATCGAAAGACCAAAGGAATTTTTTTTCGTCGAGAAACATCAGACATATGCAGATACTTATGATAACTAGTGGAAAGAGGTAATAGTAGTGAAGGAAGTAGATAAGTAAGGAGACACCATGGATTGTCATGCCAGAATACAAGTCCACAATATGGGAGAGGAGTGAAAACAAGCAGTGCATATTGATAAATCAGTCCATGGATATTTCCGTCCATGCCCATGGAAGAATTCAATAAGGCCGCTGTGTTCTTTGGATACTGTTTTAGTGTTTTAAGTCCGAGATCCTCTGAACATTCTCCATGCTCACCAATATGTTTCGTGTCGATGATAACATGTTTGTGATGAGCTAACCAATGTTGAACATAGAAGGGATGGAATATAGAGTTGAAAAACTTCATGATTCGGTTGTGAAGCAGGATGAATGGATTTCGAGTGGTGACATTCGGTATATGTGTCTCCTTTGATACTTTCCAGTGTCCATGAAATATGTATTTATGTATGATCAGTTCACCGATTGCTATGTTAACGAATCCCAACAAGAAAGCAGCAACGGGCCCTCTGAATGATATGGCAACAATCAAGAGCAAGATATGTTTTAAGCTTGGATTCATTGTAGCCAATCACGAACAGCAAAGAGATCAACTATGCTAACGAAGAATCTGATGCTATCTTGTCCTACTAAACAAGAAATGATAAGGCACGAGCGAGTTTCTTTTACATTACGATAAAAATAACAGCGTCGTGATGTGCAAGAGAATTTTACTTCTTCCACCATCATCATCAACATTACACAGATAACAGAATTTAACAATACGAAAGTGACAGAAGCATATAGAGAGATAAAAAAGACAAAGTCGCTTCGTTTTGCTAGAAGTCTTCATAAAGCAAAACATTTCTCTATCTTCATCGTATTAACTACAGTAAGTCGACGTCACTCACACCAATAATTCCACTAGATCGCGTACGATTGAAAATCTGTTGAGGGTGTAGGTGTACATTGTCTCGCTTCATCTCATTTATTTAGGGGTCACACTTCGTGCTAATGGATAATCTTTTTTTAATCAGTTAATATCTTTTATTATTGCTCATTTTTAATTTTTAAAATTAAAGTGGAGCTTCTTAGTTAATCATCTTTTCATTCAATCACAAAGTTTTGTGCCCTTTTCCGAAAGAAAGGGTTATAGCTTCATAAATACAATCATGAAAGTGCATAAATTTTGTTTGTTTGTTTGCATAATCCAATCAGATTGCAGCATATTATAAATCAATGAAATTCATCTATAGTCATCAAAGACTGGCCACTGATGAGGTAATCGAGGTTAGTTTTTTGCGACAAAGGATCAATTTTTTAGACGATAGTGTTCTAAGCGGCAATATATATAGGTCAAAATCTAGTAGCTGACTGGCGTCCGATTACTGGATCTTCATAGTCATCAGCATATTCATGAGATCACACACTTTTATAAACAGCTATACTATACGAATATCACCTGATGCCGGTCACTCAAAATAATGTTTCGCTGGTCAAATGTTGCCTTCGAGAGTCACAGTAGCACAAAAATAGTCACTTTTCAAGAAGGAATAGAAGAAAATGTACACGTAACGGCTAGCCGTGAGTGGTCGACCGGAGAGAGGCCGACAAAGGACTAGGCGTTAATTTCAGAAGATTTCATAAAGCGAAATTGGTTTAAGCAAAACATTCTGACAAATCATCAAATGATCAGATCGTTCAACTGAAACAACTTTTTTCTCAATCTAAAAACGTGTTCTATAAGCATAAAAATATTAAAAGAAAATGACTTTTCTATAAAGTTAAGTTAATACATAAATATTATAAACATTATGTCGTTTTCATTGAAAGAACGATCCAACTGTTCAGGTATAAAACGAATCTCATCAGAACAGAATATCAAGTAGTAAATGGAGTTACCATGTATTTGTTGTTACTTATAAAACTGCTAGTGAAGGGCTTTTGATAAAATTCAAAATTTTTAACAAAAGAATTATATGAATAGAAAGACATTACATAGAAGATTTTCAGTTGAATTTGCCAGTTCTATATTAGAATTAATAACTGATTTCGAACTAAAAAGCCGGATATCTTCAATGAAATATAAGGGTTTTCTTTTATCATATACAAATATAGAACTAGAACGAATGAAATGAAATCCAATGAACAGATCAATCTTTTTCTTAATAAAAACAAAGAGACTGTATTTATTTTAACTTTTTCTATGTAGAAAAACTCTTACATGGTATTTACTTGTTTCTTTTCCAAGATTTTCATTGTAAGGAATATTGGATATTGATTTTTTATTAGAGAAAACAAATGAGCTAATTATAAATATAAAATAACTTTTTAAGTTGAACCGATATTCAAAATAATATTCTCCTAAGATTTGTATATAAAATGTATTCTCGAAGAATTAAAAAAATTTCAATTTATATATAAATGAATAATTAGATCAATTGATAGTCAATTTATTTTCAACTGTTTTACAAAAAACGTCAATCAATTAACGTTAAAAATACACTTTCATTCTATTACAAATGAGTAATAAACATGCACGATCAAACTATTTCCTTTTATTTCTGCCCATGAAATTCGTCACAGAATTTTTCGAAATAAACGTACATATTTCTAAAAGTCCATAGAAAGGTTAATGTTTGACGTCATTGACAGTGATGTCATAATTGAATTTTTCTACTTCTTTTCTGTTAAAAAAGATCCTCGTCATCATCATCATCGTCGTCGTCGTCATCATCATCGGATATGTTTCGTGAGGCTATACAATATGATGTCTTTCTGGTGCACCTTGGATAACGAGTAGCATCTTCTTCTGATTTGTATAAAGTTTTATTTAAAGAATATTTTTGTTGTTGATAATAATTTTTTCGTGAAGATGGATGTTGTTGAACATTTGAAACTCGAGGTTTATGCAAAATTATATTGGTTTGAATGGGAATAATATTATTCGTGTTTGTGGATTCTTGAAAATCTCGGATGATTTTTACGAAATTCGGTCGATCATATTTTGACCAAGTACAACAAGAACGAAGCATTTTATGAAAATGATCTGGTGCTTTAAGATTAAAGACGAACTTTTCAAATATTTTGGCATTTTTCGCATGAGCAAGAGCATCGATAAGATCATAACTGTTTTCAAAGATAGCTTNAGCTGATCGAAGATATATAGATGTAGAAAACAGAAAAGCGAGGACAACATATGTAAACCAGCTGATCGAGGGTGTATAGATATGGAAAGCAGAAAAACGAGGATAGCATATGTAAATCAATCGATGAAATGATTTCTGTATACGGCATATGTTCTCTGTCTTTTTCCTATTTAAATCGACTGTATATTGATTGAAACTATAAACTGCGGGGTACTAATCATGATAAGCTTCGATTGAAGTAGGGTTTCATCACGTGCTGTAAGAAATAAGCAAAAACCGTATATTCGATTGTGTTCTACTTGAAGAGAGCAGTATTCTTTCCATATATTCTTCTTTTAAATAATTGTTGTCATATTGTTCACAAGTGAAAAAGTTGTTTTTTTTTTCGTTTTGAGATTCAAAATACAAGTACTTCACTCAATCTTTCAATTCAACATGTCAAGACGTTCTTTCATCAATGATGACAAATTAATTTCAGAGATGGTTCTAAAAAATATATCGTCAATATCTCAGATGAATCTTGATATGTCGACCATTTTGAACACACAACAGATGCAATTATTATCAGCATATAAGGATTTGCGTAATTATCAACCGTGTTTATCATTTTTCTTATCGTTGGGAATGATGTCTCACTTTTCACAAGGTTCTTATTATACACATTATAGCTCAAGTGATCGGCATCCTGTGCAACTATACTTGTGGTTATTAGGACCTAGTGGTATGTTGAAATAATGTGTAATTGAACAACAGATAGATAATAAGTACTTTGCTCACTAAAGATGTGAACAGTCATTCTACTGATTAGTGGCGAAGAGAAAGTTTTTTGCGTCGTTGCTGGTTCAATGCTCGTAGTTACATCAGAGATGCTTGTGAAGCATTGACTTTCAGATACTTTATACCAATATTAATATGAGAAATTGGAATATATCTCGATCTTCCAGTTTACATTAGCTGTGCTTATAAGTGCTCTAAGATGTTTACAAAGTTTACTACGTTGCAAATCGTGAAAAATTATCAATGATAGGAAAATACTGGAATTCGAATATAGTCGAGAGCAAAACGATAGATCCGTTGGTGTAAACTGAGACATTTTCATAGAGATAATATTTCTTCTAATACTTGAATAGATATTTTCACTCTAAATTAAACATTTACTATCGTCGAAGTGGACTAATCGAGTACTGATTTAGAAATTCTTCTCGTGTTTTATTTCATTGTGGGAACTTTTGAAGTTATTCTTTTATATTAGACGTATAAAAGCGCCAATTTAAACATTTTTTTTTCATTTTTCTCTCCACAAGAGAAAGAACTATCAATAGATGTATGTTTATCTAGTTTCTTTCTTCAGACGAGATCGTATGCCATCTTTGAAGGGAATCTGTTGATACAGTGTTCTCTATTTATGATTTCATTGCATTGTTAAATTGATCGGTCCACACACTAGATGAGAGCTTAGCACTGGTTTCAACTCATTTTTGCTATTTGATTTCGAAGGAAGTGGTAAAACAAATGCATTCAAACAAGTGGAAAAGGCAATCAATAAAACTGAAAAACTTTTCCCACTTACGTATTTAAAACCAGTCGTTGTGAATGGTACACCAACTGAATCAAGTGTATCGTCTATCGTGACACACACCAATCACATCGGACTGCGGCATCATTTAGCATCGAACAACAAGATATTGCTGAATGATGATGCCGATCTTATTGCCGAACAATATGGATTATATAACGCAATGGATAGTGGGAAAGAGCATGAGCGAAATTTGATTTTGGTTGGACATGATGGGTAATTTAATACTGCAGTTGTATGTGCTATTCCTACGTTTTGTATTGTTAGCTTCGGCAAATCATTCAGGACAACCGGAACAACAATGATCGAAATTGACGATAAGCGATTAACAATTCTTATTGCTACAACAGGAGTCAAACTAATGAAAAATTTCAAGAATTGGATGAATTTCACTGCTTTTGATGGCTCCTTCAATAGATTCATCTATATGGGCATACCTAAACTCACGTATCCCAGACCTCAACAGTAAAAGAAATATGCTTTGGGAATCACAGAAAAAGGACCCACATGTTTTATGTTTAGTTTTCAAATCAATAATAGGTTCAACAAAAGTCCATCGTTTGCTCATTTATGTGTGATCTCGCATCTTTTTGGATCAGTGAGATATGTCTTTCAAATGTCGGATGAAGAGAAATTGCAGTTTTTTGGTGGTAAAAATATTATCAAATTGATAAAGTAGTTTTGAGGATTTTCATTGTATTTTCATAGGAGAAGCTGTTCAAACACCTGAGTCACAAATTGATATTGATCAAACGCAGCCACCTCATTCTGCCTTATATACTGTCTGGAATCTCGTGGCTGATTTGAATGAATCTTTGAACTTGAAAGAAGATCCGCAACGGCAAATCATTGATCTTTATGGCAAAGCGGCGGAAAACTTTNTTCAATGCTCGTAGTTACATCAGAGATGCTTGTGAAGCATTGACTTTCAGATATTTTATACCAATATTAATATGAGAAATTGGAATATATCTCGATCTTCCAGTTTACATTAGCTGTGCTTATAAGTGCTCTAAGATGTTTACAAAGTTTACTACGTTGCAAATCGTGAAAAATTATCAATGATAGGAAAATACTGGAATTCGAATACAGTGGAGAGCAAAACGATAGATCCGTTGGTGTAAACTGAGACATTTTCATAGAGATAATATTTCTTCTAATACTTGAATAGATATTTTCACTCTAAATTAAACATTTAATATCGTCGAAGTGGATTAATCGAGTGCTGATTTAGAAATTCTTCTCGTTTTTTATTTCATTGTGAGAACTTGTGAAGGTATTCTTTTATATTAGACGTATACAAGCGCCAATTTAAACATTTTTTTCATTTTTCTCTCTACAAGAGAAAGAACTATCAACAGATGTATGTTTATCTAGTTTCTTTCGTCAGACGAAATCGTATGCCATCTTTGAAGGGAATCTGTTGATACACTGTTCTCTATTTATGACTTCATTGCATTGTTAAATTGATCGGTCCACACGCTAGATCAGAGCTTAGCACTGTTTTCAACTCATTTTTGCTATTTGATTTCGAAGGAAGTGGTAAAACAAATACATTCAAACAAGTGGAAAAGGCAATCAATAAAACTGAAAAACTTTTCCCACTTACGTATTTAAAACCAGTCGTTGTGAATGGTACACCAACTGAATCAAGTGTATCGTCTATCGTGACACACACCAATCACATCGGACTGCGGCATCATTTAGCATCGAACAACAAGATATTGCTGAATGATGATGCCGATCTTATTGCCGAACAATATGGATTATATAACGCAATGGATAGTGGGAAAGAGCATGAGCGAAATTTGATTTTGGTTGGACATGATGGGTAATTTAATACTGCAGCTGTGTGTGCTATTTCTACGTTTTGTATTGTTAGATTCGGCAAATCATTCAGGACAACCGGAACAACAATGATCGAAATTGACGATAAGCGATTAACAATTCTTATTGCCACAACAGGAGTCAAACTAATGAAAAATTTCAAAAATTGGATGAATTTCACTGCTTTTGATGGCTCCTTCAATAGATTCATCTATATGGGCATACCTAAACTCACGTATCCCAGACCTCAACAGTAAAAAAACTATTCTTTGGGAATCACAGAAAAAGGACCCACATGTTTTACGTTTAGTTTTCAAATCAATAATAGCTTCAATAAAAGTCCATCGTTTGCTCATTTATGTGTGACCTCGCATCTTTTTGGATCAGTGAGATATGTCTTTCAAATGTCGGATGAAGAGAAATTGCAGTTTTTTGGTGGTAAAAATATTATCAAATTGATAAAGTAGTTTTGAGGATTTTCATTTTATCTTCATAGGGGAAGCTGTTCAAACACCTGAGTCACAAACTGATATCGATCAAACGCAGCCACCTCATTCTGCCTTATATACTGTCTGGAATCTCGTGGCTGATTTGAATGAATCTTTGAACTTGAAAGAAGATCCGCAACGGCAAATCATTGATCTTTATGGCAAAGCGGCGGAAAACTTTCCTCGTTTAGTGTGTTTAGTCCAGTTATTTCTGAACTGTATGGAAATACTCGAACAAGTGAACAGTTTCGTTGTTTTCAGTGAAGGAGATAGCCCGAATTCTACCATCAATGAAACTTTTATAACAAATGTTGAAACAATTATTAAAAACGATTACCACAAGTATGATAAAACTTATCTTTCAAGCTTGCAGAGTAGTCAGGTGTTGGATCCGATGGTGATCGTTAGTAAAGAGGCAGTGTTGATAGGGTGGCAACTATTTGATTGTTATCTCAATATTGCCACTAAATTGTTCACAATTGATTACAACTTTGAAACCAGGTCAAAACCAGTATCGTTTTCGGGTACAGAACGGCAGCAAACATTGAAACAACTGATAATGTACTTTGACTTTAACATTTTCCCAATTTCAGCAATAAGCGTAAAGCATCCGACGACTGGTCAAACGTATGTAAAATAATCATTGATTTGAAGTAATTCATTTACGATAATGACATTCGTTTTCTATAGAAGTATAATCAAAAATAGGCCAGCTTTGGGAGAACGTGTAGTCCATGATTTGATGCAAGATAATCTATTAAAATTCAATTACTTTTTGACCGATGCTCGTGGACGTACTATAAGAGCTTATTTGAAGATGCCACCGCCATCAATTAATGATCCAAGACGAAATCAGTTTGTTACTAACATGATAAAGCACGGTATCAACATTGATGAATACTGCTTGATGTATGAAAAATGTTCGATTCCATTGAACAATAATCTTTCCAAATTAGCAATAGAAATCTTTGCAAATAGTTCGTGTTTTATAAATCAATATTCAAAGTATCGAGATGCACTGAATAGTGCAATACAGGTGCATGTTGATAACTCTACGATTCGCGAAACCAGCACAGGAAGTTTTATAATACTAAATGAAGATGCGTTTACTCTTCAATTCCATGATATTAAAAATTTGGTTGCCAGTTCACACAGACAACAAACGACAAATCCATCACAGTTGGCTATAGAGATAAATCGCACATCTGAATTAACAGTACCACGTCAAGGAATAACATCAATTGAAGTAAACGAATTTCCTGAAGCCATCGAGGAGAATGCTGTGGTACAACATCTTCAAAACATCGATATGACTCGTAAGGATAGAAATTTAAGATATATTTTTTGTCACGTTTTTTTTCTCGATAGAAGCGTCTCTCTTCGAACAGAATATTTCTTCCGAGAACGTTCTCAACTCATCAGTCATGTCATGTGAGCAAACGAATGATATTGAAATTGATAATTCTCATGCATTTACTCAACGAACCATTAAAGAAAGTTCGTCTTTCACCTACCCTTTCCCGACAATTTTCCCTTCTTTGATTGGTTTTAGCAACGAATACATACGCAGATCCATTTGAACATGCAGTAAAGAAAGTTATGAGAAGCATAATGACTGGAAATTCTGTTCTCTATACGAAAACTGATTTAACTTAAATCTGTAACAAACCAACTATCAGACTCGAAGGAGTAAAACGTTTAGTTGATTCAGGATTGTTTACGTAGAAAGATCACTTTTGGGTGGAACCAAGTCGTTCGAAAAATGCGCCAAAAAAATGCCAAACGAATGCTAAGAGGAGGATGGATTAAGTAAGAACTTGAGCATTCTTTGTCATTTACCATTAATTTTTTTCGTAGAAATTTTCCAATATCGAATACGCATGCCGCAAAGCTTGAATTCATTCAGTTATTACAAAAAATGGTTAATAAACACATTTACATTCATAAGATTCCTTGATATTACTCAGCATGTTTTATTTCGACTTTGTAGGTTGATGTCACATATAAAGATTATTTAAAATCGTCTTATCCTTATCAACAAGAAAACGTTTTCACTGTCAATCATTGGACTTTATCAGACGAGTTTATTCAACTTATGGAATCGAATTTCTTTTATAAACAACATGTACGATGGAATGAACAACAATTTCGACCATGCGTTTCAATAGTGAATGAGATAAGCGTTGAAAGCGAAGCAGCGGCCTCAACATCACAAATTCCACACGTGAACAATTGCGAAAGCACAACAAACAACAACATACAGAATATATTGACACAAAAGCAACATGATGAGAAAGAAGAATTAGTACATACTTACTCGCGGCCAGTTCATAGAAAAAGAAAAGTTGCCACTAACCAAAATTATTGCGAAGAACGACAGACACGTACACAAACTAGAAAATTCAAACGGAACTGAATACATCTTCGTTTATCCTAGCATGACTTAACAGACCATGCCATTTTCTCGTTGATTTTTACTTTATTTGTGTATTTCAAGTTTCAAAACTCTTTCACCTGCTCTTTTTACTATTAAAACGAAAGAAGGACGTTGCATTAGAATATTTTGTTGCGAATAACTCCTCTATTAATGTTCTTATTTTTGTTTCCAGATATTTCAACAAAATGAATCATTCAAGCTATTCTTCATCATCGGTAACATTGGTGAAACTCAATGATACGGAACATACTTTAATCTTACTATCACGGTCAATGGATTTGAATGAGACATTTTACATGATGATGCTGAATAATGCTTTTTCTATGGAATTAAAAAATAAATATGACCATATAAAGAATATAATTAACCTACATTACCATAAGTCGTACGAAGTACATGACATAAGATCGATTATTGAGTTTATTACTATCACTCCAACATATGCTCGTATGTTTCGACTACAATCGCTCGATGAAATGATCCAAAATTATCAAAACCAAAGAGTTGTTGAATCTGATGATGTGTGTGAATTATACTTGAAACCATATACGAATGATTGTATCGAATGCACAAAAGAATTAAAGTTAGTGTTTTCTCACCGTCCAAAGACAGTTTTGTCTTTAACTCGGAATTATAAAGCACGTATGTTGTAATTCGTTGCTACTCAAATAATTGAATGTTTTTGTTTTTGATAGTCATTGGCAGTTGCTTTTGTCATGATTGTGACGTAGAAATCTTTCCGAATTTCTATATAAGAAACAAAATGAAATTCATCACGAATGAGTCAATTAAA